CTAAATAATTGAATGTATCGTGATTCCAAAAAAAGTACGAGTTACCATGAAATCATTTTTTTTTTTTTTTATTTATTTTATTTTTTATTTTTTTTATATAATACAACATGTCGTACAGATAAGTTACAAGTTTATGGTTGTAGTAACCTTACACTTGACATAACAGTGGTTTGAATACTACTTAGAAAATTGAAATTAATTTTTTACAGTAGGAAAAATCTCATAAAAACCTACATAAGATATAAATGAAAAAAAATTATGTTACAATAATTAAAAGTGCAAGAAAACTAAATATAATTTATATGCAAAAGGAAAATACATATATATACATATACACACACATATATATATATATATATACATATCTACACATATATATATCCACACACACACATGCACATACTTACTCACACAACACACAAACACACATATAAATGAAATCAATTTGATTTTACCCTCTCCTCAAAAAAATATATACCTGTTTTAGATAATTATTCCCATGAATTATGATACATTTAAAATGTCTATGTTCTCATTCAATATCCTATTATTCAATATTCAATCGTGACTAAATTGAATAAACATACCTAGCAGGTTTCAGAAAAACGTTAAGCAATTTGGTGGTTAGCCAAACCTGTCAAGGATAGAAATCAATCGGGCACTAGGTTAAGAAATGCTTCAGATGTATTCTGGTTTCTTTACAAGTTACTATACTCAACGCTGAGAGTCGTTTCCTCCAGTTTAGCAACGGATCCGATGGTATCGATGAGCTCAACGCTGAAGAAATTATAAATTCGCTCATAAAATTTAAGAACTTGCCCATCGCTAGTTCATACCTCAGCGTAAAATAATTCACGTACATAAACAATACTTGAGTGAAGGTGTTTGAAAACGCATATAACATAAGCATAAAAAGATCTTTTTATTCACTGAAATTCAACACGTTAACCATACTTATATATTTTTAATTATCATAATCGGTTGATTAAATTAAAATTGCTGGTTTGAGTTAAACGTTAATCAAGCGTAAATGATTGATAAAAATATTTTCAAAATTATCAAATACACATGATAGATTAAATTCAATTATATATTGATGAGATATCATTTATGTAGTTCAAACAGAAGTTAGATTTAGGAGGGGGAGAAGGGAATGATTCGTCGCATTAATTGATACGTAAAAACTTCACTTGATCTGGAATTCTGTACTCGTCACTCTAACGAAGGCTTAAAACGTAGGCCGAAACGTCGGGATAATTGAATAATAGGTTTTACACTTATCAGTACATTTTCTTATTTGATCACACCCTCCCTACCCCACCAAATTCCTTCATCAATTAGATTATATGTATATTATATGAGCCTTTCAGTTGACAGAAGTCCAATTTCAACATTTGAATAAAGTCATTTTACTGATATTTCTTGTTGGAAAATTTTTAACATATGTACAGACATTGTATAAGTTGATTCTGCAATCGCCTACTTTTGAAATATACTGTTGAGGATCTGACGGTCATCTTCGGATTCTGTTATACAGATTTAATAGGAATCGCCAAGGTTTCTAGTACTCTTCTTCTAATGAATCCAATTCATTTCTTCTATTTCAGAACTGAATTGAAAGCTACCCTTAGAAGAGCCTTCATGTATACATTCTGTACTTATAAATAATTAATCTATATTATTTTATAGTTAGCCTCCAATTTTTATTGTTTGTACGAATAAGAAATATTATCCGCTTTTGATTAGGTAAAATATATACGAACTTATAGCGTTTAAAGATATTATAATAAAAAAAAATTGAAGATTGGTTGTGTATAACAAAAAGTAATCATAAGGTATAAATTTTCCCACCAATGCAATCGAAAATGTTTAAATTGGAGTTAGGCATTCTGTCAACTGAAAGTCTCATTTATGTAGTGATCCTAAAAGCGTTCACAGCTGCTACCATTTCTGACGCAGTCCCTGTTGGTCTTAACGACTATTCTTCGGATAAATCTCATTTCAGCGGCTATGATCTTGCTTACGTGTTTGTTGAGGATTCTCCAGTTTTCCAATCCACACAGAAGCACTGGGAGGAACATCGATTTAAATGGTCTAAACAGGGGTTCGCCATCACATAAAATCTAAGTATCCACACTATATCCTTCAACTAACATGACTTTGGTTTTAGTTAGATTTATCTGATATATACCCTCTTGACATTAAATCTTCATGCCACTAAATATGTCTCCTGAGAGTGAACTATAAGAACGATATCGTTCGCATGGACCATGGGTCTCCAAACTTTATGACCCGCGGGCCACATTAAGAACACGGGTCACATTGAGTGAGGAGACCTCTACCCATGTACCACAGGCCATGGTTTGTGATGAGAAAATAAAATCTTGTCCTATAAATGACATTTCACATGTGAAATGAGATTTCTAATTGACAAAACCCATGCAATAAATATCGTAGTAATCTCCACTAAGGCCATCCCTATACTTTAAAAAAGTGGAATGGTTAGGGTGTTTAATCATTGAGTCTCACGATCCTCTTCGGATCCGGGTATTCAGATTTAACAGGAATCGCCAAGGTTCTTCGTACTCTTCTTCTAATCAATCCACTCCATTTCTTCTATCTCAGATCTGAATTGAACGCTACCCTTAGAAGAGCCTTCTTGTATACTTTCTATACTTATAAATAATTGATCTATATTATTTTATAGTTAGCCTCCAATTTTTTAATGTTTGTACGAATAACAAATATTATCCGGTTTAGATTAAATAAAATAGATACAAAGTTTATAATATTATAATAAAAAAAAATCTGGTGTGTCCAGTCATACGACTTTCCTACCCATTTCAGAAAGGTTTTTATATCTTAAAATATATCCATTAAGAAAAAAAAATTAGATTTATTTACCTGAAAATTGATCAAAGAAAGGATTTGAGTACGATTCCTTTGATAAACTTATTCAATAAATAGTTTTCATATACATTTTACCGTAGAATACATATTCAGTGAATTATGCCCCAAAACATTTTTCATTTCTTTATAACTTTTTTCCTGAATTTTCTCGAGAATTCAGTACACGTACAAAAATTGAAAGGACGTTTATAAGAAAATTGTAGGAAAGTTTTATCACAATCGGTGGAGCTATTGGGCAGGGAGCACCCTTGTATCACAGGCATCAGTAGTCAAAACTCTACAAAATAAAAAAAGAAGCAACAAAATTGGTCGACTGGTTCCCGAGATAATCTTGGCACAGATAGACAGACAGACCAATGGCCGAAAATTTGTTTTTCGGACTCAGGGGGCTCTGAAATATATAGATCCGTCGAAAACTGCATGTCGGAGATTTGACCCCATCGCAATACTATCCTTTGCATACTATCGCAATACTAAACCCAGTTTAGTTCCCTTTTGTTTAATTGTTTTATTGTGTTTTCCGTTGGCTTTATTTAGTTTTAATTATTTGTAAAATATTAGGTAAACGTTATTATAGATATAGGTCCAAGAAATGTTCATAAAAAAAAATAAGAACATAATTTCAGTAAACTATGTTCGCCTTGTGGCGGGTTAGACGAAATTAAAATATTTTGGGAATGACAGAAAAGGTAAAGAAAAAAAAAACTCCTTAAAATAATCTAACAAATCTAAAAATAAAATGTACAATTATATTTTTATCATTTTCCAATTAGAAAGATTACGATTCCAATACAAGGGCGAAACCTTAAGAAGGATTTTTCTTTCATTATCTATGTTTTAATGAAGTTTAGTCCTTTCGAGTTCACTATCAAGAACATCTGAATATATGAATATGAATATAAATTAATCAAAACGTATCATCAAAAATTAAAACAAGATATTCGTTTTTTGTTTTAATTGTTTAAGATTACGGCTTATATTATAAAAAAAAAATTACTAAGCGTATTTGGGATAAATCGTGTTTATAAAAAATAATAACGATGGACGATATGGCTGTATGTCGGATGAGTGCGATCCGTTTAGAAATATAACTTTCGAGAAGATGAAAGTTGGTAATGATTCCAGAAAAAAAAAATCTTATAATTTTACTAAAATTTTGTTTCTATCAATTAAATACTAAATCTTGGCAAGAAGATCATTAAAACCAATCAATTCAGAATCATTTATCATTTTTTTAAATGAATCGTACGGAATTAGCGGGGAAAAAATTCTCAAATTTTATTAGGTTTGTTAAATAATTAGTAAAAACATTTATGGCCAAAAATTCAAAAAGTTTGGAGATCGCTCATTTAGAATAATAGTGCAGCATACTAAAAGATTTTTTTTTTTTTTTGTAAAAAGTAAAAATCAAATTACTACTATTAACGTGATGGGAGCGAACTACGAACGCAGAATAAAAAATCTTGGGGTCTTTACAATTTAAAAAAATTTGATATTCCCTTTCATAAATGAAATTAAAAAAATGAACTGCATTCAAAATTCTGAAGCCCTTACAAGAGCTATAATCTGTTGCTGTTGTTTTTTTTTAGGCTTATTATTCTAGAAAAATTAATATTATTAAAAAATGTAAATAAGTTAAAAGATAAAAATGATCTTTCTACTGGTTTCTATGCCTCACTATACATCAATGGAACGTATATTTTTTAGTAGTCATCCTACAATTTTTTTATAACTATTAAAACCAAAACTCGTTTTAGATAAGATATTATTGATTCATTTAGAGTTATAATCCGATACGCTGAAATATTATTTCTATTTTTGTGAAAAAATTTAATTACTAAAACCGACACGTTGAAAGCAAACGAGTAAGTAAAGAATTCAAAAATGTATCCTTTACGTTGATTTGAAAAATAAAATAAAAATGGATACCCACTTTTAAAAATGAAATAATAATACAAATAAAAAATATAATGTGAATCAGAAAATATTATATACATTACTTGTTTAATGTATGAGAATATATGTATTAGTAGTTAATGTGGAAACAGAATTTTTGAAAAAGTCAAAAAATTTAAAACGAGCTTACGCACCTTAGTACCTGCCGGAGTCCGACTGCGGAATGCTTCCTCTTCGACTGTAGGGTCTTTTTTCAAGGTCCACTCCCCACCCCGAAGTTCCTCAACCTCTTTCACCAGAAAGGCCGTTTGAGGCTAGCGAATGATTAATGCGGATGAATAAATGGACTCGAGGCCGTCAGGCGGTTTTAGGTAGCCATAAACAAAACCGGAATAGCTGTCTCTGAACTCACGAAAAAAAAGGTAAACAACCGACTTTACAATCAAAACCAATCACAATTCAATTGAGTACATATGGGTTCATTCTGGAGAGGAGAGGGAAGTTTAATACAGTGCAAGTTCCTAAACTCAACACTGAGTTTAGGAACTTGCCTATTTGTTTTTAAGAAGATGAAATTACAAAATCGGTCATTCTCGTAACATTTAATACACTACTATGCTACCGACGTTATATTTATTAATAAATATATGAGAACATTATTAAATGTATGATTCGGGCTCCTCATCCTAAATAAAATGATTTTCCAATGCCTCTCCTAAGTAAGGGTATCAATTAAATCAAATTAATTAGTCAAAGTAAAAATATGGAAAAGTAAATACATTAATAAGGTTTTTTGTTAGACAGGAATTTTGTCTACTTCTGAATTATGTTGCATATTTTACCTTCCTAAACGGATATTTTTCATTATTGTGAATGTATAATACAATCTACCTTTATAATATAATACGATAGTGTTTCGCCGTAGCGATCCGTTTTTCGGGTCTCTGGAGCGATGGATTGTGATGAATGAGGCATCAAAAGAAACGGTACTAAATGGAGCAGTGACGAATCACAGTAACAACCACTCGCAATTCCAGAAAAAAGTTATGAATGAAAAGAAACTTTATTTGTGAATGACTTAAAAAGTATACATTTTTTTTATTGGACCCATGATTATTTAAAAATTTTGCAAATTCTCTACAAAAAGAAAAAAAAATTGCAAAAATCGGAGCATAGTTAACACAGATATAGTCCAATAGATTCGGTATACATAATAATTTCTTCCTCTTCGGAGATATTGCATTAACTATTCTACTACCATTTGTTTCTCCTCTCATGTATACTTTATTATTTCTTAAAGGCATTTGTTTGTTGGTACATTTTTATTTTTCAGTAACGATAATTCCCTGATCGAGGCCTTTTTTTAATATAAAAGGTAATATTCAGTATTAATAAATTTGCCCGGGAAAAGTAATTTATACAAATATTTTGATCTATTATGTTAAATGAAATATCGTAATAAGATCTACTTATTTCTATATTATTTTGCTGTTCCTTCACTAAACAATATATTCTGCGAATGCACCAGCAGCTAGTTAAGTAATAAATAAAATAGTGAAAGAAAAACTTTCCGATTTTTTTCAGAAATATATGGCTTTATTACTAGTTGTTAAGTAGTAATATGATTAAGTTAAGCTTTCGGGCTGAAGGCCCCTCTCCCCTCTCTCCCCCTCCCCCCTCCAAATGGTAAAATATAACCATACCTTATGAAAAAAATATTTAATAATTACCTCTAAGTTCGTGTACTTACATTATATAGTATTTAAAGAATCACTTAAACTCTATTTTATATAGGTAGTTATTTTTTTTTTCTTCCTAAGTAATTAACGTTATATATTTTTAAAAAATCTTTCGTGCTTAAGTCCCCCCTCCCAAAAAAAAACCTAAATCTTGGGTCCGCTAGTGATCAGAACTGATTTCATAGCGACTACAGTAACCGGTACTGTTGATATGCAGCAGTGATTGTCACTATGGTCACCAGCTCCAGCCCAGTCAGTGATCGAATCACAGCTCCGCCTGTATCGTTCTATCACCAGTATGAACTACGTAGTAAAATGTCTTCTTCGGATGAGTATGGTATGTTTAACTAGGGCCGTTATATTATGCTTCATCATTTTTATTTATTTCTGCATTCCTTCAATCATGATTAGGGTTGTGTCGTTACAATTTTTTAGTGTACCTGTTCCAACCTGTTCCATTCCCCGAAAGGAACTGCTCCAAATTATTATAAAGGAACTGCTCCAATGCCGTTACTCTAGAATTCACAACCCAATAAATGTTCATTGTGATTAGAAACCATCACAGGCGAATCGACGGAGGATTTCGGCCTGAAAGCCACTCCCAAAATGGTAAAATATAACCAAGTGTTATGAAAAAAATATCCCTAAAAGTATTATTTTTCGTCTAATTACATTTAATAGGACTTAAAAAATCTCTTAAACACCATTTCACATAGGTAGTTAGTTTCTTTCTTTCTTCCGAAGTAATTATCCTAATATATACATACAAAAAAAAAATCTTTCGAGCCCTCCCTCCCAAAATTAAATCCTAGATCCGTTAGTGGAATATGTTGAAGGAAGTTAGTCAATTGTACTACATCGGTGATGTGGGTCATCATTGGGGCATGTTTTGGTTGAAACGGCAACAATGAAAAATCTCAAAAATAACAGCTTTCTGAATATTTATCTCCAGTGAAAATGTATTATGATAAAACCGAAACTAGAAAAAATAACATAATAAAGATAAAACATCTTATATTTCAATGAGAAAAATAATATTAAAATTTATGGACATACGGTCAGGATGGATAAAAATAGACTAAATAAGAAAAGTTTTGATAAATTGTTTGTTCTCAACAGTATAAAGGGGTATCAGGAACAGCTTAACAACGAAATAGCAAAACTAGAGATAACGTTCAAGAGGACTGTTAGCATAAAACGGGTTGTTTACATATTGTTAATCATGATTGGTATGATTAGTTCATGCTTCTCATACATTTTTAAATGATTGGTATGAAACTGACTTGAGAAATTCCACTAACCATGATTTCATTTAAGTAGGCAGTCAGTTAGTTTTATGGGGAGCTCTTAATGACTTTTTCATTAAAACAAAAAAAAAAAAAAAAGGAAAGGGTAGAATTCTATTTTTTTTTCTCTCACATTTGGCTTTTATATTGATTTTTTTAGTTTTTTTACTCGATGAAAAAACTAGTTACAGCAATTTTCCTTTTTACTTTCACTTTCGTATATATGTAATATATAGTAAGGGTAAGTATTGCGAACGTGAAAATTTTCGAATCTGTTTTCAACGAAAATACATGTTTTGAGGTCCTTTGAGTCCAAAGAACCAAGTGTCGCAAATTAGTCTGTGTGTGTTAACAGTCTAGCTCATAAACGAAAAGTAGTACGAAACTGATATTAAGTGTTTAAGGTTTGTATATGAGCCGGATGTTACAGTAACTTTTTCGTTAAAATCGGCTAACCGGAAGTGTCATTTTATATGAACGCTGAAACACATTTTTACAATTTTCTCAAAAACGGATCGAACAATTTTGATTAAACTCGGTGTATCATTGCATAATTAAGTGGTCTTTAATATCATAGGTCATAGGTCCTATCCCCGTTGATGTCACTTTACAGGGCTTAAATGCCCTATGTTCATATATGTCTTCCTCTAAAGTACCTTTAATATGGTTTATTTTAAAAATTTAATCATTTCGCATTATTCAGTGTTACGAAAAAATGCTACATATAACTTTTGGAAGAATTTGATAAGTTAATAAAGGAGAAACAAATAAAAATGTAGAAAAATCTGCGTTGCTATAGACTGTAGCAATGTACCTTTCAAAGAAACTTCCCTAGTCATTTTATCGACACCCTTTAAATTTATCTACATTACATACTTCAACGAAAAGAACCTGGAAAAAAAGTTATGAGGGATGGTAAAATTAAATTCCGAATAACTCAAAAAGTATAAACTTTGTTGTGGATATTTTATATGGTTTTTTTAAAAGTTTATGGAATTTCCTAAAAAAAACAAAAAAAATGCGTTAAAATCCGACAATTAGGAGGAAAGATATGGTCTCTAGTTTTTTTCCACTGAAGAGGCGAAAATTTGTATAAATTTAAATTATACTTTTTTAATTGTTGAGACTAAAAAAACCTCTTTTCTACAGATATTTAATAAAGTATCTTACCTCAGAACATCTTTCATAAGAAATAAGTACCTAAATTTAGACCTTTATTCTCAGTTCTATATTTCAACACTGCAATCACCACCTCCGGAATTAACTTGCTCACTTTCTGCATAGATAACTTTTTCAACTAAAAATATCACTAAATTGACATTACTCAAAAATGTTGAAATTGGAGTTAGTCATTCTGTGGTTTATAAAAGCAAAGAAAGTTGTGTGGTTTATAAAAGCAGATGGAGTGACTAGATTTTTATTGCCTACCGTTGATATATTAAATAGACATTTTGTCATTATAATGGTCTTAATGACTTGTTATCTGTAAGCTTATGCACTTCAAAAAATTTTAAAATAGCCCAGCATTGCCAGAAAATAATTTCTATTCAAAGTAGAGCGGTAAGTGAAAGTTGTGTGTTGCGCGCACCAGATTTTTTTTAATATTATATTATTTGTATGTACCGGGTGAACGAACAAAGTATTCAGTGTTTCAAGAATTCTTTCATCTTCTAGAATACATCTAATAGTTGTAAACATAACACAATTTCTAACCAACAACAGTAATATGCATTTATTAATAATACCAACATAATAAATATAAATATTTGTTTAAACTAATAGTACTATTATTTTGACTTCCAACTGTCTATATATGAAATATTTGTGAAATAAATTACTAGATATATTCTTTTATTTGGCATAAAATACTGTGCAGTACTAATGCTATAATATTGCTACTTCTAGTATTCTTACATCTCTTTTTATGACTCACTATCCTAATCCTTAATTTTATTGATGCTTCTATTATATGAATCTTATTATAATTTTCACATTTTATTTTGTAAATTAAAAAAGTTTGTCGAACATCTCTATTTTGTCTTTCATGTTTGATGATGAGGATTATTGTTCACAATAGGTTTTCAAATCCTGCAGTAAGTCGCCATTTAAGAAAGCATAATATTCTATAAGAATGACCCAGATCATAACCTCATGACTTGTAAGCAGCCAAAGCTCATCAACAAGTTAATAAATGTTAAGGTTGCTTCAAAATTTAAAAGATAATAGCTTTTGGAAAATAATTATAACAAGTGATTAAAAATAGATATTTTTCTCCAGCTACAAGTTGCATTCCCTTAAGGCATGGCTTCAGTCTTTTCTTCCTCTACTCTAAATCCATTACTTCAGGAAAATTAGATTAATAATAAATCAATTTTCATTTCCCTACTAAAAGTAAACATATCAACATGTTATATTATGAATTTTTAAAATAATTTAAATCAATTAAAAGTATTAATTTTTTTTTTTACAATTTGGTAAGTTCGTTTGTACAGAATGCATATCATACTTAAGGCGTAAAGAAAGGATCATAACCAAAAATATTGTCATGTTGGATATTTTATAGTTGATAATGTTCCTACAGAGGTAAGAGATGGTCTGGAAAGCAGTCAAGAAAGAAATGTCAAACAGTACGAAAAAGTATTTATAGAAACCAATATTTTGACCCACCTTGTAGGTCAGGGCTGTACAATCAAGATACAAAGCAATGTATAGCAACAGTGGATTAAGCGAAATATTTTCTAATTATTTTATTTCCTATGTTATTTTAATATATTTATAAATACAGTATGTAAGACAATATCAATTTGAATCAGTTGATGACTAAAAAAGTGGGAACAAGCTCATCTAGATGATTACCAATCAGGTTTAAGATAAACTATGGACCAGACTTATTCAGAAATGTAAAAGCCTATAAGTACAATGTTACACTGCATCATTTGTCTGTGGACATCAGACAAGTAAATGATTCCGTCATACAAAAAAAAAAAAAAAAAAAAAAAAAAAAAAAAAAAAAAAAAAAAAAAAATGTACTGAATGTAAAATGGGGATGTAAAGAAGTGAGGAATTCCAGGAAATTAATTAGCCTGGCCAAAATGACACTGGCTAGTATATATAGTAGAGAGCTTTTAAAACAAAAAAAAAAAGGTCTCATAAAAAATCAAAAATAAGAGAAAACCTTAGATAACAGGATTCACTATCTATCTGCAGTGCTTTTCAACCTTATATTAGAAGCAGAATAAAAGAAAGAAAGAAAAAATTACAATTCACAATTCATAATGCAGCATTTAGCATATGCAGACAATCTGCTCATACAGAACAAATTGTATCAGTACTTGCAGGAGCCCTAAAACAATTCCTCAGGAAATTTGAAGATTTAGGAGTGAAAACTAATGAAAACCAGGATAGATATTTTATTTACAATAGTTATAGCAGCTGCATCAAACTGCAACAACCATTTATTAATTAAGAAAATGACAAACAAGCTGTGTCTGTGGAACCATTAAATTGTTATTTATCAAAACAGATTTTTCATTAAATTTTATTCATGATATTTACAAGTGTGTTAAAAAATAAAAATACATCTAGTAAATGTGAATAAATGAATATGATGACATAACAATTGTTGAGAAACTACCCACTAGTAGCACTCTAATGACAGGGTGTATAAAAAATAAAAAATAAATGACTGTTTTCAAACAAATATTTGTATTATTATTTCTTTGATATAAAATACAATTAATACTCAAAGTATAGTCCATTGTTATATACCGTCATTAGCTATCTGCTAGCCAATTGCTCGATCGCACGCTGATAACATTCTTTGTGATGGCTTTCAAAGAACTCTTGGACTGCAATTTCAACCTCCACAAAATTATGAAATTTTTTCTCTTGAAGAAAATGGGCCATAGATCTAAATAAGTAGTTATCCAATAGTGTGAGTTCTGAATTATAAGGTGGATGAGGCAGGAGTTTGAACCCATGAAGTTCTTTAAACTTTTCTTTGGTTCGAAGAGAAGTGTGAGGACGAACATTATTCTGTTGGAATAAAATTCCTTTTCGGTTGATCAAAGTAGGATAACGCTGTGACAACATTGTCTACAATCTTTCTAATTGTTCGCAGTACAGTTCAAATTCATAGAGCATCTATCAGGAACAAATTTGTGATGAATAACATCTAAATTCCAAAAAAACGCAAAGCATGGATTTTTTTTTTCAAATTGCTCCCTTGCAACAACTGGAAAAGCAGCTTGACTGTGATCTAGCCATTGCTCACGCGTAGTCGGATTTCATCAGTAAATCCACTTTTCACCACAAATGACAATCTTCTGGTAAAATCTCATATCAGAAGAGTTTTTCAATAAATTTTCATAAATTTCTAACCTCTTAATTGCTGAGTAAGTTCGTGAGGGACCAGTCTATTGCTCTTTTTCACCATCCCCATGGAGAGTAGATGGCGATTAACAGTATCTTTTGACACACTACAATCCCTGGCAAGTTTGCGAGTACTTGTGGATGGATTTGGTTCAACAACTTCATGCAGAACCTCATCAATATCCATTAATGGTCGCCTGGAGCCTGGGTCAGTATTAAATAGGATTAAAATATATACAGTCCTTTGATATCTAGAATTGCATAAAACATTCTTTTTTTTTAAACACCCTAATATATCTACATTAAGAGATCATGGTACCATCTTCTTTTCAGACGCCTTGGTGGGTTATCAGGAATCGAAGAGGAAGCAAGGTTAGAAGCGAGAGGGTTGGGATGGTTCTGAAGTTTATTATGGAAGAATAGGTATCGGGATTAGGCCAAATCTGAAACATAAGGAACATTATGAACATTGAGAGTTTTATAAAGGATTTTGGATTGAAAGGATTGGATACAAGAGGAATTCGGTATTTTAGTGAACCCCCATAACTAAACTCCGTAAGTCTAAATAGGCATTATAATAGTTATTAGTCTTTTGTAATTAATTGAAGGTTTAGTAGTCCAGTCAATGAATGCTCAAAAAAGGAGTGGGAATAGAAGGAAATGGGTGGGACACAATTTTTGACTTTGGGAGATAGTATGGACTAGTAAAGAAGTAAGCATACTAAAAGTCCCCAATCCTAGGTGGTGAGCCAGATGTGGGGGGAGCGCCTAGAAGGTTACTTTTTTCAGGTTTTATCTTATTTCAGGAAAACTATCAATCGCATCAACAAAAAAATTGTCAATATGATTGATTATATACCTTACCTTTTTTCGCTACCTCACTTAGTTTCTGAGATATCTTTTCTGAACTATGTTTAATTTTGGGAGAAAAAAGAAATATGTTAGCCTCATGTTTATTGCTGTATTTCAGGTTTTCACTTATATCAGGAAAACTATCCATCGTATCGACAAAGAGATTCTATATAAAATTAAAGCTGATAAAATTTGCAATATGATTAATTATATACCTTTTTTTACTACATCGCTTAGTTTCCGAGATATCTGTCCTCAACTGTCGCTAATTTGGAAAAAAAAAAATTTTATCACATGTTTTTTACTGTAATTGACTAGCTAACTTCTTGATTGCTTCGTTATATGATTAAATCATGGAAGAAAGTTTTAAATAATTACATTTTCTTCAAGAATATGTATTATTTTACTAGTTTATCTTCAATAGCTCAAAAGTTAGATCAATTATAACTGTATGTCAACTCCGAGAATTAGCAGAAAAAAATAATTTTTATGATATAAGTTATTATATTGCTGTAACTCTCTATGCATCTAAACCTCTAAGTAGATATTCGTATATATTTTTATATATACATATATATACATATATATATATATATACATATATATATATAACTATTTAAAAAATTAATTTTTTCTGCAGATTTTCAGAATTGACACATAAAGTTATAATTCACTTAACTTTTGAACCGTTGGAGATAAACTAGTAAAATAATACATATTCTTGAAGATGTAATTATTTAATTATGTAATTATTTAAAACTTTCTTCCATGACTTAATTATATAACGAAGCAATCAAGAAGTTAGCTAGTCAATTACAGTAAAAAACATGTGGTAAAATTTTTTTTTTCCAATTTAGCGATAGTTTAGACAGATATCTCGGAAACTAAGCGAGTTAGTGAAATAAGGTATATAATCAATCATATTTTGATTGATGCAATATTTATCAGCTTAAATGTTGTATGCAACGTCTTTGTCGATGCGATGGATAATTTTCTTGATATAAGCGAAAACCCGAAAAAGAACAATAAACATGAGGCAACAATTTTTTTTACAAAATTAACTATAGTTGACGACAGATATCTTGGAAACTAAGCGAGGTAGTGAAAAAAAGTATATGACCAATCATATTGCAAATTTTATCAGCTTTTATTCTGTATAGAAAATTTATTTATCAGTTTCATTGGCCGTGGGGGGTTACCCTGGGTCGGTAGACCCTCCTGGGGCACACCCAGCCTCTATAAAGTGTTATTAATTAAACAATTAATTAAGGAGGAAAACCTGGCGGTTGAGCATGATCACGGTCAAATCACCTCCTTGCGTCAAATCAAAGGGTGATTGCGGTCAAATCACCCTCTTGGGGCACACTCAGCCTCTATAAAGTGTGTACCCTTAATTAAACAATTAATTAAGGGGGAAAACCTGGCGGTTGAGCATGATCTCGGTCAAATCACCTCCTTGCACAACCGTTGACCTAGAAACAGTGCTTTCCCTAAATAGTACTGAACCCAAGACCCTTCATGGGTTGTAGTGGTACAGGTTTTTTTTTATTCTGTATAGAACATCTTTGTGGATACCTTCTAGGGGCCTCCCACCGTTTCCTTCTATAATCATTCATTGACTGGGACTATAGAGGATTTGTCTAGTAAGTGCTGAAGTAGCCGAAAACATCAAATTGTTTTTTGTCGTTTCAGTTTGGTATGAGGATTCCAAGTCAGACATTTGTCCAGGTGGAGTCCTAGGTATCGGATTTGTTCAACAGGGATAAGTGGAATATTGTTTAAAGAATACTGTGGGACAGGAAGTTATAGGTTTACGATGAAGGGTAAATGTAATTTGATGGGATTTATTTTAATGCTCTAGTTTTGACACCATTCCTCAAGGGTTTGTGATGTCTGGGAGAAAAGTTTGGAATGTACTTATGGGTCGTTATTGAGAGATCAATAGGCATTATTGTGATTCACTTTGAAGTGCTTATCAGTAAGGTAGAAATGGATAATGAGAAAATATGTAGGGTGTAGGAATTTATGGATTTTGTAATGTAGATTTAAATTTAAATACATTCAGAGTCAAATTTTCTGCTCAATGTTTCTGTGAAAGAAACAAGCTAACAAATTGGTTCCTAAGGAAAATAGATTTATACTATTGATATTTTTGTCATAGAAAATAGATCATTCATTAACCAAGCAGTAACTGATTTTTTTACCACTCCTGATATAGCTCTATAACAGCCTCTATAGTAATCGAGTCTCAAACTATAAGGCATTTATCAAAATAATTTGGGGAAGGCTGCTGCTTCTCTAGCCTCTAATCTAACCAACATGATTTAAAATTAGAAAAATAGGTAAATTGAAATAAATGTATCTGTATATATATATGACAAATCAAAATTTATTAATATTTACATATTACTTTCTAGTACCCAATAAATATTCATGAGAAAGATGGATAGGGTAAAGGAAATAGGAGAGGATATAATATCATCAAAGTAATAAATAAAAACATATTAATAAAATAATCACATAAAACATAAAGAAATAACAGCTATCCATACAATGGTCGTCTTTATTTGTATAAAACTTAAATACATCTTACCTAATCTTACTTTGATAATAAATGAATCACAGAAAACTTCAGCAGCTCTTTTCACACTCCTGGTTAAGACTTAAAATTGGTAATGACCTGAAAAGATAAAATCTAAACTTCAAAATACAAAATATTCTTTTTCATGAGCTAATTCATTAGATACCCACGCTAAACCCCACTTTAAATTGGTTAAAAGAAACTTCAAGGCCTTTGTCCACTGTTCTTCTGAATTGAACTGGATTCTATAATACATGATAAAACAAAGTTAAAAAAGTTCATTAATAAATACACAATAGCAATGATATAATAACATACTTTACTGAAAAGGAATTTCCAGTACCAGAATCTTCTAATCTTCCATTTTCCATACGATATGGTAAACAAAAACCAGAACGGCCTTTCTCAACTTCTTCTTTGAACTGCTGCAAGCATTCAAGAAAAGCAGCCATTGCTGAATCAAATTTATTATCCCACAGAAATTTGAAACCTCCAGAACCGAACAGTGGTAATACTTTTTGCTCTGATATCACCTGAATTAAAATTTAAATGATTAATACAAAAATATTAAAAAAGTAACAACACTAATCTTTAATAAGTTAACTATGAGTTTCAGTACTAATACAATGACACAATAAAATAAAAATCTTACTCACTTATCACCATATATAATTTTTTTTCAACAAAATGTATGACAATCTTACTAATTTTACTTTAATAGTCTTCCTTATTCTGTTAAAGGTAACAACTGCTTTGCAGAAATAAATAAAATATAATAGCGTGTATTCATAATCCTAATTACATCTCATCAAGACAATGATAAAACATTCTAGGTCCTAAGAGATTAACGATTTTCATAAATGATTAACTTAAAAACACAAAGATGAGGATTTAAGTATTAACTGATTAGAATGAAACAATGAATATGCCATTCTTGCTATTAAATAAAACTAACCAGTGAAGTAAAAGTAAAATGAAAATGTTCAACATTATTTCCAACACCACTAATCATTCAAATTAAAAATACTTTAAAAAAGAAAAATCTTGATTATTTTGACATAAATCTAGATTATGCTGATGGCTTAGAAATTAGTTAGAAACAAAATTTTCACCAATAGAGCTTATTACTATTATTACAGAATTAACATTGGGAAAACAAGACTTCACCAATCTGCTGACAGAATACCTTTTAATCATTTAAAACACTGGTAAAAGGTACACCATTTCTCTAATTTCAGCCAATTGTATACTGAACCGAGAATTTATAAATTTATGATTATTCATTGCCATTCTTAAAAAAAAAAAAAAAAGATTAAACAAAGAGAATGGATAAAAGATTAATAAAGAGTTAAATCAAGATCATGGCACCAGTAATAGAAAATAAAAAACTATAATAATTTTAATGCGATATTGGGCAAGGAAACACGGAAGGCTTGCATTACAACAGCAATTATAATTATCTAAGATACAAAGTGTTTCATAGAAAATAATAGATAGTAATATATATATATATATTTTTTTTTGCTTAGTCCTCCTTGGATAGCGTATATTGGTTAAAATTTGTATTTAAATAAAAGACAATGGAAGAAATGTCTTCTGATTACACTCGAAGCAAGGAGACATGATTAAGGTAAAACTATATCTTCATCATGCATTGTTCATATGTCATAAGCTAGTTTCAAAACCTTTAACACAAACAGAGCAAGACACTCTTGCATTCAACTAAGCAGCGGGTAAAGTCAAATTCAGACAAGTGGCACACACAATTTTTTCATGATCTGAATAAGTAGTTGACAGTCTCAGTGGTACATAGTGGTCTATTTAAAAACAAAAGCTAGAGAAAAAAAAATTTTGATAGGATTAAATTTTGAATGAACTTGATCAGGTAACCAATTTGAAGAAGACATATGCTAACACGAGCAACTTCAGAAAGGCACAATTAACAAGAATACCTACTACAAGAACAAAAATCAGTAATGAAAACCCTTTTACTTATCATAAATAGTGTCAACAACAATATATATCGCTGTATAAAAGTCCGTAGTACATAAGTCCCTGTATATAAGTCCCTACACTTTCAATCAGCACTATAAGCAATAATATGTTTCTTAAAAATAAAAATGAATACATCTCTGAAAATAATACTATAAAAAACACAAACCTCAATATATGAATGGTTTCCATATGGCACCAATCGGTACTTTTCAAATTTTAAATTCATTTTATTTGCAAGTGCAGAAAGAAGAAGTGCAGTTTGACCCCAAGCGGCATTTATTTCACTCCAGTCAACTGGAGCAGAAGGAAGGCGTCCAAGTTTAAAATTATTTATTGTTCCAAAATGCCCACTGTGCCATATATGAAATGTTGCATTAAATACGTTAGTCTTCTTCAGTTTCTCTAATTGTCCTTTGGTATAGGCAAGCTGACAATTCAAACTGTCAATACAAAAATATGTTTAATAAAACATGGGTAACCTTATTACAAATAAACTTTTAAAACCTTTTATTGTAAACTAATTTATACAATGGACCCTGGTTATAACATGGCTCATTCTACTTCGAATTCAGGAATAATGCGGATCTAAAGCGGACCCTAAACGGTCATTCGGAATTGCATTCCGAAGCACTAATGACGATCCGAATTATCGTGTAAGGTAGGGAATGAAGTACTGATGGTGGTGCGTTGCGGATTTCTGAACATCCAGAGAATCAAAGGTTCATTCAAGAGAAATGGAGGGGGAACTGAGGTGAAAGTAGTGGGGAGACTAACCATACTACTGGATAGGTTAGGTTACCTAGGCCTCACAACCATTATAAATTTCTGATTTTCATTATAAGTAAATAGTTAAATAATTTTTCATATCCCTTGTTTATATTTTTAAACCATCTTCAAATATTTCTTTTAAATAGTCAAGTGGGCAACAAATTTTTAAAAAAATGTGGAAACTTCACAATTTACTTTAAGAAAAAAAAAAACTTTAACGTTATGTATATTTGTCAGTTCTTTTCCCATTTTCCTCAACAAATTTATTATTTTCGCAATACCTTTCCTTAATTTTTATAAGTAGTAGACTTATATTTTAATAACTTTTATCAAAACGATTTTCTATGAGACTAACCTTAATACTAGATAGGTTAGTTTACCTAGGTCTCGTTTTTAAGTAAATAATTTCATAAAAGTAAATAGTTGTTTATATCCCTAGTCTATATTTTTATTTTCTTTAAATAGTCAAGTAGGCAATAAATTGAAAAAAAAAAAAGTGGGAACTTCACAATTTACTTATAGAAAAAAAATCTTAACTGTTGTGTTTATTTGTCATTAATTTTTCCATTTTTCTTAACAAACTGATTATTTTTGCAATACTTTTTCTAGATTTTTGTATGTAGTTGGCTTATATTTTTCTAACTTTGCTCTAAACGATTTTCAGGCACTAGGAAGTAATTATTATTTCTCCATTTATCTCTTGATGCCCAATATTATAAATGACAATGTCCAAATAAGCATATCTATGCTGTTTCTTTGTTTACAACTGAGCTAAATTGGTGTCAGCAACGATAAGTAATGATCAGTAATGATTGAACGTGTACGGGTCTTCATGATCAAAGCGATTCCGAGCAATCTTTGCCATTCTTGTGAGGTTCATTCATGAATTACCGTGTAGGGTCCGCTTAGCCCTGATCCCAATCTTTGATAAGTTTCAAAATAAAATGATAATACAATATTGTTTTTTGTTTACCTTACAGCACAATATAATACAGAAGAAAGAATTAAGTACATTGGTGATGTACTTATTGTAATTTTGTTCTAATTTTTTACCCAGCATGCTTGTCTTCAGTCAGCAACAAAGATATGTACTAAATTCAATTTAAAGTAGAAATCTCACTCCAATTACCAGCCTACTACTAGGAAAAAACAGTTAAAGAAGCAAAGTTAACAATAACGCCTACCCCAATGAAGTACTTTATGCAATTTACTACTAGTTGGAGGGACATAAATAGTTTATTATACCCATAAAACATTTGCCAGTTCCTAAATAAATAATTTTTTCACAGTAGTTATTGTGACTCATTATTTTGATGCCCATCTTTTTTTTTTTTTTTTTTTTTTAATAAAGCAGCTTTGTTGCATACATGAGTGATTAGATTTTCTTTACCCCTGATATAGAATGAGTAACCCTATAATGCTTTGCTTTTCATTTTCCCTTGATCCACATTATAATAAGAGTTATATATTGAAATACCTATATATTAAAGCCGAAAACCTGTTGGGCATATTTGTCGAGATGAAATAAAAGCACAAAATACAAATCAAATAAATTTATGAAAAATAAAATGATTAAACTTATTTGAAATGAGAAAATATATATAGCATAAATAGTTTTAAAATGTCATTTAATTGAATTTCACATATTAAATTTAATTTTATTTTAAAATAGGTTTTATTAAGAGGGAAAATTAAAAACTCTTGCCTTAAGAGCAAGTAAAGAAGAAGAGCCAATACTAGAACTTAAGTAGCAATTTTACTACTCAGAAACAACAAACATCAGATTTTAAGTTTTTTTAATATTTTATTTAATATTGATACAGCAGTAATTTTTATTATAAGAAGTTTAAGGTCTGTTCTGGTTTAAAATTAGGTGATCCTATTTTCCCAATTTTCTTTACTTCAATTCTGGAATGTCATTTGAAAGATAATTTGTTCTGGTAAAGATAAAGCTTTAAATAGTAAAATACCTGAGGTTGGATATGTTGACGATTAAGTGGTGTTAGGTTAAAATAAGTAAACTATTATATCAAATACAAAAATTGAAAAAAAAAAAAACAGTGAAATACCAGTAAAGAATGTATAAATGTTATGTTTAGCAAACACGAATAGAAAAAACAAAACATAAGACCAAATAATTATCCATAATATTAAATACCTTTTGAATTCTTCTTCAATTAAAATATACTCATTTCTATGTTTTGTATACTCCTTCCAGTATCTCACTTCTTCTATATCAAGTTTTTCACTGTTCTTCTTTTGTTCTTCTAAATCAAGACTGATTGCTTTTTCTTCTTGTTGAGCATTTGATAATTCAAATTTAAGCCTCTCTTCTTCTATTAAGAGCTAATAATATAAGTTTATAAACAAATTATTTTTTGGAAAAATAATTAAACTTAATTTAATTTAAAAATAAAAATTTTCTATTAATATCTAAATGAATCACTTAATTAAAAAAAATGCTGCAATCACCCAAAAATTCAATTAATTATTTTATGAATAACTTAATTATCATATTTTATGGAAAATCTGAAACTTCTTTGTTTAATTTTCAATCTCATTTAAAACTTATATATAAAATATTCAGTCATTATTTTCTAATCTATATTAATAAAAACGTAAATATTCGTTTGTTCAAAACCGCTAATCTCCGAAACTACTTCACCGATTGCTTTGAAATATTGACAAAACATTCCTATCGGATTCAGGAGTGTTTTTATATATTTAATTGCCCTCTGCCCTTCCATTATGGAAAGGTGGCTGAAAAACGTGTGTCGCTATAGACTGTACCGCCTAAACAGCTGTAACAATTTTCATTAAATTTGGATAGTCTTCTCGTTGATGTCCATTTAATATATATAACATCCTTCCCCGAAAAGAGTATGAAAAAAACGTTACAATGGGTTCAAAACTATATTTGCAAATGACTCAAAAAGTACTCAATTTTTGTTTGATTATACCAATAATTATTTTTAATTCCCAGTAATTTAAAAAAAAGAATCACTAAAATCAGACGATTTGGTGCAGAGATATAATGTTTTAAACATTTAGTACTTTTTCTTCGGAGATTTACATGGAATTGCTTCTCACATAGACAATTATATGTTACGTATTCTAGAGATGGAAAACCAGAAAATCTCTAGATCTATACAAAGAATGAAACAAGAACAATATTGCATATCCACAAGTATTGTTAAATAAAATATATGTGAAACAAGAATTTTTTATTTCTTTTTCCATTCAACCATACTATGCGTAGCTGGGTACAGCTTGCGTATTATAAGTTAACATGAGTGTACGAGCAAATACAGCAAAAAGTGCAAGCAGATACATAATTAAAATAATAACAGATAGATAATTTGTAATCTAAAATTCATGCAGTGGCAAAAGAAGTACTAAATAAAAAAAGAAAGTGAATGGGCAACTACATGATTGCTAAACGTGAAATTGTGTTGATGCATATTAATAAAGAGATATCAACAAACATGCTTCTCATAAAAAACTAAGAAGGGTAGTCCTCCATTAGTGCATCATTCATAAAAGTGAGGGTAACCTTCTCCTTATTTCACTATTATCATACACAGTTGGTAGAATCACTGGTACAAAATTTTGAAATTTTAAAATTTAAAAATATATATAAAGTTGCATGGATTTTTATAGGTTCAATGTATTAATGAGTTGTTAGGCAAGGGGATGCCCTCGCCTGTCTATTGTTCAACTTGGCAGAGGAGAAAGCTGTAAGAGACTCCGGTATTCAGACCAACGATATAATCTTCAATCGCCTGACACAGCTTCTTGGTTTTGCTGATGATATTGACATAATAGGTAGGTCTGAACGGGCTCTCAGAGAAGCGTTTATAGGCCTTGAAGCAGCTGCAAGACCACTTGGTCTAGAAGTCAACGAGAGGAAAACTAAGTATATGAGAGTTGGTGGTGAGGTGGATCTGAACTCTCCATTTGAGGTAGGTTCTTTTAAGTTTGAGAGAGTGAAAAGTTTTATATACCTTGGGTCTGAAATTAATAGCAAAAATGACATGGCTCAAGAAATACAAAGAAGGATCACAGCTGCCAATAGATGTGTCTTTGGACTTGGCCGACACTTAAGAAGTAGGTACCTCTCAAAGAAGACCAAGCTGATCATATACAAGACCCTTGTTCGGCCTGTTTTGACATATGGCTCAGAGGCTTGGACGATGACTAAAAAGGATGAGATGAAGCTGAGTATGTTTGAGCGAGGAGTCCTCAGAAGGATTTATGGTCTAGTAAAGGAGGGTGATGTCTGGAGGAAAAGAAAAAATAGGGAGCTCAGTTCTCTCTATGCAGACATCGACGTAGTCACGTATATTAAACTGGCTAGACTAAGGTGGGCAGGGCATGTGGCCAGAATGAGCACCATTGAAATACCAAAAAAAATAATGATGGAGGAGCTGCACCTCGTAAGACGGGTAGGAAGGCCGAGGACGAGATGGTTGGACAACGTGGCCTATGATGCGAGAACCCTGCTTGGTGTACGGAACTGGAGAGCTGCAGCAGAAGACAGAGCCAACTGGCGGAGGTTCTTGGAGGAGGCCCAGTCTCGGTAACAGGATGTTGTGCCACATATGATGATGATGATGTATTAATGAAGTGGATGGTATTTTAATATCCAGTTAATATTTAAATATTAAATAAATAAAGATAAAAAAATATTGAATATCAAACATTAAATTTGTTGATTTTTCAGACATTTAAATTATTGTTTAATACAACATTTTTCATACTATTAAAGTAAATTAACTAGTTAACAGTATTCATCTCAAAAGAAAACTTCTTGTATTCATCACTATGAACAACTAGAGAATACTTGAAGTAATTATTAAAAGGATAGGGTAACATATCATCAGATACTACCCTTATACTTCAGTAGAATAAATATGATTCTGAAACTTCCCTTGTCTAGACTAAAACCATCTAGCATTATCAGGGGTAAAACAACGTAACCCATTTGTATGATGCACTAATGAAAACATGAAAAATAACAATTGAAATGAGTGGTTATTATTAGCTATATTGTATTGTTTTGTCTGCTATTGCAAGATTATGCTTTAGTAGATATCTTCAGAAATTTAACCATTGGCTTCATGATTATTGATCTAAAGTATAAAGAAAACTACAAAAGTGTTACTTACATCCTTCAATTCTTTGTTTAAGACTTCTATGTTTTCTTCGAAAGATTCTGTTTTAAGCCTACAATAGTTAGTATAGTTTTAACAAAAAAATTACAATCATAAAATATTTTAGAATTAAAAAATTAGTTGATTAGTAACTTTGATAGCACATAAATAAACTTACTGAGGAAAGGGATTAGGATTAGTAGGATAAAGAATCCTTAAATCTTTTATTTTATCAAAAAAATATGAAGTATTATTCAGTAAATAAATCACATAAAAGTTGTTAAGACAATAATAAAAGATTTAATATTTTCGTTAGTTAATTTTTCAATATCAATTGTTAACTGTTTTTACTAATTACTATTGTTATTATCACTACTAATACTGATATTACTGATTAATGGTTTCAACATAAATGAATTGTCATTTGATATACCAATAAAGTAAAGTCTCTATAATCTGGCTGTTAGCTACTTCAGCACCTTTTGCAATCTGTCACTGAGCTGGTATCCCACTCATACAGCCATGCACCCTCATGGGTAATTGGGAAGCCATGAATCCCAGTAAAAGTGGGAGACTATACTTCACATAACTATAGTGTTGCCATCTAATGTTAGAGCATTACCTGCTTTAACATTTTCGAGAGTAGCGACCTTGCTTTGAATGCATAAACATGTTAACGCACATTTCAAATATGTATATGGAGGGGTTAAACATTCCGTTCTTTAACAATTAAAAATAGTACATTAATATACTGTTTAAAATATTTTCTTAAAGCTATAATGGTCATTTTCATTATCTGGTACATTACTTATTACCATACATTCATTTCTAAACACATTGTAAATAGTTTGTGTAAGTAATCATATGAATTTCAAAAACTTAAAAAAACTTTGGCTTCTGCCATACGTTCTTCCATTCTTGAAATATGTCAAAAACACCTGAGCTGATTATCTTCAATAAGTGTTTTTAACTGATTTCATCCATTTTAGTTCTTTTCATATAATTCCTTACTTAGTATTTTCTGATTTTGCACTAAACTCTTATTAAGTAACACATTTCCTTAGTCTGGATTTTCTTATCCTGCTTCCTAAAAGGGGCACCTGATTCACTGCAAAATGTCAGTATTGGAAAAAATGTATTCGTATACACTATTGTTTTAATGTTGCTTGGACACTGTCCTCTTTCCTATAAATTTGAATAAATATTAAAGCTATTAAATATATTAAGCTGACTTTATTCTTAGCTTAATATCTTCCTCATTTAAAGCAGCCTATAGGAACTTAAAATTCTTAATCTGCTCAAGATTCTCACCTGTCCAGCCCTATTATCTGAGATGAATCATATTTATACAGGATGCAGAATTTCAATTTAAATTCTTTAGAGGAAGCAGATAGTTGGAAAAATTAATTAATACTTTTAGAATAATAATTTTTTTTATAAATAAAATTACAAATAATTATCAAATATACCTCTCAAGAAAATTTTTATAATCGTCCCATTCATCTTCCATAAGTTTTAACTGTTGATCCATCAAATCAATTAGCATATCAGTACATTCTTCACATAAAGGATGATCTATTTCTGAATTAGAAGAAAGTGTATCAAATAAGCTAGCAGTCACCTAACAAAAAAAACAAACAAATTTTTAGTTTCAGTTCAGAAAAGACATTCTAGCAAAGAGCATAACTTCCAGAATTATCAAATAATTTTTGTTTCCTTGACTGAAATATAGTTTAAAACTTTAATCAATTTAATATATATAAAAATCCCAGATAAGGTTTAGAAACATAAATGATAGTACTTAAAAAACAGAACTGATGTTATAGTTTACAGAGTTTATGAACTACTGTGTTCTGCTGCTAGTATGTTGTAAAGCTGCCATTCCCATGTAAGTAAACCAAGTATCCTTCTTAATCAAGGTTCAGATCCGATTATGTGAATATTTAATTAACGTTGTTTTGTGTGCTCGTTTTTATAAAGGGCAATTGTCAGTGCACACGAAAACACTTACTTTGGGGAAATGATAAAAAATCAAAAGAGCAAACTTGAGTGAATAAGAGGGTAAGGCACAAGAGTAATATCATTTTTGTTCAAAACTTAGCATTTAGACATAGCTGTGTGAGCAAGGGGCAAGGGCCTTTTAGTGGTAGAAAAACCGATTGCCAAACTTCCAATAATCAGACTTCTTCTGAAGCAACTTCTTCAATTGTTTGTAATTGATCTACCATAGAAGTCTCCAAACTTTTTGACTTTGAATGGACACTAACACGTTTGGTGCAGGGTATTTCATGAAAATACCTCATGCATGGATGCATATTTCTTTTAAAAAATTTATAATGACATTTTTTTTAACTATTCAAAAAAATAACTATAACAGAAATAAAACAAAGCATACCTCTTTAAAATTTTAATATATCTGGAAGTGACAATTCACATTCTATAAAAAAGCATAGCAAAAATTCCTAATTTTCAAACTTAAGTTAACTATAACCTCACCTAAAGGACAAATGAGTGAGAAATAACGTTTCACAAACTAACTAGTTCTTGTAATCTTTAAAGAGATCAACAAAAAGTAATAAAACAATTATTGACAAATAAGTATAGTTAACTGATATAAATAATGCATTTAAAGCAGATAACAAAGTAGACTGAATACAAAAACAACACAAAAAAGAAAAACAATACCTTCATGAAATGACTTAAATCACCAGGTTCTCTTTGAGTTCCCAAGAGCGTAAATCCATTTATACCATTTCCAGAATCATCCAACTGAAATTGTGGTACAAAATGATCAATGACAGCTGCTTCCAAGTCAACTTCAGGTGAAATAGTCACAGGCACTGAACATGGAGGACAAAAAATATCATAATAATTAGTTATAATTGAAAGGAGGATCAAAATAAAACTTATTTTACTGAGACTGACATAAAACCAAATAAGTTAAAAAAAAATAAATTTAAAAAATCTTTAATAGAAATAAATTGTAGAATAAAAATTTGCCACCTAAAAACAATTTATTGGTGAACAGAGAACCTTAATTAGTTCTAAATACATTTATGTAGATACTTATAGAGTGAGTTTTCGATTTAGCCTCATTTAAATACACTTCCTTTCCAAAAAAAAAAAAGTGTAAATATGTGTATAAATATATATACTAGTTTTCATCATTAACATTTTTTAAAATCATATGTTTAATAGCTAATGACCAACTTTTCAAAAATTCTGAATACTGAAAAATGGTTTGACTAACAATAAATGAATAAATGTAATAGAAACACTTTAATTTGTTGTAGTCTAAGTTTATATGACATTATTAGTTTTAAATACAGTAAAATAATATCAAAATATATTGTGAATGTACAAAATGTGAACACTTACTGGAGTTGATACAAAAATACTATGAGGATTCTTTGAAGAATCACCAACTCAAAATATTTTTTTACTTTTAAATTTGTACACTTGATTTCCAGAGTTTGGCCATTAAGCTCTCATCGATAAAATTTATAGGTTAAATTTCAAATATTTGAAATTTTCAGAAAAACCTTTAATTATTGTACCACTGAATGATTTCACAAGGTAAATTTTTTGAAAATGATAATTTCCATTATTCAGTATCATGCCTTTAGCATATATTATTCATCAGACGTAATTTACACGATGTTCATTTATTCAAAGGAAATAAATATTGAAATAAACATAATTTTCAAGAAGTATTCATACTTCACAAGTGTTTCTCCACAATGGGTATGCACAAGGTCTTATGATCACACTGCATATGGAATTCCAAAAATGGCTGAGTGTAACTGAAATCAGACTCTTGTAGAGCCCCAACCTCAACTAAAAAGGGGTAGTTGGGTAGATTCTTTTATCCATTTTGATTAAACAGAAGTCAATAGCAGCAATTTAATTAAAGCTAATTAAGGCTCCGATTTTACCTGAAAAGGATCCATTGGAAGTTTCCATAAGGTTAATACTTGACCTTTCTCAAAATTCCATTTATAGTGTGATCATGTGATCTTGTTATTATGCTGGAACAACACTTAAGAACGGGTACATTTTATGTTCCTGACCAACCATAACAATTACCAGTATTTTTGAAGACCATTAACCAGAATAACTACAAATAACAATAATTACGCAGCAAGAGATTCAATGAAAATTACAAAGATTAAAATGATGAAACAATTGAACAGTTAAAACAGTAAAGGCCAACTTAATTAATAATACAACATCAAAAATTAATAAGCAAAAAAATTAAGGTACCAATCTACAAGTTTCACTCCACTTTGATGAGTGAGCCAGGATCCAATGATTACAACAGTATAACCTTCCTTCATGTAGATCATGATTTAAGACTTCAGCAAATTTCTTATTGGTCCTTTTTAGTTAAAATAGGGAGCATTAATTAGCTTTAATTACATCAGTGTTTTAGACTTAGCTAGCTCAAAAGTGGTCATTTTAGTAGAAGTTGGGGCCTTACCAAACGGTTTGGTCAGTTCCAGCTCGGACACACTCAGGATTCCGCTTATGATATGATTATGAGATCTTGTGCCACCCATCAAAGTTCAGTGACATTTGTCCAGAAGTACCAAAATTAAAAATAAGAATTATCAAGATCAAAGGAAAATAATGAAATTAGTGATTTTTAAGCATTCTTATGACTTGTGTTATATAAATAGGGAAAGTTAATTTATAAATATAATTTTCAATTAAGAAGAAAATGGTCCAAGGGTCAATAAAAATAGTATCAAAAAGAGATAACTATTTATTGCACGCCAAAGTTTTAACCCACTTTATTGTTTTCTATGAGGGCTAAAAAGAGAGACACAAAGAGTGATATAACGATTTAAATTATTATATTAATTAAATTGTATTAAGAAATGGATAAGATAAACTGATGAATCAATATACTTACTAAATAATAACTAATAAAATATTATGATAAATATTAGTCAACATTACATCAGTTATTACTTGATCAGTATCTTGGTTCATCAGTTTACCATACTCATTTTCAAAGTCAATTATTATAACAGTTACTATTGTTTTTCATCTTTATTAACCTTTATAATTCCCTATTTCTACTGTACTCATATTTATGTCAGTTATTGTATTAGGGGAACCGGAAAGTAATATTGTTTTTTGACATTAAATTTAAACACAGAAATTTCACACAAGTTTTTATTTTTAATCAATGATGGAATCACCCTCGTTATAAACAACCTCTTGCCATCTAATGTGCACATTTTCAATGCAGGATCGATAGAAATCAATTGGTTTTGGAGTGAAATATATAGATGGCATCTTGGACATCATCCAAATTTGCAAATCTTTTGCCACTTAGAAAGTGTGTTAAAATGATCAAAATCAATAGATAAATAAATCCGATGGTGGAACATCTAGCGAGTATGGTGGGTGAGGCAGTAAGTACCTCCCATCCCAATTCATTAATTTTTTCTAGGGTTCATCTTACACAGTGGAATTTAGCATTTCCGTGTTGCAGAATAACGCCTGTTTTGTTGACAATTGCTGACCACTTTTCAATTAAAGAATGATTTACACAACCCAATTGTTCACAGTTAAGGTCTGTATTCACAGTTTGTCAAGGTTTTAGCACTTCAAAATGAACAATGCCACGGATATTTCACTAAACACACAAAAGAGTTGTAAATCTAGCTTAACAGTACTTTATGGTGATTTTTTTGGAGATAGCCACTGCCTTCTACGTTTTGGATTATCATACAGGACCTGTGGTGATCAGGAAATCAAAAATCGCTTCTGTATTATGCTGTTGAAGAAATAAGTTGCATATGGTGGTTTCTCAACCTACTGAAATGTTCTTGAATGATTGACCAAGGTTGCTTAAGACTGTTTAACAATTCCTCGATTGTCTGACATGGATTTGCTTCTACTTCCGCCTTTAAGACGTCATTGTCTAACATTGTAGGTCTTCCTGATCGGTACGAGTCGGAAAGATCAAAATTACTGGATTTGAACTAGACAAACCACCTTTGGCATTCACAAACATCCAATACATTTGGATAAACATCGCAAATATTTTTGGTAACAACTGTTGTGTAACTACCCTTGCGAAACTCAAAAAGCAAGCAATGCCGGATATGAATCTCTTCTGATATTTGGCTGGCCATTTCACCAAAAATTGCAAGAAAAAAAATTTAGTTTAATTATTTCCAACTAAACAAGTCACTATAACCTTAGAATGTCTTAGTTACGACTTAGATGTACACAATGAGCTTCCGAATGAAAATCAAACAGTGACATGCTCAGAAACGACATTACTTTCCGGTCCCCCTAATACATGGCATTTTTATACCAGAGATGGGCAAACAGTACTCTGAGTACCGACTACCAATTATTTTACTCAAATTGAATTACTATTGGGAATTCAATCACTACTTCAATTAATCGTTTGATATCAACTGAAGTAGTAATTAAAATCTATGGTACTCGGTACTCAGAGTAGTATTTGTCCATCTCTGTTTTATACTATCACCATGTTTGTAGTTTAATACTACAATTTATCTTCTTTATAACTTTTCTTTTAGTTTTGATAAAGACCAAGAATGTGGATTGAAACATTGGAATATAATAAAGAAGTACCATTCAGCACTGTTCTTCAACTGCACTTATATACGGTGTCTTCAAGAATTGAATTGCCCTTATAGTTTTCCCATTTATGTAGGTCATAACATTTCGAGCCAATTGGCTCATTTTCAAGCTATCTATAATACGTCCCAAAACATTATTAATAATCATGATCATTGGGCGCAAAATGTCGACATGTAGGTTGGCATTCATAATATTTTCAATAAAGTTTAGGTTTTTAAAATCATTCCATGACCTACCCTCCCAAACCTGGACACTCACCTCTGTGTTTTACAGGAGACCTCACCTCTGTGTTTTACAGAAGACCTCACATGTCGAATTGGAATCTCAGTTTCAAGTTTCCGCCGAACAAGCTTGTGGCCATTAGAATGGAATATGTTAAACTTACTTTCATCTAAAGAAATAACATTTTTCCATAATTCGAAGTCTTTATTAACTTGAGTTTTGGCCAACTCAGATCTTCTTTTTCTGTTCACCTGTGTAATAAAAGGATTTTTCCTTTGAAACCTGACATAATAATTGTATATATGAATTATATTTCCAACAGAAGGTGGTATTTGAAGTATATGGTGCCTCTTCTGCAATTTCAGCGGCTGAGAAATTGTGCCCACCCATTTAATTTTGGTGGTCGTTCTGAACAGGATTTATTTAAAACTTTCTAAACTTCTGTGCAACATTCTGAACACTACTAAAACCAATTTCTGATTTATTCAGTATTTGTCGGTAGCTAAGTCCATTAGAATGTAATTTAATGATGATTATAAATTACACACAATATTGACTGGTTTACCCATGTTGTTATGGCAAATATACAGCAAAGACTGCTTTTTATTGTTTTCATTGTATAATCATCAATCATCCTTTCTAACCTCTCGAAAGAAAAAGGAGTAATTTGTTTTAACTTAAGCTACTAGTAAACATTTAAAACTGTGCCAATACTTTTTTGACCCTCAAAATTTACTCTTTATTTTTATTTTAAACATAGCTTTTGAATTCTGAACATCCATTGCTTCTAAAATATATTATTCAAAGACGACTTTGTTATATAAATGTCATTCCTGGAAAATATCTTAACCCTATTGAGATTTACACAAAAATTGGAGTGTGTCAATACTTTTTTGACCCACTGCATATATTTTTTTTCTTTTATAATTTCTTTATCTTTCAAATATATCAAACATATAATTAACGAGGAAGTGTGTACTTTTTGAGTAGTCAAATTAACTTTTTGTTTTTTTTTATTACAATGGTTCATTATTGAAAATAATAAACCAAACATCTGAAGAATCTGTTTATAGGGTCAAAAGTTGTTTACGAGGCCATAGAAAAATTGAGAAACAAAGACATTAATGTAATCGACTAAAGATCTTATTTGTTGAGAGAATTTGAGTAGTCAGTATGATAAACATAAAAATATATTATATGAATTACCTAAACCACTAGTTTTCATCAAAGAAAGACTTTACAAATTCAGAATAAATATAAATATTTACTGTTGAACATATATTTATCCATTAGAATATTAATAAAAGTGATTCAAAAATCAGGCAGTGTAATCAAATATTGGTACTTGTCTAGAATCCAGTCAGAACGAAACCTCCCTTCTTATATAATCTTAAGTCACATGACCTCCCTTCTTATCTTGTGTAAGCTGTGAGTTATTCCATTGTGTATTTTTGTTAAAATGGATGTTATTAGATTGAGGGAATTGGCGTCTTCAGAAGAAAAGGCTATCAAATATTTTCAAAACGCGGCGTTTTTGAATTCCCATAAATATGACATTTGTTTTTGTCTATTTCAATTTCCATACATATGAATACAAAGATTATCAGTGCCTTATAAGAATTATCAATGTTCAGATTATAAACATTGGCAAATAGCAGTCAATCCCGACCGGATTCAAGACAAGTACCCAATTTTTTTTAAATAATATATTACCTATTATATAAGCATCTCAAGAATTTATGATTATTTTTTTATATATATTTGTTTACACCATAAACCAATAATAAACAAATTAATTAATTAAAAAAAACTGTAATTATCATTTTTTATAGTTTAATTAAGATTTTAGAATTCTTCTGAGGTATGTCCATTATAGGTACCGACTCCCTGACCATCACTAGAGCAAATAGGTGTTTTTTTTAAAATGGAGATTATACCTGCAATACTGAGTATTTTTACAAATTTAAAGTGTTAAATAGAAAAATGAGATCCTAAATGCCCAATGGAGATGTTTATAACTCTAATAATTACGACAACATAAATCAAAAAAGACAAAAATTTCCTAAGCTATGTCCATCCCTGGTGTACTCACCCTCATCCTGGCCAATATTCTTAATATCCAATACAACATTTACTGCATTATATATATATATATATATATATATATATATATATATATATATATATATATATATATATATATATCTGTGTGCGTGTGTATGAATTCAAGAGTTTCCGCCCTGTTTAAAATTTTAACATTATTAAAATCGAATGTGTGATTGTTTATTATACTATGGTAGGATAAGGCATTGTTTTTCAGGATTTAATACATTTACAGGGATACATTTACATACTTCCCTTAAGAGCTCAAATATTACAGTCCATTATAAACAAAATAAGGAGGAGGGACTTCCAGGTTTTGGGGTGCGTGTAAAAATTAAATAAAATACAAGAAACTCAAAACATAAATAATATAATTTTAAAATAGTCGCATATGACAAATCTTTTTCAGTTGTTTGGATTGACATGCATTTGATTAAATGCAAATAAAATGTGAGGAACATGATTGTTTTCATATTATTGGACTCAAAATAAACAGCAATAGAATTGTATAATATCGAAATATGATAAAAATGTTATCGATTTTTGATAAGTTCATTCATTATATATAAATTAAATTGTTGTTAGATTATCAATGATCATAATTATAAACAATGTTTTGTGATTTGTTATGGATAGCTTGAAAATGAGCCAATTAGCTCAAAACATTGTTATGCTAAATAAATTGAAAAATTATGAAGGCAATTCAATCCTTGAAGACACCGTATATAAAGAAGGACCAATTTTTGCTGCTATTTTGGACCATATCTTAGATGATCTCTTTTTTATTAAACGGTAAAATCAACCAACAATAACCAATATTTCTCATTAAAAAAAGAACAGGATGATAAGATGAAAAATAGGTAGTCAAATATGAAATTTAGTATGGATTGTGGGGGAAAGAGATGAAGTCCCTACAGTTGACTACTTTCAAGATTCCATGCACAGTGAAAAGGACATGTGTTAGATTCCTTTTTCAACCTGGTGTGACCCATCTCAACTAATACTAAAATCTTTTTTACAGGTGGTTTCACAGTTGATTAAACAAATACTTACACGATAACTCTGCTAATGTGTGTTCTCCTAAACTTGAAAAAGAAGAATCCAGTTTCAAGGGCTGGAGACATCTCTGGCAGAGAAAACTAACATTTACTTTTCTTTCACTTTGCATAATGTCTGAATAACGAAATGAGCAGAAAAACAAATAATTTAAAACTAAATAATTAAGAAAAATTCCCTAAATTTCACGTAATGGTACCAGTTAGAAAACTGCTAGAACATACTTTTTAAATGACAAAATAAATATTCTACGGCAATGGATTAAGTAATATTATTTACACTATATAATTTACTCCCAATCTAGAATTAATAGGTAAACCTTACTATAGTTTAATCATATTCAAGGAATATTATAACTTTTCAATAAAAACGTATGGTAAATACTGAAAATCTCTGAAAATATAAAAACTAATTTCATTTGAATTAAACTATCGAAAAACAACTAATCAGTCTATTCTATTTTATCACCATATTCAACTGACGAATGTTCAACAAAAACAATTAATACTGCGTAAAGAAATCCTTTCAGCATTTATTAAATTCGAATTTTCGAAACAATTAAACATATCGTATTGCCCAAAAGATAACCAGAACAGGAAACAAGTTCAGATATGACAAAACCTGTCCATAAATAGCGCCATTTATTTAAGAAAGTGTCAGAAAAAAAAGGTAAGTTCCTAAACCTAGCGCTGAACTCATTGATTGTTTCATTTCACTCAGTTTACAGACGGATTCGATGCAATCGATGAGAATATGAATTTTCCCAAACCAAAGAGGATAGAGTGGCGATACTGTAACGAAATAATAATAAGTAACAAATATTTGGGGCATAAATATACAGTAATATCATTGATTCATTTCATTTGACCGGATTTATTTTCCTAGATAAATCAAGAAAAAAATTCAAAGCAATAAGAATCCGTTTTTCAACGAGCAAAGACGACGTATCAAGCTGAAACAGTTCCAAAAATCTTAAAACCTAAAGGGCCCCTTACACGGTCAATATTATTGAGTTTAGTATCGAATTTCGTTAATATATTGACATTTTAAGGGCTATATTTGTATCAATTTTATAAACGTCAATCTAGTTCATATTAGTCAACCTAGTTAATATTAATATTTTTAAATTTTTATTGAAGTGCTTTCAATATTATTATAAGAGTATCCAAACAATAGCACGTGCAAGAGTTCTATTAAGCAATATTATATCACATATACGGATCTCGGACCGTGGGAGGCCCTTGGTGATATGATATATCGAGGTCCTTCTTGGTTAGAACCATTGAATATAGACAGAAGTAGAGGGCATGAAGGGAAGAAGTATGTGCCCAGGTACCACCATTCCAAGCGTACTAACCACGGGCGGATCTACGGGGGGGGGGGGGCTTTCGGGCTGAAGCCCCCCCCAAAATGGAAAAATATAACCATGTTTTATGGGAAAATTTTTTTTAAAAATACCTCTTAAAGTATTATTGTTCGTGTAATTACGTTTAAAAGTACTTAAGGAATAACTTAAACATCATTTCATATAGGTAGTTAGTTTCTTTCTGTTTTTCCAAAGTAATTATCGTTATTTTTATGAAAAAAAAAAGGTTTCGGGCTGAAGCCCCCCCCAAAATTAAATCCTGGATCCGCTAGTGGTACTAACCAATACTCCCGCTAAGAGCTTTTCCGTGCTTTTAACCACTATTTAACATTTAAAACATTTGATTATTTTAAAATTTGTTTGTTTTTGAACAAATATTGTTTCTATACCTAAAGGAGCGTTGAATTTGGTTTTACTATCGGAAAGATGAAGAATATTGTCATCGGTAAGTTACAGATGGACATATATTATAACATAGTGGACACCATAAGATAATAATAGGAACTGGGGAAGACAACCGAAAAGATGGAGTGACTCCTTCAAAAAAGTGGCAGGCCCAACATAGTGGAGGACAGCAAAGAACAAAAATTGATGGTAGGAGATATGAAAGCAAATAGCAAACCCTTCATCCCAGTATGGATGGTCACTAGGGAAGTGTAAGACCATTGTTCCTCTTAAAAAATAGAGCAAGGCTAGTGCGAACAATCACAAATAAATAAAATATATAGTTGTTAATTAAGCTGTTTGTCAAAGAGCTACCATTCTTATTATTCATATTTATATAATTCAAATTCAGAAAAAAGTAGTAAAGGAATTAGAGGAAGGTATATTTAGACGGGTTTTTGAATATTTGATGGGGGAAAATTTCGACGGAGTTATAAATTTTAAGTGTAATTGTATATGATCAACGATTTTTCTAATTCTATTTTAGCTTGATCTGTTTTTAAGAAAAGGCGAGAAATAAAATATTTTAGGAGGGTGAGGGGGGGGGGGGGTAGGTTCTTGCGCCATCGACCTTGGGGGAGATGAGCATCCCTGGTGAAGTCGACTAATGATGGCTAGCCCTCCTCCTCTCCGAAGGTAACAAGGCTTCAACTGGCCTGTCTGCAGGTTTAGATTATTGTCTTTACACAAGACTTGTTGGAGAACAAACTGTTCTTAAATTATTTTAGTATTGTACCTACCAATGAATAAATTTATAACTTTGGCAACGACAGCAGGCTAGGAAAGTGTGAGCGAGCAGCAAATTTGAGATAGTACTTATGTAGAAAGTGGGTAGAAATGCATTGAAGGAATTAAGAACTGTGGTCAACAATTACGTTTTGACCAATAGATGAAACTTTGTAACTTTCGACAGAGGGTTGAAATCATTCAAAGAAAAACTTTACGGCAGGAAGGAGTTAGTTTTGACAGATAAGAAAGTAACGAAGTGATATCGTTCCAATTGACCGCTTAAATCTATCCAAGAGGCCCCTAAATTTGCATAATTCGTGAAGTGTATTTAACTGAAGGACTGGGCTCAAAATACTCAGTGAACCAATCTAAAATAGAATTCGAGATGACTGTCGAGTTAGTTGTAATTTTTAAACCGACTTAGTTTTTAAATTTGGGTTGAAACCAACCAACGAAAACCCTTACGACAGAATGGAGCCATACTCGACAGATAAGACAATAATGAAGCGAAATCATACCAACTGACCGCTTAAATCGCTTGCAATTCAAAAACTGAGGCCCCTAAATTTGCATAATTCGTGAAGTGTATTTAAATGAAGGACTTATGTCTTGGACTTGGCTCTAAATACGTAGCAACCCAATCTAAAACAGAATTCGAGATGACTGACGACATTAGTTTTTACATTTTTGAATCTGGCTTGATTTGTTGAATACGGTTGATTAAATAGGGGTTAAAATATTTCAACGAAGAACCATACGGCTGAAAGTAATATCCTTCGATATATAAGGCTAAATGCTGCCAAAACTCAGGCCATTCTCATTGGTTCCAAGCCCCTTCTTAGATCCCACACCAACTTTCCCTCACTCTATCTAAACAACCACCCCATCACCTTCTATCCCTTTGTTAAAAATTTAGGCTTTCTCATAGATCAAACCCTTTCCTGGAATCACCATATCTCTCATATATCCCGCCGTGCAATTTCTACCCTCAAACTATTCCATCACTTCCGCCATCTTCTACCCCAAAATACCCGTAGACTCCTAGTTTCCTCTCTCATCTTTCCCCACTTTGACTACAGCTGTGTGGTGTACGATGACCTCTCGGTGGAACTGCGTGATAGACTCAAAAGACTTATGAATTGCTTCGTAAGATTTGTAATTGGAACCCCGAGACGCTCCCGTGTCTCCCACCACTACACTGAGTTAGGGTGGCTCTTCCCCTCCTTAAGAAGACAATATTTCCTTGGCACTTTCCTTTATCAAATCATTACCGATCATCGTCCTTCTTATGCCTACAACCTTCTCCAATTTAAGTCCTCAATCCATTCACTCACTACAAGATCCCGACCCTCTGACCTATACATCCCTTCTCATAGATCTGCCTCATTCCAAAATTCCTTTATAGCCCGCTCTGTCAACTTTTGGAATTCCCTCCCGATCAAAATTCGACATTCCCCTTCCCTGTATACATTCAAAAACCTCCTATTCCAATTCCTGTTCCAAAAACAGTCTGATACCAGCTAACTATCAATATTATATATGTATTGTGTAGCAATCATATAATCATAACACTTGGTAAGAGATAGTACATGCATTTCCTACTATCGACGTAGGAATTTCAATACATACATTTTTTTTTATTCAATTATAAGTAACTGTTTATTTTTATATATATATTCAAGTAAAGTTTTTTTTTTTTTTTTTTTTTTTTATGAAATGAACTCATTGTATCTCTTTTTCGTTCTTCATTTCTCAAAGTGTATGTTTATGTTGTTCAACCCTTAAATATAATTTTGTTCATAGTTCAAGTGATTCGTTCATAGTTTTAATTGTTTTGTTCATAATTTTAAATGCTCTGTACATAGTTTTATCTGTATTGTATATAGCTTGTGCACCTAAGGTTTTCTTTACTTTTTATTTTATTTTATCAATTTTATTTATAGTTTCAATGTTCAGGCCAGTAATATTCTATTATTTTGTACATTATTGTTATTCTGAAGGGACTTAGTCCCAGAATAAAATTTTTTTTTCTATCTATCTATCTATCTATATTATACAGAAATGAAGGGAATGCATGCCAATTGACCGCTCAAGTCGGTTGCAATTTAAAAACTGACGCCCCCAAATTCTCTATATTTGTTAGGTGAATTTAACTGAAAGACATACGCTTGGAACTGGGCTCAAAATACGCTCCGAACCGATCTAAAATAGAATGTGAGATGACTGACGACGTTAAGTGTTGTAATGTCAAAACTGACTTGAATTTTTAATTTGAGTTGATGCTATTCAACGAAAAACTTTACCGACTGACCGCTTAATCGGTTGCAATTGATAAAACAATTTTATCTACTGAAATGTATATGCAATGTGTATAAAATTAATTCAGTAGATAACAATTTTTTCCTAACTTGATAATGACCTAATTAGCTCGAAACTTCCTTGGAAGTAGAATAAAAAAATTTAAAGTATAAGGGCTTATATGTTCATTGAAGTAATATTTTTAATGTTCACCATATATAAGTAATATTTTAAAAAGTTTCAATCCCTGCTTTAAACTATACCAACATTTATACTGTAACTAATTAATAAATCGCTGGATTCTAATATACAATTTCTCGTGAATTGAATAATCCTCAAGCATCGCATTGTACAAAATTAACTATTTGTGATTAATCTGTTCCAAAGTAATATCAAGATATATAAATAAATATGCACGAAATGTTTTGAAATTAATTTTTGTAAAGGGGGTGGCAAAATTCAAAACCTTGTAAATGATACATCATTATTACATTTTTTGATGGTTTCAGAAAACAGATATAATTTACAATTGGTAATTGGTTGACTGTCGTGGATAATGAAGAGAAGAATAGTTGGGGTGGTCAGTCAAAAAGGAAGGCAAAAATAAATGATAATATTTATTTTTTACATATGCCGACGTTTCGACCTGAAGTTCAGGCCTTCATCAGGGCTGTCTCCTTAAGTGTCGCAGGGAGAATCACGATTCTCCCATGCATGATTCTCCCTGCGACACTTAAGGAGACAGCCCTGATGAAGGCCTGAACTTCAGGTCGAAACGTCGGCATATGTAAAAAATAAATATTATCATTTATTTTTGCCTTCCTTTTTGACTGACCACTCCAACTATTCTTCTCTTCAGATATAATTTACATGTATCTTACAGTCTGTTAATATGGTTTAGACACATTTTAATATATCCTACGAAATGCATCGACATTCACGGTATAGATTTTCATTGGAGAGTAACATTTGTATATAAATTTAGCTGATTTGGTGAACAACTTAAATAATCAGTCATCTAGAATTCATCTTTAGGTCAATACGTTCCACATTTTGTGCCCAGTTCAAGTAGCATGCTCTTCGGGTAAGTATAACCGATAATAGAGTGAATTTGAGAGCGTCATTTTTTAAATTGCAACCGATTAAGCAGTCAATCGGTATGGTTTTGAACCATTTTCATCTCATCTATCGAATGAGATCATTTTCGGCCGTAAATTTTTTCGTTGAATGGCTTCAACTCAAATTAAAAAATCAAGTCAGTTTTAAAATTACAACACTTAATGTCGTCAGTCATCTCGCATTCTATTATTGATTGGTTCGCAGCGTATTTTGAGCCCAGTTCCAAGTGTATGCATTTCAGTTAAATTCACCCAACAAATATAGAGAATTTGGGAGCGTCAGTATTTAAATTCCAACCGACTTGAACGGACAGTTGGCATGCATTTCCTTCATTTCTGTATAATATATCGAAGGATATTACTTTCAGCCGTAAGGTTCTTCTTTGAAATATTTCAACCCATATGTGAAAAATCAAGCCAGATTCAAAATTGCAAAAACTAACGTCGTCAGTCATCTCGAATTCTATTTTAGATTGGATTGCTGCTTATTTTGAGCCCAGTTCCAAGCCTAAGTTCTTCCATTAAATGCACCGCATAGATTAGTAACTTTGTCACCGTCAGTTTTTAAATTGCAATCTATTTAAGCTGTCAGTTGGTATGATTTAACTTCGTTATTGCCTTATCTGCCAAACCTGACTCCTTCCTGCCGTAAGATTTTTCGTTGAATGATTTCAACCATAATTAAAAATTGAGTCAGTTTTAAAATAACTATAACTAACGTAGTCAGTCATTTCGAATTCTATTTTAGATTGGTTCGCTAAATATTTTGAGCCCAGTTCCAAGAGTATGTTCTTCATTTAAATGCACCGCACGAATTAGTGACTTTGGCACCGTCAGTTTTCGAAACATAACTACGTAGACCGTCAGTTTACATTTTTTTTTTTTTAGGGGTTTCATATTATACATCTCATCAAATTTTCAACCATCAGTTTTCTCGTTAAATGAAACGTCAAATTTAGCCACTTTGATTTAAAATTTCATATATAAAGCAACGGCTTTCCAGCGACTGACTGAAGTTGTATATTCAGATGAGGATCATCTATAATTTAAATTGGTTACTAGCAGTAAGTCTTTTGTTGAATGAAATGGTCGGTAGCTCCTAGTTGTGCAAATTATGTATTTTTACATATTTCCTCATGAAAATTATTTTCATGAGGGGATATGTATATGACCTCTTTGTTGTAGTAAACGCCGACATTCTCTTCTTATTTGTTTTAAATTAGTGACTTTGCCACCATCAGTTTTCGAAACGCAAATACGGAGATCGTCAAACAAGATGTTTTCTTTTTTAGGGGCATATATAATATATCACATCAAATTTCCAGCCGTCAGTTTTCTCGTTAAATGAAATGGTAGGTATCTCCTACTCATCCAGTTAAAAACTTGCCTTTCAAAGTGAGAAAAATGGATTTTGAACAGAGGTTCTTAATGGATTTTAGGTTTGAGGATTGGTTAAGGGTGGCTTAGTGGTCGACCAGTTTTTAAATTAAAATCTGGAGAGATTTAACGATTGATGCTTATATTGGCAAATAGGTTGTCAGCGTCGAAAGAGATTATAAGAAAGTAAATGCTATTAATATTAGTTCTAAAAATATTAATTGCATGCAGAAGGAAAAAGATTAGCCGATGTTATATGGATTATTTTGGTTGGCAACTTACACGGGAGAGAGGAACTATATCGATTTTCGTCGATTGGTAATTTGATTTTAAACTTTACTTTGAATCTGAAATTATTGTATTTATATATGATGTAGAGAGCCTACTGTTTTGGGTATTACGTGCGAATGGGGTGCAATGGAATTCGGGAGAATAAAGTACCTAAATTTAGGTGAGGTAATAAACTGATTTAGAATCAAATAGGTTGATTAGGTGGTAATAATTTGCCGATGGTTCTGTATCAAGAAAGTAGTTCTCTTATGTATTTATATTGTTTTTATATTTATTTATAAGTGAAGGGGGAGAATCACTTAGCAGGATGATTTAAAAATAATTTATTTATTTATTATTATCATATATTAATAATAATGGTAATTTATTTGATATTAGACTAACTCATTGAAGTTACATTTTGCTGCAGTTGTGAAATGTATGAAAATTTTCCAATTCTTACAAAATATCTCTTTGTTTGGTTTTAAACCTGACTATTAACTCACAACTGCAAGTGGCGGCCTCTAATATGTTTTGATCCACAATTTGATGTCAAATTAACCACAAACAATTCGTTCACCTTTATAAATCTTAAGGCTTGTTAGATTTTTTAATGTGTGATCCAGCACATCATAATAATGACAAAATACTTCTATAGTTTTGTATTCTATTAGATGTGATTTGAAAGAATATATTTATTATTAGGTACTTTAATTAATACTTGTTGAATTAAATTGCAATGTTTATACACTCATACACAGACACATATATATATATTTCGATAACAAGTAATGTCTTTGTTTAGTTTCTAGCTAAACCTTAAAAAATAAATTGATAACTTGTCCTTTCTGGCCTAATATCAATACATTAAATCTAGTTATATTTCTTATTTTCCAGGTTCTTAATATAATATTACATTATCATAATGACTTCAATTTTTAGTTATTATGTTAGAATTTCCCAAATTTATTATTATATTTCAAATTTGGTATTGAAAATAACTACTTGTTCTGCAAGTGGATGATTTACTATTTTAATCACATACTTTTATGAAATATCCTTTTCATTTTAGAACATGTCATCTCTTTGTACAATTACATACATTTAAAACCATTTTTGGATCTGTTAAATATTATTTTTTTTAACTATATACTTGAAATTATGTATTATATTTTCTATTTTATATAAGTACATAGCTATATAATTAATAATGAGGAGATTAAATACTTTCCATGTCAAGATTTTTTAAGGTTTCCAACTATTTTCTACGACAACTATATTTATGTTTAGATGGTAATGATTTTTCTATGGTTCTGTATTAATAAAGTAGTGTTTCCCTTGTGTATTTGTATTGTTTCATCCAATCTTCCTTCAAACCTTTTACTGGATTTAATGTGAAAGTTATTCTATAGAGTACAATTACTTCTAAGCCACTGTTTTAAAAAAATATTTCTGTATTTTTTAATAAGGGTCATTGTTGATATATGAATGGGCTAAATTACTTTTAAACTATAAAATTATTAATTTGTTCATTTACAGGATTGTGAAAATGACTGAAACTACTTTATCTGACCAGCCTTCGGAAGTTGTAGATATGAAAAGTAGTGTTAAAAATAAAGGTAGGTATAAGCAATTTTAGATTTTCTCTAAATTGATGGATTTTACTGTCAAATGGTTAATTCAGTGTTTAATTTCCTGATTGTACTTTTAGAAAAAAATGTTTATTATCATTACTTTCTAAATGTGTTTTGAACAACTGTGTGTGTATGTGTTATAATTTATTAATTATAAATTTTTAGTGATTATGTTTGAATTTTCCAAATTTATTATTGTATCTCAAATTTGATATTGAAAATAACTACTTGTTCTACAATTTTCTAATATGCCAGAAAGATTAGAAAGGGCTTCCATGCGTAACATGAGCTTAATATAATACGAACTCTGACAATATTATATACATACACATATGCGGTTTTCATAAATGCTATGGTTTTTATTATTTAATTTTTATTTTTATTTTTTGCTGGGAAGCTGTATAATATTCTCTAATTTCGGCAATGAAAACTTCCAGATATACAAACAATTGTTTTATTTATTGACATACATGTTAAGTTGACGTTTCGGGAAAAATTATACCCATCTTTAAAACTTAAAATCCTATACTTTAATAGCTATTTATGGCTAAAGTCTGATATGCTCCTTTGTCACAATTTGTTATAAATATAATAAAAATATATTATCTGGAGCATCAACATTCCTAGGACTAATAATTGGTTGTTTGCTATGGGGGATACCCATATTCGTGGCACTTAAATATTCATTATGATCAAATAAATGGTTGAAATATACAATTGTAAAAGAAAATATGTAGTTAGTGTTAGACAAGATAAATGTAATACATTAAACGGCTATGAAAAACAGATGTAAATTAATTGTTTTATTCTGTCTATAATTTTAACTTTCACTTTCCTTTGTCTGAACATACTTATTTCTGCTAAGAAGAGGGTGGTAAATATAAGTTGTGTGATGCGCCCACCACACTAAATTTATTTTGTTTCATTGGGAGAATTCAAAGAATAATACCATTGTTGAAGTGTTATCTTTACTTTAAAATGTGATCCAATAAAGAATTTTAATTTCAATCAAAATACTCAATGAATTATCAGTTTTATAAAATTAAATGAAAAAGAAAGAAACAAAGAAAAAATTAAATTATTCACTTTGCCTCATTTTTTTAGTTTCTGTATTCTGATTTTTAGGAAAATCTTCATTTTTAGTATTCTTTAGATCTCTCTGAGATGCACCAGGTATTTCAACTAAGTCTCTATTGCTGGTAAAATGTTTCCTTCTCTTTAACCACCTCATTTGAAAAATTTACTTCTTAACAATAAGAGTGTCGTCTGTCCCTACATGCAGTGGTTCGTGGTTTAAACGGCTTTCGCTCATTATTAATTCTTGGGTAAAAATTCCGACAGTCGTTTGTATGCTTGAGTTGCTCAACCTCCTCAAACTGCTTATTCTCCCAACTCAGTTTCTTCTTCCTATGCATTTGTTTCTCCTCCTTCCATTTTTTGCGGCTGAGAACCACCGATGCTCTTGAGTGTCTCTTTTGAAGCATCGATTTATATGCCTGATTCTTGACATCAGTAACTTTTACATTCCTCGTCGAACCAGTTAGGCCTTCTCTGGTAACATTCCACTCCGATTGTTTCCTCGGCAGCTTTCCTGACACAGCTTTATATGCCACAACACATTTGTTCTATGTCGTAGATATACATAGGAAGAAGATCAAGTTCTCCATCAATCTTCAACGCATATGGTTCCAACTCATCGGGATCCTTAAGTTTGCTGGTGTTAATTTTTTACTTCTTTGGCCTCTTTTGTTTTTCACATTAGAGATTCTTGATCTTATTTTTGTTATGGTGAGATAATGATCAGAGTCTAAGTTTGCTCCTCTATATGTTCTTACATCAAGAAGGTCTGACTTATGCCTGGCACTTATCAAAAGATAGTCTATCTGATAAACAGTGAATCCATTAGGTGATCGCCATGTACCCTTGTGTATATTTTTGTGAGGGAAGAGGATGCTACCAACAATGAGGTTCTGTGAGTCATAGAAATTGATGAGCTGATGTCCATTATCGTTTGCTTATTTCATGCAGGCTATGCTTCCCAATTGTTGAGGAGTAACTTCTTTCTCTTCTGACTTTAGCATTAAAGTCAACTGCAATAATCTTGATATCTGCTCTTGGGTATGTGCTTATAGTCCTTTCAAGCAAGTCATAGAATTCTTCCTTATCTTGTTCCTCAGAGGTCTCAGTTGGTGAGTGAAAGCTAATCAAATTATAATTGAAGAATTTACCCTTGACCCTAAGTAAACAGAGACGTGGGCTCACTGGTTTGAAATCCATGATCAAATCTTTACACCTCGCAGACACTACAAAGCCCGTTCCATATGTAAGCAATCTGTCGTCACAGCTGTAGTAGATGGTGTGCTTCCTCTTTTCTAAATGGCCTTTGCCAGTCCATCTAATTTTCTGAAGCCCAGTTATATCGGTTTTGTATCGGTCCAGCACCTCCAGAAGTTGTTGAAGGGCTCCAGGACTGTATAGCAGAACATTCCAATATCCATTCATGAAGTCCCTATGACAAGAGCCGCTTCGCAATATTCTTGACAGTCCAGCCTGATTATTTTGAGGTTTTGTAATAATTTGTTTAAGAGGAATGGGTTATTAGCCCAGCTGCCTCCTCTAAGCTATTCGACTTGCTTCCCCTACCGGGTCGGCGTGTACGTACTAAAGGTGACCCTAGGGTGTGTGTGACCTTAGAGTGTGTAGTGTAGGGGCGACATGTGTCTCCTCTCTTGTAAATAGGCATGACCACAGAGATCTTCCTGTCCTTCGGTCTGCTTAGTCTGTAGTGTAGGGGCGAGTGTGGTGTGCTGTTATTAGTGTATTTGTGTGTGTGTCAGTGTACTGTTCCCCCAACCTGGAGAACCAGTGGCTGTCTGCGGTACTTTGACCGGGAAATGGGGCTGCCACCTCCCTACCAGAATTCATTTCATGATCTGATTGCTAGCTTTTTCTGAAATGGGAGGATGCGACGTGGGGTTCATTAAATAGTTTGCAGTAACGAAAAAATTCCTTTAAGGTCAATATTTGCTCTAACGAATGGTAAATGTCCGGGGAGTAGACCGAAGTGAAGTTGGGAAGATTGTGTTAAAGCCGATCTAAAGGGACTAGGTTTGGACGGCGAACGGTGGAGAGAGGTGTGTAATAAATGATTGGTGAATGAATGAATGAATGAATGAAAATAATTTTATTATTCTGGGACTAGTGGTTGTGCAAGGATCAAACCTTAGGGTTCGGTAAGCCTTTTATTATTATTATTAAATAGTTTGTTCACTTTGATATGATATCTCTAACCATATTTTTTTAGAAGATCCTGTTCTAAAAATTCTAAATTATGGTATCACAGCTTACATGAATACATTGCTTTTACTCTATGAATCAGTTCCAATATTTAAATAAATAAAAATATGAATCTATTTCACATTCATAAACCATGTAGTTAAAAGTGATAGCTGAAGTACAGATATGGTCCTAACTAAGTAATAGTGTCACTGTTTAAACATATACTCTTTTCTAACTCAATAAATCTATTTAAACTTCAATTCACTGTCAGTGACTTTCCTGTAATTTATATTATTACCTCTATATTTCATAATAGTAATTTTTTGTTTTCAGAAAGAGGAGATCGATACAGTTTCTATATTGTTGAAAGTGTTATAAGGGCTTGTGATGAATTATATCAGTACTGTTTGATAAACATGGATTCAACTTTATGCCACGTAATAAATTTTTATATTAATATTTGTGATTTTTTTTTTGTTAGAGAGAGAAACACTTTATTTTCATAAAATATAAAGGATTACTGCCCAATTATATTGGGTTGCTATATACACAGCATACTCTTCTATCCTTAAGACAATATATGAACTTATATATAAATATACAGAAGTATTAGTTAATATTAGTAAAATAGATATATATATACATTTTTATTATTTTATTTATTTTTATAATTTTTTTTTTTTCCTTTTTCCTTCTTCTCATTGTTCATGCTTTTTTTTTTTTTTTTTTTTTAACATTAAGTTTCCCTTTCTCTCACTTCTCTCTCTTTATCTCTATTATTTTCAATTATTCACTAAATAAATAAATAAACAAATACATAAATTAAAACTCTCGGGCTAGCCATGCACGTGGTGGTGAATGATTCCCAGGGAGTCGAGGACTATATTTTCAGCCAACCTCGCTACGTCCTTAATGTCGACACCTAGTTCCTCGAGGAAGCTCCTTGTTCTTTTTGGGATAGTTCCGCGAGACCCAAACCAGAGGCCTCTCACGGTGAATTCTCTCTCTCCGAAGGTCTCACGGAATTTCTCTTTTAGGAAAGGGATACATTTATCGTACGTGTTCTTCTTTTCCCTTTCCACTTCACCCGCCTGATCGAGGTCATTGTTCTCAAAGCGGACAGTTGGATCCAAGATCAGCGCTGTCCTTCCTGTCTTGGGAAATGCGACGATATCAGCGTATCTCGTAGAGCCTTCACTATCGATGCAATATACCTCATCAAAGCAGGTGAATTTTTTTTCCCTAAGGAGCCTCATCAACTCGAACTTGACCCGGTGGTGAGGACGTGTTATGAGGAGGGAGTTGTTGGGGCATTTTCCCAGCACATGGGCACCAGCACTGTGTTTCAGTTTCAGACTCATTTACGGCAGAGGGACCCAACTTCTCTGACCTGTCCGCTGACTCCTGGGATCACCCATTTAATACAAACCTTTCTTACTTTTTGTATACCATTATTGCTCTCAATTAATACCATGATCAACAGTACTGTTCACTCATGCATTTGCCTAGTATGACTCAACTTCAATACCATTAGGCCACATCAAAAGCAATATGTTCTGGGAATAGGCACAAACTTTGAGGGAGATGGGGCAGTCGCCCCCCCCCCCCTTCACCAATAAAAATTTTGAGAGGGCGAGGATATCGTTTCGCCCCCTCCCCCACCATTTGAAGTAAAAAAGAAACATTAAAATTGATATCCAATCAGCTACACGAATTAATAAAATATGTAAACCCTACCGAGGCTCAATACAAAGGTTACATTCATATTGAAACTTTGGATCACATTCACTACAAGATATTTGTAACTGACATGTGTTGTCATCAAGTTCGTAAGTGATTGGTGCAGCTCTTTTAAACCTAGACTGAAGTACTCTGCCCTTTGCCGAACTTGAATTGGCAAATGTTACATGAATGAAGTCGTACTCATACTTGAAGTTATGATAGCAGATATTAGGGATTGACTAATATACAAATTTTACTGTCTTTAAACCTTCCTTTTTTTTTCTGCTAAGGTCCGTAGAGTTTCACTTAAAATATTCTTCTTGTTGTAGAATAAACCTATAAAGATATAGTTACCAAAACCGTTATTCCAAAGACCAATATATCGGCCAATCGTAATTATGTTTCTTTCCACTGTGGTCTGTACAGTTTCACTTGGAAAATTCTTTTTCCTGTTAAATAAACGAGTCAATTTATAGTTGTGTGTTTCTGTTGTTCCAATAGTAACTGAGATCAGACTCCTCTGACGGTCAACAGACCATGTAGCACGTCTGATTTTCGGTTTTAAATCCAAAAATATTATTTTGTATGTTTTGTAATTTATATTTTGTAATTTTGATAAATAAAAAGACTTTTTCTTCTTTTTCTTCTACATCATTACATTACATTTCTTATTAAATTAAATACTCAAATAATATTCATATTTAATGTGCTGTATTTTTACTATCCATTTAGTCTTATTAATTATTATTTTAGGTTTTATATTTTAAAGTACATTTATTTATCTATTTACAGGAAATGGTGATTTTCTTGCAAAGTATCGCCTATGATTTTGTTGCATTAAATGAATGGATTAAATTAAAGGCTGTTTGTAAAGATTTACCTCCGCCTGTCCGCACCAGTGTGTCACCTACTAGGGTATCACGTCATCTCAGGGTAAATTTTTTTTCTATTAATTTAATTATTCAGACATTTATTTGATCTTTTAATATAATTTTCTGTTGGGAAAATATATATATAATATATATTGTAATGTCAACATTACATGGCATTTAAATAGTGGCGCGAAAGTGGTAACAGCATGAACTATGGGGAGAAAGTGCGTGCGGATGGTGGGGGAAGCAAGCCTCATGTAACTCAGAATGTGACGGGCCGCCAGGAGAGAATGTGACGGGCCGCCAAGAGAGAAGATGATAGCGGCCAAGAGAGAATGTGACAAGCTGTCAAGAGAAAAGGTGACAAGCTGCCAAGTGAGAAGGTGCTAGCCAGCAAGCTGAGAAAGTGAAAAAGGAGTACTAGCCGGTTCGAGTGTTGATAGAGGCCACTAGTGGAGATTATTTTATGTTGGAAGAAAAACATAGCAGAAATTAATTAAGTGGTACAGAAAACGGAACATTCGTAAGTAAGAAGAGATTATTTCACTGGCAGGCGTAAACATGGTGAGGCAACATGTAGGACAGAGGATAGAACCAAAAGTTTAGACCGGGACAAATTATTTTATAAAACTATTTTAAATTATATATAAGTGTAGTTAGTAATTAGTAAATTAGTGTAGATTATAGTTATTTAATGTTGAATGAGTGTTCAGTTGTCAGAACCCAACCTGAGAATTTATGTTATGTGTTAAAATAAATAGTATATTGAAAAAGGAAACTCGTTTGATTTTGGAGAGAAAGAGGAACGTTACAATATATATATGGGGGCTGGGTTAGCCATACGGGCTAAGGCGCTTGCAATAGGTAATCAAAGTTAAGCAACGCCGAACGTGGTTAGCACTTGGATGGGTGACCGCCTGATGGGTGACCATCCACCAGGGAAAGCCACGCTGCCCGAAATTCTCCCTCACTGGGTATGTGAGGCCCATCAGCCTACTGGAGTTACACACCGACCGGGCATAGGACTGATGACCCTACCCCCGTGTACTTAAATCGGGAATCGGTATGTGGTCTAGAAGACCATATCTCGCGGTCAAAGATCTTCATGATCTGTAGCACCAACCAAAAAAAAAAAATATATATATATATTAAATATTCTCTTATCTCACAGTTTCAGGAAAATATGAAACAATATGTAAGGACAATATTAATAATAAAATCCATTTATTCTTTCTATTTTACTAAACTCTTATACTGACACTTTAATTAATCTAATAATAATAATAAAAAGCTTAGCGAACCCGAAGGTTCAATGCAGATACCACCACTTTCTTATTACACACCTCCCTCCACCGTTTGCCGTCCAAACCCAGTCCCTTCAGATTGGCTTTAACACAATCTTCCCACCTTTGATTCGGTCTACCCCTCGAACGTTTACCATTCGGTACAGCAAATATTAACCTTTTAGGAATTCTTTCGCTACTAAGCCCAGCAATTTTACAAGTCCATTTGATTTGCTGCGATGTAATCGCCTCAATAATATTAACTGGAAACAGTTCATGCAATTCGGTGTTGTGTAACCATCTGAACTCTCCAGTTAACTCATCCTTCTTCAGTCCAAATATTCTATGCAATAATTTATTTTCAAAAACCTTAAAACGTTGCTCATCCCTTAATGTAAGCTGCCATGTTTCGTATCCATAAAGAACCGTAGGTAGGATAATGGCTTTATAGATTCTAACTTTTAAGTTCCCGGATAGGAGGTGCGAGCTAAGTAGTTTTGTCACAGAAAAATAACAAGCATTTCCCGCCTTCAGCCTAACTTTAATCTCCTCTTCGATTTCGTTTTTTCTTGTTATTGTAGACCCTAGATACCTAAACTTATTGTAGATCCTAGATACCTAAACTTCTGTACATGTTGAAACATATTACCTTCTATATCGATGTCACCGACAATATCTCCATTTTTGCAGCTAACCATGTATTTAGTGTTATCCATGTTTATTTCGAGCTCTAGTTTTTTACCGGCTTTCATTAATGTTATCGTATTTAGTTTGATAGTTTCCGTGTCTTCGCTTAACAGAACCAGATCATCCGCATAGCCAAGCACGGGTGTTGTCCCACCCAGATCCAACTCTTTTTCGGTACGCAGTACCTCCCTAATAGGATCTTCTAGTGCCAAATTGAACAGGACAGGTGAAAGGGAATCACCTTCTTTTAAACCCGAAGGAACCTCATACTTTTCAGATAAATTATTACCAATTCTAACTTTATTGAGTGTTTCCATCAAGCACATTGAATGAGTAAAATTCCTCGTTAGTTATTACATTCTGTCCTCGGACCCTTTTTGTGAATCAGAATAAGAATAGATTCTTTCCATTCTTCAGGTAATTTCTCATTCTCCCAGATCTTTTTAACTAACAAATGTATTTTAGAAACTCCGGCTTCCCAGCATGCCTTAATTAGTTCCCTAGGAATAATATCGGTTCCTGCTGCTTTATAAGATTTTAATTTTCTGATAGGTACTTCAACTTCCTCTTTACTCAGTTTTCCTATTAATGGTTCATCACTCTGAGACTCTGAAGGAGTATACAGATCATAATTTCCTATATTTAAAATATTGTCAAAATGGTTCTCAAACTTATTCAATGTCTACTAAATCGGTCAGAATATTGTTATTTTCATCCCTAATTCCAGAGGTGACGGACTCTAATCATTTACATGATCTGTTTATACTTTTGTACATGTCTCATATGTTATTTTTGATTCTATTAGTTTCTATATCTATTATTTTATTTTTAAGATACTCCCTTTTTATGTTCTTGAGCAATTTTGTCGTTTCATTCTTTGAGGTTCGGAAGTATTCGAGATAGTCTTTGCTAGGATTATTTAGAGCTTTTAATTTAGCAACTTTTCTTTTATCACACATGTTTAAACGATCTTCATCGAACCACGGTTTGTTCTTTTTATTTTATTTTTTCCTAAGAAACGAGTTACCAACTGCTTTATTATTATCCTTGATCCCTACCCATAACTTGTCTATATCATCGCAGTCCTCGTAAGAAGGTTCTAATGCTTCAAACCTATTCTTAACATCTAGCTGGAATTGAGTTATAATTGATGGATCTTTTAATTTTTCCAAATTAAAATTCTCGACATTGAAACGGTTTTCTTTTCTCTATTTTATATTAAGTTTATGTCGAAGTTTCGCGATTACAAATTCATGATCCGACCCAAATTCTGCCCCGTGATTAGACCATACATTAATTATACTGTTTTGCCAGCTTTATTGTATCAAGACATGATCGATTTGATTTCTTGTTTGCGAATCCTGTGATATCCATGTATATTTATGAATATCCTTATGTTTAATTGTCAGGTTTTTCGAGATGGCAAAGTTTAGCAGACGGATCCCTTTATCATTACTATATTCCTGCAAACCTTCTTTACCAATCGTCAAAAAATAAACTTCTTCCCTCCACACTTTTGCATTTGAATCACCTATAAGTATGTTCATGGTGTTTCGCTGTAGTTTATCATAAACACGTTCGAGTTTATTGTAAAATTTGCATTTGACTTCATCATCACTGTCTTCGGTCGTACAACGTATGTTTATTAACGCGATTTTAAACCAACGTCCCTGAAACATGGCTACCAAAATTCTATCATTGAAGAATTTTATGTCCCCCAAAGCAGCTAGCAATTTATTCCTAATTAGAAACCCGGTAACTAAGCAATGATTCCAACTTCCTCTGTGAAAAATAGTATACTTTTGTTTCCTTATTGAGCCTTCCCCTGGCCATCAAACCTCTTGCATTGGCATGATATCCAAATTGTTCCCATTAACCTCATTTGCGACCAATTTTAACCCACCTGGTGAATTCAAACTCCTTACGTTCCACGTACCAATATCTAAATCTCTAGTTTTCAACATGTGCTATGAATCCCCTAAAGCAGTTCCCACCCAGAGAACCGAAGAGAGGACTAGTTTACCTCTGGATAATGAGCGTTTTACCTTAGGGAGATCCATGACTACTTGTATGGTGTTGTATGTTTATGTTGAACTAAAGATATGTGAGTAGGGCATTCAATCCTGCATCACACCCCCCCAGCAAGTCTGGAGGGCACTGCTCATTGTCACCTACAATCACATTCCGTTCCACCCGGAACAGCCCATCCTTTGTATCTTATAATTAAAAAAAAATATTTTATTCCATTTTCAGATCTAGTACAGAGAATTTTTCCATTTGCTATTACTGCCGAACCCAAGTTTTTGGTCAGTTTTTGTTTTTAACTATCTGGTTTCTACTATTGTAAAAAAATAAGATGTGTACTTAAATTTGGTGATCTTTGGAGAAAAATCAATTAAATAATAAATATTAAAATGTCACCAAATATAAATTTAAAAATGTGGTGCAGTGTGCGCATCATGCAACTTTCGCTTACCACCCTCTTCTTAACAGAAATAAGTATTTTCAGACAAAGGGAAAGTGAAAGTAAAAATTACTAATGTTATATTGATTCATATTTCATTGTGGATATTTTTATTTGTTTAAGTACCCTTATATATATATCCAAATTTTAATATTGATATCACTGTAATCTATACAATTAAATATTAAATAATACCAACGAAAACATTTAGGAAAACCGCATATGTATATGTACATAATATTGTCGGAGTCAATATTATATTATGCTCATGTTACTATGGAAGGCTCTTCTAATCTTTAGGCGAGCTTGGATGAGCTTTCTTATCCCTTTGGTTCCTTCATTACAACTATTCTCTGTTAAGATCTCTTATTTCTCCTTTAGTTAATTATCAAATTCTTTCATATTTTATATTTAACTATTTTTTATATTAGAGATCAATGTGAAATGGTTAATTGTTTCAAATAAAAAAATTAAAGGTACTTTAGAGGAAGCTAATATTGAAAATTAGCCATTTAAGCCGTGTTAGAGAACATCAATGAGAATAAAACCTACATAATATTAAAAACTGCTTAATTTTACACTGATATACCAAGTTTGATCAAAATCGTTGGAGCTGTTTTCAAGTAAATCGTAAAAATGTGTTAAAGTACAAATGTGTTAAGTTAAACATCAATGATATAAAGTACCACTTCCAATTAGCCAATTTCCACGAAAAAGTTCCCGTAACATCTGAAGTATATATATATATATATATATATATATATATATATATATATATATATATATATATATACCTTAAATGCGCAATTTCACTTTCATACGACTTTTCGTTTTTGAACTAGACTCGTCACATACACACAGACACACACACACAAACAGACCATTATATGGGATTTGGTTATTTGGACTCAAGAGGCCTCAAAACATGTATTTCTGTTGAAAACTCAGATTTAAAAATTTTTACGATCGCAATAATGACTTATACTTGGCTGCCTAATCTGCTTGCTCATTTCTAAGGACTGTAGAGTGTCTTATTACCCGTTTGGAAATTAATTTTAATTTCTAACCATTTATAAAAAATACTGCTTTCCTAATCTTTTAAGTAAGACAGTGATTGTCAGTTAATATGACGATTTCTGGTTAGTTACTATGTTGAATGTCAGTGACAAAAAAATAATATCTTAAACTCAATTTCTGGAAACATTGGCTTTTTCCAATTCCTAACAGCATACTTCGATTTTAAATATTAAGATAATGTTTGGAGAGATTTTTAACTTGACATTTGGTGAAAATGGATATTTAATATGGGTATTATTTCAGGATATAAACTGATGAATATTAGTTTTATATTGCTGATACCCTTTGGTTTTTTATATTATAGTGATTATTTTAATAAAATATATCATCTGTTATATGTATTTTATTGTTATTTTTCAGAAAATGTCTCGCACCCGTTCTTTTAGGAGAGCAAAATCTGAACCAGGACTTAACAAAGCTCATTTTTCATTTAAAGAAGAAAAAAATAGAAATGCTCCCAAATCAGCTGGAGTAAATGTTTCTGCTCCAGACTTTGTCCCAGCTTTTTCTTCCGAACACAATGTTGAAACTTCGTGGAATTATGGTTTGTCAGAAAGTGAACGAAATTCTTTTAATAATCCAACAATCCAATCACATATTGATCCAAAGACAGGAATTCATAACCAATTCTATTCCCATTCATCTGTGGGTTATAGTGAAGAAGAGAGACATTTAAATGCTAGTCTTGTTAATTTATCTTATACTCAGAATGTATTACCTCCAAATTTTTGGCAATATTCTACTCAAATAAATCTCAATCCTTTTCAGCATCCAACTTTACAAGTTCCTCATCATTATATTCCTCATGTTCCACATATTCATTTACCTTATTCTATGTACACTAACACTTTAGGAGCTGGAAATATGTATCCTGTTGGTCCTTTGGGAAATGTAGCAGAACAAATGCAGTGTTCTATAAACTCAGGAATAAACCATTCATTTGTATATTCAACCAGCGAAACTTGTTTGCAACCATTAGATATTGTTAAAAATGATTCAGAAGACAGACCTCAAAGTTCTTTTTCTGATAATAGTGATATAGTTATCATTTGTAATAAAAGTGAAGTTTCTAATTCTGATAAAAATGAAAAAGACAAAGATTTGAATTGTGAACAAGATACGAGCAAGATAAAAGACGTGAAAGATGATTCTTTACCTTTGATTACCTCCGATTTAAAAGAAAATTTATATGTTATGAATGAAGTGATGGATGTTAGGGAGCATCAGAAAACTCCTGAGGAAATTTCAAATGAAAAGCTAGAAAACATTATCTCAACCACAGAACCACTTCCACCTGATAAAATTGTCAATGAAACTTCTATAATTGTGGAACCTCAAATGCCTGAGCAGATAATTTCTTCACAAAACAAAATTATCTTGGGTCTTGGTGAAGATGAATGTCTAATTCATTTTCCTGAATTGAAATCAAACTATTCCCACTCAAAACAAAAAATTCGCAACAAAACAACTGTAAAAATCAATAACATTAAACCATCCTATGAGCTAACATGTTCAGGAAACACTCCAACACTTTTAAATAACAAATCAAATAATAAATCACATTCTGAAAATTCGAATGAAGAAAGAGGGACTTTCTCCAAGTTATTTAAAACATCATCGACTATAGAGAAACAAGCTGTCCGTCCATTTGTGAATTCAAACAAAAAGAAAGTGAAAAATACCAACTCACAGTTACCTTCTTTTTCATTAAAGCAGGTAATCAAGCCAAGTCTATCAATCATATGTATAATGAGTATATGAATAAAAAATGGGCATTACTAACAAAATAGTATTATCCAGACTTAAATTTCTATTAATTTGTTAGAAAATTGGTAATTTATAAAATTTTCAATTTTGACCTTTATTTTCAATTTCTATTCACACTTAAGTGCATGTCTTAATGTCAGTTTAATAATAATAAAAATAAGTATTTGATAATTATCTATTGTATGTTTTGAGGAATCTCTGTCCCCCTCTTTAGCAATATTTTATTTCACCGAAAAATGGAGTTTGAATAATATAACAATTTGTCTATAAATTATTAAACTGACCTTAAGGCATGCACTTAAATGTGAATAGAAGTTATATAATTATTCTTTCACATTTATTACCAAGTATTGACTAGAATATTAATGATTTGTTTTAAAAATTAATTTCACATTGTTATGTTTTGTGTCAAAGAAAGTCTATCTGCAGGAAGTAACATTTCATATTTTCTTTTTAATTATGTTATTGAAAGTCTGTTATAAACTTAAAGAAATTTGTGCAAGATGGTTTCAGATATCAAACAATTGAAATTAGATATGAAGGACAATGAATATTTAAAGCATAATTGTATTTTTATATTCCTCTTCATATGCCTTAAAGAATGTGTTACTTCAGAGAATCTTAATGTTTTTTTTATATTGACATTTAAAAGAATCCTAAATTTAATTCCCATATCATATATATATATATTTATTATTATTACATATAGAATGTTAGTTTGTTTTATCTGATGATTTGTGTTAGCCAAGTTCGTAACAAGATAATGACAGATTACTCCAGGTGAGAAATCATGAGCTTAAACAATTCCTAGTACAATATATATGTACAAGCATGTTTACTTATTTGGTTTGTTCTCACTTGATTCAAATTCAATTTTTTTTCTTAATTAATTCAAAATTTTATTTTAATGAACAAAACTAATTTAATGAAAAATATAAGAATGTGAGTGAGGTTTACAGCAGTAGAACCTTTAAAATGTTTATTTAAACCTTTAGTATAATTTACCTTTCTTACAGAGAGTTTTCATAAACCTTATTCCAAGTAGGGCAATGCCTAATCATCTTTAAATGTAATTTTCACTCCCCATTTACTCAGTTAAAAAGACTTAACATTCGAGATTGACATAATTTTTCTGGAACCTAGTCCTCACTTATGTTAAGGAATTACTTTATTTTAGATTCCACTTAATTTTACTGTTTTATTTATAGTTGAATTAAAATTTTGTTAGGTTTATCTGAACATTCAAATAATTTGTTGTTAATAAACACATCTAGTTAAAAATTTACCAGCAATTTAAGTTTACAAATATTTCAATTGAAGTTTTTTCAAAATGAATATTTTTGAGTTGTTTCATTATTTCTAATTGAAGAAGATATGCCATTTGTCATTATAATCTAAAATTGTTTTCCTTAGCTAAGAAGAAAACCCACTTAATTTTATTTATTTTTATTATCTATTTAATAAATGGATTTATTACATTAAATAGTTGAAATTACAATTCATTATTAAGTTTTCTAATTTATGTTAATATTTTCCTTCTTAAGGGCAATACAAAGGCAGCAAAAGAATTGGTTGAAAAAACAAATACAACTATTTCAAGCTATGTTGATGATGAAAATAATGATTCAGGTATTGAAATTATGTGTTATTATGGTATTATTAAGACTTTACTGGGTACACATAGAGTACAAAGGGGTGTATATTGATGCAAATAACCAATTTATTTACTCAAATTTTCCCTTCAGACAGAATAATGTTTGTATTATGAAATTTTTATTAATTTATGTCACACTAGTCAATGTTTTTAGTAATTTTTGGCCTCTTAAAAGTTTTAATCCATATTTTACCAATTATTAGGCATTTATGTCGTGAAACCATAGCTGTCTCGTAACTGTATATGAGTTCTATTACCTTAATCCTTGTTTTATCACTTTAGAAGATTTAAAAATGGAACTTACGCAATTCCAAGCAGAGTATTTATTTATAACAAACAATTTTTTTATTTTACTGTACATCTTTTCAGATTTTGTATTGGTTGTTTTCACTATTAAGAAAATGTAACTTTATCTGCTTACGAACTAATTGCAGACTGTTTACCATTGCTGTCCTCGAATAGTAAGGATAAACTGAAACATACATGGAAACAGATCTTGGTATTAATTCTAAAATTTAATAAGCCTGTTTATGAACTACACCCTTCTGGCAGACACATGTTTCTTAGGTCATTATGGCCCACAGTGTTGGAGCGTTGCCCGTTTTAGCATATCGTATCTATTAACGCTGGTTTGAATTCGGCCTAGGAAGAGTTGACTTTTATTTTGTGGCAGACCCACTGAATGAAACTCTACTCTCCCATTCTGGTCAAAATACATTTGTTTGTACCTCTAGATCAACCCCCCTTCCATATGCCAGAAATGGTGGGTATGGCATAATCAAATAAAAAAGGCAGTTGTTTCATTCGAAGGATTAAAGCTATACAGACAAAAGGTTTCAGAATTTTGTTATAAGTTAACCTTTTGTCCCTAATAGTTGAGCCAACCTCAGCACTTAAATCAATCACAGAAATGTGTATAAAATAATTTAAACTTAAAAAAAATTACAAAATAAAACCATAAAAGCATCAAAAATTTAGATTTGATATATATTTTAATATTATATTTATTTTATTTTTTCTGATGGCTTCATAGACCTTGTAGATCTTTTTCATTTACCATATCTGGCTATCTCGGGCTATTGCTTTCCAGTTATCTCCCTTTGCAGCATCTTTGTTGATTCGATATGTCCACCTGGTTTTAGGCCTTTCACCTGGTCTCTTGCTTACTATTGATGCATTCATTGTTGTTTAGAGGTTTCCTGATGAATTGTCCTGATCTACATTATGCCTCCCTCAATCTTAACTTCCTTTCCTTTATCACATGAGATATTGATCGATTAGTTTTTGTAGCAGTTCTTTATTAGTTCTTCCTCCTCCATGTGTTAGTACTCTGATATCTGATTACTCCAGTTATCATGCAGAGGATTTTCCTCTCAAACCTTTCAATCTCCTCTTTAAGATACCAGTTAGTGTTCAGCTCTTGCTCCCGTATATTAGAACTGGCTTTATTATAGTATCGTACACCCTTAATTTTAGATGTCCAGAGATTTCTTACTATCTTAATGCATTTGAAAGAGAAAAGCTCTGTTTGAGGCTGGTATAGGCTGGTCTATTTCTGAATGTTGGTAATTTATTAAAGTTCATCGAAAGCCGAGGTATTTAAATTTATCTACTCTCAGGAACTATTTTCCTTCGATTTTATATTTATATTTTTTGCTTTGCTTTTATGGTTTTATTTCTGTCAATTTTTCTGTTTTATTATTTTACATACATATTTCTGATCTATTTTAGCTCTGATAATGGCCTACAAGTTTGGGCAAAACATGAAGGCCATACAAAATGTTGAATTGTGATAAAAACTTACCTTAATGTTTTTTTTTAAGTCATTTTAATTTCTTGATGAAGTAAATAATATTTTGTGGGTTCATGGTATACTGTAGTGAATAATTGAAAAAAAGGAAGGTTGGGGTGATCAGTCAAAATAAAAAAATAGCAAAAATAAATAATAATATTTATTTTTACATTTGCCGACATTTCGGCCCGAAGTTCAGGCCTTTATCAGGGCTGTTCAATCTAACAAGCTTAGACTCAACTGGAATTGGTCTGTCCACGCGTGTCGGATTGAACAGCCTTGATGAAGGCTGTATAAAGATTATTAATTTTTGCTATTTTTTATTTTGAATAATAGTTTATTAAAACATTTTTAATTGTTAAAAACTTTAATACAATGGTATTATTTATATTTATTGCCTATATGTGAATATGATGTTAAGTAGTTTACTAAATATGTGATTATTTTTCAGATGGATGGGAAACTGTTAAAATAAGGTCAAAATGGCGTGACCAAACTGAGTTCAAACAATCAAGAACCAGTGTTAGGAACAAAAATTTACAGTGTATTAATACCATTGCATCATATGAATTTGGGTATATATCTTTCTGTTTATATGTCTGTTTTATTCTCTCTCTATTCTCCACCTCAAAGTTTCTCTATACTCACTTGACATTAATATTTTTCTCATTTTTCTTAGTAAAGTTGATAGGGTTAATAAAACATGATAAAATCATTTGTTTGTTTAATTGTTTTTAACCAATAAATTTATAATAATAATAAAAGGCTTAGCGAACCCGAAGGTTCAATGCCGACACCACCAATCGCTTATTATACACCTCCCTCCACCGCTCGCCGTCCAAACCCAGTCCCTTCAGATCGGCTTTAATGCAATCTTCCCACCTTCGCTTTGGTCTACCCCTTGGACGCTTACCATTCGGCACAGCAAATATTAACCTTTTAGGAATTCTCTCGTTACTAAGCCCAACAACTTTACAAGCCCATTTGATTCGCCGCGATGAAATTACCTCAATTATATTACCCGGATACAGTTCATGCAATTCGGCGTTGTGTAACCGTCTGAACTCTCCGGTTAACTCATGCTTCTTCGGTTCGAATATTCTACGCAATACTTTATTTTCAAAAACCTTAAGATGCTGCTCATCCCTTAATGTAAGCGGCCAAGTTTCGCATCCATAAAGAACTGTAGGCAAGATAATTGTTTTATAGATTCTAATTTTTAAGATCCGGGACAAGAGGCGCAAACTGAGTAGTTTTGTCACAGAAAAATAACAAGCATTTCCCGACTTCAGTCTAACCTCAATCTCTTCTTCAATTTCGTTTTTTCTAGTTATCGTAGAATCTAGATACCTAAATTTATCTACCTGTTCAAACATATTACCGTCTATATCGATATCAATAAGACCAATAAATTTAAGTTTATTTATTTATTTAAACAATAATCACCTGGAAGTCTAATTTTAAAAATAGATTAATTTTTATTACAGCTATATAATTTATGAAACATTAGTATTTTTTGAACTATGAATTCAAAATTATATTACACTGATTATGCAATTTATTTCTACTTAGATATTTAAATGTATGTAGAGGACATTGAAGACTTTTTGGGAAAACTCAAGAATAAAATTCACCAGGTAATGATGGACTTCCTGCAGAATCATTTAAAGTTGGGCATCATCAAATCGCCAAGAAATTGCGAAATTTGATACGTTATGACACAATTCTAAGGAATAAACTAATATTGACTATGCATGAACTAGAGCTTCCAAATAAACTGACTCGATTAGTAAAATACCCAATGGCGATAATTAGCTGTCAAGTATACTGTTGTGGTATATCAGAGCCTTTTGTAGTGAAAAGCTGCCTAAGAAAAGGCTATCCATTAGCTTTCTGTTTTAATATAGCTTTACAAACAATCATCAATAGAACTGGACTGAATTAGGAAGGAATAATATTTACAAAGATGACCCAAGTTTTAGCGTATGAAGATGACAGTCTTGGTCAGCAGATATCTACTGAGCATAAGGTTGACCTTTGAAGAACTAGGTGTAGAGAAAAAGATCAGTCTACATATTAATGAGTGAAAGACAAAGATCATAGTGATAGCCAAAAAAAACAGCAAATTCAAAGGAGTCACTTTGAAATAGCCTCTTACATTTTTTAAATGGTTTGAAGCTTCCAATACTTTAGCTCTGTTATTAGTGATAACATAGGTGAATAAGAAGAGGTGAGAAGAAGAATAGAACCATTTCTTTTATGCTATTCATAGTAGAAAATAGAGCTATTTCTCCATATCAAAAATAATTAAGAGCAAACTTATAAGCCATAACACCAAGTTAAGGTTTTACTAGACCTTTATAAGTATAGGACCAGTAGTCATGTACAGTAGAGAAGCATGGACGCTTAACTATAAAAGTATCAACCTGCTGAACAGGTATGAAAGAGTAATGTTAAGGAGAATTCTTGGACACATATGTGAAAATGGTCATTGGTGATGAAGGAAAAACAGCCAACTATTACGAGTCTAAAAGGAAATTAACATCTCCTCTTACATCAAAATACAAAGATTAAAATGAGGATGAGCTAGGACAGAGTGGTGAATAGGGCATACATCAATGTGCCGGATGGTGTGTACCCGTGTGGTTGGTCGAAGAGCTAATAGGAAAAGGCAAAATGTTCGGGAGTTGAGGATTTCTGTTACCCATGCTGGAGACTGAGTGAGGCGGTTGACAGCTGTTGAGCAGGCCAAGGTTAGCCTCATGCGACTGTTTTGCGAATATAATAAGAATATTTTAATGTAAAATTTTGATAATTTTAACACTGGCATGTGGTAAATAAAATATCCTGTTTTGTTAGATATTATCTTTGCTGCAATGTATCACTTTGGCTATTTATTTTGTTTTATTTTTTCTAGAGCAATGATAGCATGTGATCCTGAAAATATTATTAAACCATCTGCCACAGATGAAGATTCATCACTATCAAAATCTATTAATGATAAAACATTTAAAATCAAACAGAAAAATATCCAAGGAGGTAATATAATTGAAAAAAGCCTTGATAGTGAAAAATGTGCTAAAAAAGGGAGACGCAACTCATCTAATTATGCTCAGAAAATCAATGGCAATGCAGAAAATAAACAGGTGTGTATAATATATATTAAACAGTTATTTATAATTACATAATTTTTAATTTTATTAAAGTAGTTTATTGTTTTAGGGAATCATCTATTTTTGTTTCATTTATATTAGTTTTTGTTCTCCCTGAATATTAATTAAACATTTAATTCAACTGTGTTGACAATCATGTAAAATATTATTATTTTTAATAAATGGTAGATTTTGATGTTAAATTAAGTTAATAGTTTTTGGAGATCACTCAAAGGAAATGTTTAATTAAAAAATTAATTGTATTTTTTTTACACGCAAATCAATGTTTTGGCCAAACATTACAGACTGTAATGTTATACTTGTATATAATTGGAAAATTCTAAATATAAAGTTTTGAGTCTCTAAAATAAAATGAAAAAGAAATAAAATGGTTTGGAAAAAGAAAGTATCAAGGAATGAATAGCCAAATTGGAAAAACTAACTTTTGCAACCAGTAACATATACAACAAGAGAAACTTGTCTACGGAAGCAAATATACGACACTACAATACAGTTGTTAAACCTGTGATACTATACGAGACGGAAACCACATGCCTCCCCAGTCTGGAAAAATTGTTGAGAATAGAGCGAAGAATTCTAAGAAGGATTTACGGCCCCAAAAAGACAAAAGAAGGATACAGGCTAAGATCCAATCAGGAAATATACAAGGACAAAAGAGATCTAGAAACGGAAATTAGGATCAGGAGACTGAAATTCCACGTACATATGGTAAGAATGGCCCCAGAAAGACTTAACAAGGAAATATTCCAAAAAATCCGTAGTTACAAAAGCTTGGGAGGATACATCAGACAGAGAAAGAAGAAACGGAAAGACTTGGAATAACGAACCGGGACTGTCTGGACCTAGAGGGGTATGGTAAGAGACTAAAGGAGATCACGGTTCTGGCTAAGAAGAAAAGTTCGAGAAAGGGAGTCGCGTGGACGGAGGAGAGAAAGCGGCGGCACTCGGAGATAATGAGAGAGAAGTGGAAAGAAAGGAAAAACAAGAAAGAAGCCAAATGTCATGATATTCGCGTGGTCTCTATGGCCGTTCCGTGAAAAAAAAAAAAAAAAAAAAAAAAACTAACTCATCAATGTTACTCGGCTACTTCTCGGATTCTATCTTCAGGATGATCGATGTGATCTTATGCCCTTATGCCCAATCACTTTGAACACTTCGGAACTATTACCTAAAAAAGATGTATCAACTAGAGATAGTACATCACTTCAAGAAATCAAAATCCATAGTCCTTTTTACAATCATTGGAAAAACCAGTATAGTTTAACATAAAATTTAAGTTATATACATTTTTTATTAAGTATTTAAATTTATAAAATGATAATTTCCTTTATAGTTTCACCTTTGTTTATCCATAATTCCTCCTTTAAAAATTATAAAAGTTATTACTTACATATGTATATAAATGCATAACTTATTAGTTGAAAAACCTTATTTTTTTCATTGAGGGCGAAGAGAATTTTTTTTAACATATTTTTTTATCCAGATATGGATGAGTATTGTCACTGTTGAGTAATTGTTGCGTGGTTAATATATTTTATGCTTCAGGGGAGTATAAAGTTTTCTCATTTCTTTACTAATTTTATTTACAAATTTAATATTATAAATATTAAAATCTTTAAAAATGTTGGCTATTCGCTAATTAGCCTTATAAGGCTAAAACCTGCATTTTTATATTATACAGGTTGTTTTTCTATATTATATAGATTGTTAGTATTGTAGTTATCTAAAACCTACATTAAAAATTTCTGTAGCTTATAAGTTGGTCCTGAAATATTATTTACTATAGATTTGATTCAAGGGGAGTGGGGTAATTCAGTGGTAGGGTACTGAGCTTCCAATGCTTAAGGTCCCAGGTTCGAATTCCAGCTTATGGCAGAAAAATTGTTGATTCTGTTTCATTGGCCATGAGGCGACCCTGGGTAGGTAGACCCGGGGCTCACCCAGCCTCTATAAAGTGGATACCCTTAATTAAAATAATTAATTAAGGAGAAAAACCTGGCGGTTGAGCGTGATCTCGGTCAAATTACCTCCTTGCACAACCGTAGACCAAGAAACAGTGCTTTCCCTAGAATAGTACTGAACCCAAGACCCTTCCTGGGTTGTAGTGATACAGGTTTTTTTTGCAGATTTGAGTGGTATATTATTTATATGCAACTAGTCTAGTCAATGAATGATTATAGAAGGAAGTGGCGGGGGCATAATTTTTGACTTTGGGATATTGTTTAAACTAGTAAGGAGTATTAGTTAGTATGTAAAACATACTAAAAGTTCCCAGTTCTAAGTGATGAGCCTGATGTGGGGTGGTGGAGGAGGGCGCGCGCCTAGAATATCACTTTTTTCGTTTATATCAGGAAATCTATCCATTACATCGACAAAAGTTCTATACAAAATTAAAACTGATAAAATTTTCAATATGATTGATCCTGTACCTATTTCGCTATCTTGCTTAGTTTCCGAAAAATCCGTCCTTAACTATCGCTAATGTGAAAAAAAAAGTTTTACATATTTTTTACTGTATTTGACTAGCTAACTCTTGATTTCTTTATTCTACGATTAAGTAATGGGGAAGAAAGTTTTTAACAATTAAAATTTCTTCAAAAATATATATTATTTTACTAGTTTATCTTCAACAGTTCAAAAGGTAGATCAAGTATAACTTCATATGTCAATTCCAAGAATTTTCAGAAAAAAAAAACAATTATAATATACTTTATTTCATGTATTGATATGTATATATGATTTATTGCCACACATAGAGATTTAGATTTATAGAGAGTTAGGGCAATATAATAACGAATATTATAATCATTAATTTTTTCTGCGAATTTTCAGAATTGACATACAATGTTATAATTGATCTATCTTTTGAACCGTTGATGATAAACTAGTAAAATTATATGTATTCTAGAAGGAAATTTAATTATTAAAAACTTTCTTTCTCATGACTTAATCGAAGAACGAAGCAATCAAGAGTTAGCTTGTCAAATACGGTAAAAAACATGAGGTAAATAATTTTATTATCGACATTAGTGATATTTGAGGACAGATATCTCGGAAACTAAGCGAGATAGCGAAAAAAGATACAGAATCAATCATATTTTCAAATTTTATGTGCTTTAATTTTGTATAGAATGTCTTTCTCGATGCGATAGATAGTTTTCCTGAAATAAGCGAATACCCGAAAAACAGCAATAAACATAAGGCAAACTTTTTTTTTTCCAAATTAGCCATAGTTGAGGACGGATATCTTGGAAACTAAGCGAGTTTCCAAAAAAAAGGTATATAATCAATCATATTGCAAATTTTATCAGCTTTTCTGTTATATTAATTTTGTATAGAATGTCTTTGTTGATGAGATGGATATTTTTTCTGATTTAAGCAAAAACCTGAAAAAAGTGACCTAGGCGCTCCCTCACATCTGGCTCACCACCTAGGAGTGGAGGCTTTTAGTATGTTTACCTCCTTACAAGACCAAACAATGTTCCAAAGTCAAAAATTGTGTCTTCGCCATTTTCCTCTAAACCTTATTTTCAAGCATTCATTGACTGGACTAAACTTAATCCGTGCATGCTGCATCCATTTATTATGATTGTTGAGGCCAACACAGGTTATAACTTAATTTTTTTTATAACCTTATCTATATAGAAAAATATTTTATTTGTATATAATTATATTGTTAAACATTTGGTAAATTATGAGACGAAATTCTCGACCATTTTTCCGGGGCAGCTCGCCTCTGTCTCTGTCACTCATCATATGACTTGAAGTAGCAAAAATACAGTATCGCTGCTGGATGTATAAAAGTATGGCATATCGTCAGGCCTGATGATTCATTGGCTCTCATCCCAGCACGGATCTCAATAAAAAATCAAGGTTTCCCCATCCACTGATGAATAGATTAGTTCATTTGGGGAAATTGCTTTTTCCAAGGGAACATCCGTTGCGCTGCCCTGCTGTGACTTTAAAAAGACAAGTTAGATCAAGCGACTTGAGGTGAACTGTTTCTATAAGTTGGGATATTTGGGTGACAGTTACCCTGGTTTTTATTGCATATGTGAACCCGCAGTTCTTTTTGTAGAAGAAATTATTGTGGAGTACATTCTTCAAGCCTGGGTCATAATCGGAACAGATTTCTATTCACTTGATGACGATACGCGAACTCGGGGTAAAAGTAACAACTGAGAGCAGTATTACCATGAGATTCCTTGTGAAATCAGTGACTGCATTATAAACAGTATGCACTAAAGGTACAGAGAGGTAATATATGTGCTTACTGAGGATATTACACAAATAATTAAATTTTAACAAGTACTTACAATTCGTAATCATAAAAACAAGATTACATAAATCTTTAATTTTATTATTTTTTTAAAACATCTTTTATGAAATTTTCCTAGGTCAAATACAATCTTATTTATATTAAATTTTAATGTATTTCATGGTAAAAATAAATTAAGAATTCTAGGAAAAATAAATCATATGTAACTACCTAAATATCCCTATTTATTTTTTAGCAGTATATATTGTTTGGTAATGAACGATTTCTGTATTTTAAAAATATTTTCTTTGTTGTAGACTGAACATATATCTTCTCGTGATAAAACTGAAAAAATTGATCCTAATGAGATGTATTCTGCATATATGCAGTATATTAACAGTAAGTTTAGTTTCTTATGGGTTAGTGCTTATTATGAATTCATTTATTTTTGTTTAGCTAATTTCATAATATTTTAATCAATTTATTTCAATAGATGTCGATGAAGAAAACCAAGATTCTCAAACAAAAAATGATAAATCAATTTTACATCCGGATGCTGGTGAAGGTATTTTATGTTTTATAGCATTATAATGTTTCAGCTAAAGATTATTGTATATTAATTATTTCTGAAAAGGAAAAATAATGTTTCTCTACTCTGTTTCTCAACTTTATTTAACTTTTCCTATCTAAAACTATTATATTTCAACTTAGCAGATCCATTGCTGATTCATTAACATTTTTTGTTTATATTTAAATTGTAGAAATTCCTCAGAGTGTGGCTTCTTTGGAGGAAATGACTGATTTTGTAAATCGTGACCCTATTCGTGCATTAGAATTTAAAAGGAAACTAGCTGATGAAATTAAACATCAAGAAGATGTAAAACGGAGGAATGAGGTTAAACAACAACAAGCTCAAAAGAAACGGTTACAATTTTTACAGTGTAAAACTGCAAAAGTTAGAGAATTTGTTCAAAAAGTTAGTTACATACCTTTATATGTTTGTTTATAGTTTACTGCTGTTTTATTAATGTAATATAATTTATTTAGTTTCAGTGTTAACATTTTGTTTCTATTATTTCTTAATTTTATTTGTTATAGTCATTCCAACATTCCAATATGGTTGTTCGATATACAGTGCAATCTCAATAATTTGAACTTCAGTTATCAAAACATGCTATTGATTAAAAAATAATAAATTCAAATATATATATATAAAGTAAATATTATGATATATATATATATATATATATATATATATATATATATATCAAAATGTTTTACTTTTTTCTTTTTCTTTTTCCCTGTTTGGCTATTTTTGGCATATGGTTATCAGCAGCAGTGAGGTGGGATAGTGCTCAAGGATTTCGCTCATGCCACTGCTATTGATTAAACTCTCTTTATTTGTTATTGTTCTCTATTTTATACATGCTGTAGAGTATATATTTATTTCTAGCAACAATAAAATTAGGGTTTTCTGGCTATGCACCTTTCACAGTGGGGCTGTCTGTGCTTTAATATCCTCCTTTCAGTCAAGTGGCTATCAGGAACTGTCTTTTTTTCTCTGCTTATTGTGACATAATTGGTGACTTTCTCTGGTGATCTAGGAGTAGGATGAGTTGCCATTCTCCTTACCAGGTCTGAGTATGTAACCTTCTGAGGTTATATCCTCTCATTCCTTTTCCTGGATATAACCTCCTGTTATTTCCTGTTGTTTTTGGGTGGCACTTGTTTTCTAATTTTTTTCGCCTCGCCTTGTTGTCTACATCTGCTGTTCTAATCTCTTCATTATAGTTTCCTAGTTCCTCATGGCCACTGCTTCTTCCTATTATCTGGCAATATTTTGCAAATCTTTAGTTGTATTGAATCCAAATTTTGTGTACACTCAGTACTCCCTATCCACAAACTGATTCACATGAGGAACGATAATCTTTTTCAACCTGGTTTAGAATGGAGCTTAGTCTCGCGAGTTCTGCCCGGTTGGCAGACTGAGATTGCTCTATATTTTAATGATCATTGCTGTAACATTTTTTTTTATATAATTTTGTATTTTTAATTTAATTAGTTTGTTAGTCATTTATCCTATTTTTAATGGTATTTAGTGTGAAGTTGTGACATATCAAAATCTGTTTATTTATACTGATTTTTCTATATTTCCTAATTCAGATAATAGCTGAAGCTGTCAACATTTTGGATGCATATTTGAGTAGTTGGTTGCACATGTGCTATTTTATTATAGGAACATTCTGTGGTTCCATTTTTAACATTATTATGAAATCCTAGTTATCGTATTATTTTTTTGTGTCAGGTTGAAGAAGTAAAAGCTGCTCAACACCAATTGGCTTTACAAAGAAAATCACGTATTGATTTGAAGTTGAAAAAAGCTGAAGAAAATAGGAACATGCACCTTAATATTATCAAGAGAAAGGCACATGATGAAGAAGAAAAACTAAAAGAAATAGCCTTCATTAATGAACTCGAAGCACAGAATCGTCGTCATGATTCATTGGCATTGAGACAAGTATTTATTGTTTTATTTTTGGTTTTTTTAATATTTCTATGTAATCTTGTTTTTGGTATAAATTATTATTGTCACTTAATTCTTTATTAGGAGCACGAAGAAAGGTTACAATGTTTAGTTGAAGAACGACAAAGAAGACTAGAAGAAAAAGCAGCTAGAGAAGCTGCTGTTGAAGAAAGAAGAAGGGTTTTGGAAGCTGAAAGACAGGTTAGTGTCTTTTTCTGCCACAATTACTTTTTTATGTTTTTTCTTCTAATCCTAATAAAATACTATTTGTCAACGTTTTTGGACCAACATAGAATCATATATAATTGTTTTAATACTTTTTTTCCCATTTGTTCTAGACCCTTATCCTTTCCATTGCATTTTTGAAACATCATAACAAATGAGCACTTATAATTTATCTTCATCAGTTTCTGAATTATCCTTTCTTTTTTGTTACCCTTTCATTTCTATTTACATAGTAGATATTCGGTTTAAAATTACTTATATGACCTATTTTGATAATCAAGTTCCAATTTTTTAACCTGATTGTCTTGATATTAGTTGTTTCTTCAGTTTAACAATGTCATTCAAAGATTGGTTGTAATTATAAAAAATTTTGTTAATAAAATATTTTTAAAATATTCATTTCTTTTATATTGTGATTACTATTTAAGGAAAAACTTGAGAAAATGAAAGAGAAGAGAAAAAGAAAACAAGAAATAATTGATCGTAAACAGCAGGAAAGAGAACAAGAAAGATTAGAAATAGCCCGTGAAAAAGCAAGGTAAAATTCTCAGTTATTGTGAAATTAAAATTATCTTCTTCTACTTCCTCTAACTCCTCTGTGCCATCAAGCGTGGAGTTGCAGTCTCAGTCTATCTATCCCACTGGTCTCTGCCCCTGGCTACTCTTCTCATCTCCGGGATGGTGAGTCCTCTTGCTGCCCCCAGTTTTCCAATGTAATCAGTGTACATGCACCCGGGTATGCCATGAGGCCGTCTTCCTTCCTAGCTTCCTAATACCACCTGGCTTTTCTGGTATCGTCCATTCTACAGATGTGTCCATACCATTTTAGTTGCCACTCTTGCATAGTGTCGTGCACTGATTTAACACCCAGATTCTCCCTAATTTTTTCATTTCTGACACTGACCCTCCTGGTCTTACCAACTATTCTTTGGAGAAATCTCATTTCTGCTGATGTTATCTCACTTACATGCTTGTCGAGGGCTGTCCAGCTTTCTGTTCCATATAGGAGAACTGAGAGGAACTTCTTCTTTTTTTCTTCTTTTGCACCACCCTGTAGTTTCTTTCAGCTTAGGGGAGTGTCTAACCAGGATTGTCAATGTTCCCTGATTCTTGCAAGATTTCTGGCTTGTCATATATTCTTATTTCTGCAATAAGCAGTGACTTTTTTCTCCAGTTTGTCAGTCAGAACCCAGCTTTTTGCACCATGCAGGAGTACAGGCAGGTATACTGCCTTAAATATGTGCAGTTTCACACCTCTGCTCGCTTCTCTCTTTTCGATCACAGTATTGCAGATCTGGTGCAATATATAGCATTTACTTTGCTTATCCTGTTCAGAATTTCTGAATCCACTTTCTCAGACCGATCTATAACAGTACCAAGGTAGGTGAAATCAGACCTACTTCCATCACCTTTCCCTTGCAATACTCTGTACTATCTTCCTGCACTCTTCCAACCTGTAGGATCTTCCTCTTTCTTGTACTAATGATCGATCATACCCTTCCTGCGGAGCTCTTCATTGCATTCGGCCTGCTGTAATTTCTCTGCGGAATCAGCAATTAAGACAATATCGTCCGCATATAGAAGGAACTGAATTACAGCTGGAAACAGATTCCTTCGCCCCAGAAACGTCCTTTCTGTTCGCCTTTTACAGATTACAGCTATTTCATCCATGTATAATATGAATAGCAACTGGCTTAAACTATCACCTTGTTTGACCCCCTAGCTATGCTAATATAGTCAGATTCCTGTCCATTCAGTCTGACTATTCCTTTTGGATTTTTGTATATGGATTTAATGGTCTCAACCAGGCTTCTAGGAACACTCTTTACTCTTAGTGTTTCCCATATTTTGTTTCTTGGGACTGAATCAAATGCTGCTTGAAAGTCGAGGAAGGCTAAGTACATATTTTTATCATTAACCCATGATTTTTGTATTATATTCCTGAGGGTAAATATATGGTCCTGTGTCTGACGCCCTGCTCTGAAACCAGCTTGCTCTTTTATGAACGGTTCCACTAGAGGTTTCGGTCTATTGTGCAAGATGGATGTATACCACTGAAGACAGGCATATGATATGGGTCTGTAGTTGGAGGATTCAGCCTGGCTGCCTTTTTTATGTATGGGAATTATGACATTATATTCCTATTCTATAGGAATCCTATTCCTCTCCCAGGCTTTTTGGAAAAGTATTTGGAGAGACCTCACTAACTCCATCCCACCATACTTAAAAAACTCTCCAACTAAATTATCCCGTCCTGGAGCTTTTCCTGTTTTTATCTTTTCAATAACTATGACCTCGTCGATATCAGCCTCGTTCCTGCACGCCTCCTGACTGTTCTCAGGATACATATGTTCGCTTATGAATTGTTTTTCATAATGTCTCCTCCATATCTCCAGGATGATTTTATCCTCCGAGACCATTTCTCCTCACTCAGTGCTTTGATCTTTTTCCAAAATAGTTTTATGTTTTCCCCATGATCCTGGTTCAACCTCTCCAAATTCTACCCCTGACCTCTTCTTTGCTATTTTTACTGCCTCCTTAGTCACATTCCTTGCTAATACATATGACTGCCATTTTTGTTTCCAAACATCTTCCAAGATAGCATCCGCATCCAATTCCTGAAGTTTTCTGTTCAGTTCATCTTCAAACCTCTTTCTTATCAGGGTCCTGAAGCTTTTTTACATCTATTCTATCATAGGCTTTTGGCTTTGTCTTGGGGTCCTTAAGTACCCTGGTGTCGGCGGCCAGTAGCATACTGTCACTACCATCTCCGCTCCTCTAATAACCTTTACATTTGAGAAAAACCTCCTGATGTCTCTCTCATATATAAAATAATCAATAACGCTATTTGCATTTTGTTCCGTGGCAGAGAAGATAATTTTTTGCACTGGCTTGTAAGGAAATACGAATTCCCAATAAGCATGTCGTCCACACAGAACTCGATCAATCGCTGACTGCTTCATTCTTTAACCTTTCGCCTCCATGTGGACCCATCACACCATGTGCTCTCACGTAGTCATTGCCTGTTCGTGTGTTGAGGTCTCCCATAATGAGAATACTTCTATTAATATTTTTGTTTTTGGTCACCAAACGTTCTAGGTCTGCATAGAACTGTTCCTTATCTAGTATGCTTGCATCATTTGTTGGAACATACACTTGTATTAGGGTCCATTTTCCTATGCACAGATTAATATTAACTGCTAAGATGCATGAGTTCACTGGCTCCCATTCTTCCACTCTTCTGAACAGCTCATTCTTCCTTACAATGCCGACTCCCTCTGCCGCCCTATTTCCAGGAGGGACTCCCGAGTATATAAAACTATGACCACCATCCATCGCCTTAACTCCAACTCCCTTCCTTTGTACCTCACTTCCTTCCTTGTATATCCAAGCTGTACGTCTTCATCTCCTCGATGATTTCTACTTCTTTGCCTGTAAGAGATCTTATATTCCAAGTTCCTAACTGTATGTCCTTTTCCATGCCGAGTCGTTTCCTTCTAGTCTGTCCAAATCCGAGGCTATTCGCTATGTTTCTTTGAATCGTTTATACATTCTTAGGGATAATTGGCCCAGTAAGAACACTGGTGGTGGTTAGCTATACCCTCAACCTTGGGTCTTCCCATGAAAGGTGGCCCTGAGATGACTACTGCAAATGACCTTATGTAATGAATAAGTGTATAGTGTACTTTTTTTTTTTTTTTGTCCTCCCTTTTCTCACCTTTAAGGCTATACAGAGTTTTCCCGGGCTAGGGGGTGAGGGCGGGGATTTAAAATACTTCCCCAGCACTGGGACGTGAACTCGTAACTATTTTTATCCGGTTATCTATGTATCAGGTTGCCGTGCAATGGTGATGCTGTGTACTGTTCTGGGTGAGAAAGAACTTTGTACTGAACTCGGGAGCCTGGGGGAGTGTTATACCTCACTAGTCTGGTACTTAGACTAGCTCCTGCGGGAACTGAGAGAAATATGGATTTAAATATCTGTATTTTGGCATCTCTACTTACTGCTTGCCTATAACAGTACACTCATATTCATAAGTTCTAGGGGTTCACCATTACACAAAACCATAGGCTCTGCGTTTTCTCTTCTGAAACAGATGATTTTAGTTTTGTTAGGATTTATTTGTAAACCTCTTATCTTCAGTTCCTCATTCCATTCATCCAAGAATGCCTGAAGAGCCTTTTCAAAGTCAGATATCAGTATGATATCATCCGCATATATCATCGCTTGAGCCAGTACTGGAGTTAGGTTCCAAAAACCTACTAGTGCTCTTGGGCATCTCCTTTTACACATCTTCCATATCTCATCCATAAGAAGGACAAATAGTAGTGGGCTTAGGCTGTTCCCCTGCTTTACTCTCTTATAAAAGTGGAAAGGCCGCAATGTCTGACCATTAAGTCTTACAATGCCCTTTGAGTCTTGGTACATTGATTTCACTCACCAAGTTTGCTGGCACTCTTCTTGTTATTAGTGTGTCCCATATCTCCTGCCTCTGGGCTGAGTGAAAAGCCGCCCTCAGATCAAAGAATGGCAAGTAGACTGCCTTTCCCTGGTCTCACGCTTTCTCTATTATCATTCTCATTGAAAAAATGTGGTCCTGAGTGAAATTAAAATTATCTTGTGATTTTAAGGTTTATTCTACTTTGTTTCATTCCCTAACTTTACTTTTTAATTTCAGTGGGTCCATGGGAACTTTGTTCAGTCAATTTTCTGATAATGCAATATTTTGTAATAATATAATAATATACAATATAATACTATTCAGTAATTAAATGTAGTAAATTAATTTATTGAAAATAGAACTGTTTAATTATTTTTTCTTAAGTATTTTTATTAATACTTTTACAAATGTTTTACCATGAAAAATAATAAAATAGATAATAATTTTACTTGTTCTATACCATAAACTTAAATTGCTAGAAATGTTTAAATTATCATTATTTTGAAAACACTCCATAAAACTGATCAATTTTTCTTTATTTACGGTTTGTAATTAAATTGGGATTTTACGTAGGTGTTTATTCAGTAAATTAGATATTGTCTCAGTTTTTAAAAATGTATTATAAGTATGTTAATTTATTTTTCATTCAATATATTTTTAGAGAACGAGAAGAGAGGTTACTAGCTAGACAATCTGCCCAATTAGCTACAGTTGAAGAGTTGCAAAAAAGGATACAACAAAAACAAGAAGAAAGTGCAAGAAGGCATGTTGAATGTATAGAACTTATTCGTCAAAAAGCTGTTGAAATTGGTTTACACAGAAATACATTTGAGAATGTTGCAAATTGTATTAATGTATATAAACCTGTAAGTGTTGATTTTCTTTTTTACTTTGATTACTTTTGTTACATTTTACTGAACTCATTTTAGACACCTGGGCCACTACTTACGTGACAACAAATTTAATGGACAAAGTTTTTGGTTTTTATCAATTATAAAGATGGGAAATTCTATTCCGAGTCAATGGAAAAGTTGCTAACACGTTGCCAGAAATGTATTGATAGTAGTGGAGACTATTTTGATTAAATAAAACAGTTGTAAATCTTTCTTTTTAAACCAAAATCCTGCATTATTGTCTGGATAACCCAATATTTTGTTGTATCTATTTACCCAATATTTATTGTATCTAATTTTGTTGTATAAGGTCATTTGCAGTAGTCACCTCAGGGCCACCTTCCCTGGGAAGACCCAAGGTTGGAGATATAGCTAACCACCACCAGTGTTCATACTGGGCCAATTATCCATAAGAATGTATAAATGATTCAAATATTATTTTTCTTTAAGCAGATATAACTCTTAAGGTGTCTTTACACGTGAGAGGAACTTGTAACTGGAGTTACTCTTAGAGCCCTTTGCATATGAGAGTGAAATTTAGAGCCCACAGATGGTGTTGGGATTTATTTTGGAGCTTTTCTTGTAGAATTAATGAGCTAATATGGGTTACTACTTGTTACGTCCTTTCTCTAGCTGACTCGACCATTATTATTCTTCGTTTTGCATTTTATGTGAAACATTGTATTCAATCGCTCTCAGTTTTGCTATAAATTTTGTTTAGTTAAGTTATTTTAGTTAGTAATTATATCAAATAGGATTAGTTATGTGGCTGTGTAGATTAATTATTTTAGTTATTTTTTAGTGCAGAGTTAGTCATTTTTCTTTTATTTCCTTATTTTTTTTAAATGGAGAAAAAGTTTTTTACTGCTGCGGAAGCTGCCGTAACTAATCACATTTAAAGTATCCATAGTTTTTTATTTGGTATGTGAAATTTCCATCTTATTTATTGTTCACTTAAATATGTATTGGTTTAAGCAATATTGTTTTTTGTCTGTTTGTTTTTTAATATATCATGAATTCTAGGATGAACAGCTGAAATGTGAGATTTCTCTTAAGGATCCTGATTATCAAAAAATAAATAAACTTAATCAAAAAAAAAGATTTAAAAAAATCAAATCAAGAATGGCAGTAAAGTAAGTATTTTTCAATAAAATTGAGTGGCTTCATATAAAAGGTGGAGATTTTTCATTTTCAAGGAGTTGAGAAAAATCCAATTTTTGTTATGTAGCTTCAATTTAAACTATTCTAATGACTTAAGAACAAAATTGATATGAAACCACTCAATTATTTTTGAATTCATTTTGTATTAACATAGCTAATTATTTTGATTATATAATAATAATGTTCTTTAATTATTCCGGGACAATGGGAAATAAATTATATGGAATATAATTAATAGCTTATGTGGCAAATGAGATTTCAGCTTTGTGAATCAAGTGATGTTCGCTCATACTTATGAGTAAATTTATACTTCAACTTAATATTTTTGATTGTTAAATTTTTTTAAATAGGAAAATTTATTAGTCAGATCACTTTTTCTGACACCTTTACTAATTTTTAGATAATATACTTCTCTTCTTACTACAGCTTCTTCATCTAATATTATTTTTCTAGAGAATAGCATCAGGTTATCACAATCTCTCTGTATTCAGTAATAGAATTGACACTACTTTCTTTATATCCTTAATGTTTATCATCATGATTTTGTAACCTGAAAGCTGAATTACTGCTGTTCCAAACCGCATCAGAACAGTTTTGGATTTAATTCCTTTTTAAGCTAGAAATTTAGAAAAACTTATCAAACATTTTTTATTTTATATCTTTGGTTCTAATTTGTGTATGGAGGTTGGGTTTTTACCAATTTGTGTATCATAGAGAGTCCTAAGTCCGTGATAATTTATGTGCGATTCAGTGGAGTCTTTCTGATATTATCATAATTTTTGTGTTTGTCAGTGAAATTTCAAAGGGTCCAGCCTAGGCAAAAATTTCATGTCTCAGTTACTATAAAAATTCATATTTTAGAGTTTTTTTAGGTCCGAAAAATGGATACCAACTTTGTTTCTCTTTAAAAATTTGTTACTCTAGATACTACACCAGTTAAGTTAGATACCAGAAAAAATATTATATTTGGCAAATAGCTATCGTTTTGGAACAAATTTGGTAATGTGAGAGTTTACAAACCTCCCATTGTTAATTAAAACAATGTTATCTACTTCTAAAGGATAGCAAAAGAAACAATCTTCACTGAATTCTTGAAATACATTTTTCAGCTTATTTAAACTCACTATATTTTATTGTTTTTTTATTTTAGGGGTAACATGTTTATTGACTCAATGGAATCTTCAGAGAATGGTTTTTCTGGAAAAGATTTACAATTAGAAAAACTATTGGAAAAACTTAGAGCATTTTCTCCACATGAAATATACCTTTGGCAGGATGAGGAATGTTCAAGCATTGATTACAACCTAAATGAAATGCTTGTTATGTTACGAACTGTAAATATGGCACTCACTTATAATTTTCCTAAACATTATATTTTAAGCTGTACAAATTTTATTCTTAAAATTTTGGTATTGAACATTTTAGTTAAATGTTATTTTTCTAGGGTTAAGGCAAATATATTTCCATTTTTTGCAGTCATTTTAATTACATCTATTATATCTGACGTTTCGGGACAATTTTTCCATCCTCAGAGTATTCTTTATGTTTACTGAAATTATACATATTTGAAATGAACTATTTTTACATTGTTAATCTACTCTATCTGTTGTATAATTATCTACCTTGCTTTTATGATGTGGCACCAGTCATCAAAAATTCAATAATTGTCATATTTATTTAAATATTTTTTTGGTGTTACACATTCATTTCTTGTTCATTATCACACCAACCAACATCTGGCTATCTCCATTTCTGTTAATGAACTTTGTACTTGTCCACTTATTCTTCATTATGGCTGTATGTTGTGTTTATATTGTCTATAGTTATTTTTGAATTTTAATATTGGATATTATGTCCGAATAGTGTGTGCCTAAGTGTTTTGTATCCGTTTTATAATTTACTGTTCTATTATTATTTTTTGTTATGTATATGGCTTGTAGTAGTTTTCTATTGTTTGTTTTTGGTTCTATTGCTAATATTTGTGGGTTTTTGAAGTCAAATGTGTGTAGTGATTTAATACTATGGTTTGCCAGCGCTGTTATATTAATGTTGTTACTATTTTTGCAATTTGACGTATGCTGTGATATTCTGGTTTTTAGTTTTTTTGATGTTTCGCCTGTATATATTTATTGAAAATCTTGGCAGTTTAACATATAAACAACATTTTTCTTGTCCAGTGCCTCTATTTTATCTTTTGTGTTTGTCAAGTATTTTCCCAATTTTTTATCGTTATATATGCCAAACTGAATCTCGGGTAAGTCATAATTTATGAACACTTTTTTATTTGTCTTGTAAGCTGTGGTGTGTATGTCATTTTGTAAAAAATTCTTTTATTGTATATTTTGTTTATTTGTGAATTATTGTTTTGGATGTTGTCATTTGTTATGTCTGTCTCCTCGAAAAACTGTGTAGTAAATTGTTGTTTAGGCTTTTCACATTGCTCAATATTATTTATTGGTGTTTTGGTATTTCTTGTTTTTGTTCCCATTTTTATGTGTAATTTGTTGTGTGTGTGTGATCTGCTGAACCATAATTTATTTATTAGTTTAATAGGGCAGAAATTTTCTGTTAGTATTTTGTATATTTCAGTTTTGACACACTTTTGACTTCAAAACCCCACAAATATTAGCAATAGAACCAAAAACAAACAATAGAAAACTACTACAAGCCATATACATAACAAAAAATAATAATAGAACAGTAAATTATAAAACGGATACAAAACACTTAGGCACACACTATTCGGACATAATATCCAATATTAAAATTCAAAAATAACAATAGACAATATAAACACAACATACAGCCATAATGAAGAATAAGTGGACAGGTCCAAAGTTCATTAACAGAAATGGAGATAGCCAGATGTTGGTTGGTGTGATAATGAACAAGAAATGAATGTGTAACACCAAAAAAATATTTAAATAAGTATGACAATTATTGAATTTTTGATGACTGGTGCCACATCACAAAAGCAAGGTAGATAATTATACAACAGATAGAGTAGATTAACAATGTAAAAATAGTTCACTTCAAATATGTATAATTTCAGTAAACATAAAGAATACTCTGAGGATGGGAAAATTGTCCCGGAACGTCAGATATAATAGATGTAATTAAAATGACTGCAAAAAATGGAAGTATATTTGCCTTAACCCTAGAAAAATATATAAACAGAAGCTTCCTAAAAAAAGAAAAATAAGAAGATAGTTAGATGTTATATTTTCTTAATAGGTTCCTTAGTTAATCATTATATTTGCCTTTTTGGCAAGATTAATAGAGATCAATATCCTACCAAATAAATTATGAGATCAGATTATATATCTTACTTTTCATTTTTCTCTTCAATAAACATACTAAAACTGATTAAATAATCTTGGTTCATTTATTTTTTTTATTAGCAGTTAGATTTGACAAGAATATGGATTTACAATTTTTACAATTCTGTTATAAGTGAATTACTAAATATTTAATGTTGTAAACTAACTCCTCATTTTACATGTACTCTAATGATTACATTAATGTGTTTCTCATCATGACCATGTCTCTATTCTCATAACATTTTTACTTTTCTACCTATACTAGGTAAGGAAAGTATTGCGATCAGATCAAATTTCCGACATGCAGTTTTCGATGGATCTATACGTTTCAGAGCCCCCTGAGTCCGAAAAAACACATTTTTAGCCATTGCTCTGTCTGTGCCAAGATTTTCTCGTCAACTAGTGGACCGATTTTGTTGCTTCTTTTTTTATTTTGTAGGGCTTTGACTACTGATGCCTGTGACACAAATTGAGTGCTCCATGCGCAATAGCTACTACACAATAAATGAAAAACATGTTTTTCTATAGACTGTAGTGAAAAAACGGCTCTAACGATTTTGATGAAACTTTCCTATAATGTTGTAATAATTGTCTTTTGAATTTTCGTACATGGACTGAATTCCCAAAAAAAAATCAGGAAAAAATTTATAAAGAAAAGAAAATTGTTTTGGGGCCTCACTTGCTAAGTGTATATTCTATGGTAAAATTTATAATAAAACTTTTGAAAGTAATTAAATTACCAAAAAAAATCATCGGAATCGAATCAGTATTAGCGATTATACAGCGTATTCTATTTTCCACACATGTTGTAATTTATTACTTTCCTACCTATACTAGGTAAGGAAAGTATTGCGATCGGGTCAAATTTCCGATATGCATTTTTCGACGGATCTATACGTTGCAGAGCCCCCTTAGTCCGAAAAACACAATTTTAGCCATTGGTCTGTTTGTCTGCCTGTGCCAAGACTGGTAGTATGTAGTTTGTCTATAAAATATAAACAAACTCTGAACTAGGAAGATGTTATTACAATAGGTGAAATCATGTTGGAAATCCTAATTCAGATTCTGCCAATAGAACTGCTGGAGTTGTCACATCTGAAATATCTCTGGGTCTAGAAATATCTTTTCTGTATGAGGCTGGAGATTAGTTTGGTGCATGTTGCTTATTTCATTTACTGACCAGTTGGAAGCATAATTTCAAATGCAACTATCTCTTCAGATGGAATATAAGGTTTAGAGACAACTAGAGTCTCAAGTCAGCCTTATGCCATTTGAATACTCAACTATGACCATATTGTCTGATTTTTCTACTACTCTATTTGGAATGGGATGAAATTTGAGTGTAAACTCTTTTGTTGGTTGATGTCATGCTTCCTGAGAACCAAGTCATTTTTTGAAATAATTTCGGTTTGTAAAAACATATTTTATAAATTTTATACTTCAAACTTAACACATTACCAATTTTAAAATACACACCACTTTAAAAATTCAGTTTTATGAAAAAATAAAATATGTCACAAATTTGATTCAGTACCATATATCTAGTTGTATCCTCAAAAACAACTTACATCAAGTTATTTACTTTTTTTAGTTTATATAATTTTGGTATAGGTCTTAATGTTAAAGTAAGCTTTTGTGCTTCTATTTTCTCTGCTTCTCTTACAGTAATTTTATGTGTTTTGATTAATTGTTAACCCTTCTATATATTGTGTCTTAAGACCTTTACAGTAGCTTTCACAATATATAATTTATTTATCTGTCTAACCTGTCATTAGTTTTGTGTAGTCATCAATCTACTTGTAAAAATATTTTCCTTTTAAGCTTTTGAGTATCCAAAAACCCATCAAATCAGTCATTTAAGGCTTGTTAATAGATTTTTCAGGAATTGAAGTGTTCCGTGAAAGGATAAGTAGATTACATGTATTCTGAATATCTTACTCCTTCTCAGATTATAAGTCATTATGCACTGGAACCATTGGGAAATTACCACTACTATATCCGTCTCCTGTTTTTTATGATTTCAATGCATTAGCATGTGCAATATCAAATACATTATTTAAAATTGAAATAAATTTATAATTACATTTCTTGTAGATTCTGATGACCAATGATCATTTTTTTCAACAGTACACCTATCAGGATATAATCTCATGATTTTTTCAACACAACTTAAAGTTACCTTTGTAGGGATCCTGGTCTTTTCCCATACAATTAAATATTTACAAACAACTAAATTGCAACTTTCACTCAGAGTCAATTTAACCTCTAACAATGTGCAAAATAGTACTATTAATACTTGTTCTTAAGATGATAATTTGCTTACGTTTATTTTGTGACCTAAATAGCATATTGATAAATATCTGGATTACTTGTTCTTAAATTAAAGTACATTATGGCACTTACAATGTGTACGAACAATGAATAGAGACAAATTGAAGGCTAGACTAACCTTTAGTTTTTATATTTTATATCATACAGTGAATTTCATCTAAGAACTGAGAAGCAATGTTTGAGTTCCCAATAAACGATTTGAATGAAAGAGGTTTGTATTCTTTTCTTTTATTAAAAGAAAAAAAATTAATGGTATGGGATCAGAAGTTAAAATAAGGGCTGTATAAAAAATTAGGACCACCCTTATGTACATGCATACTAATATGTAATCAAAAGTCGTGATTTTCAAAACCACAAATGCTCAGGGATTACTTTATATTAATAATTTTCTTTGTTTTTATCCCCCCTTTAGAGTAGATTTTTGATTCACTACTATGTTTGTATTTCCTTTATTTCTTTCTCTTACAGAATATTTTTTTTTTCAGCTTCAATTACTTCCATTCTCTAATGATGAATTATTTCGGGGAAGGTATTCCTTGCATCACTTTTATATTTCATCATAGTGTTAGTAACATATTTTAGCATCTTTGGAAGTTGTTATAAATCAGTTAACATTGATCGAAGTTATTGTTTATTATGCTTTATTTGCAGTATTTAAAGATTTTCTGACTAACTCCTTCTAACTTTTATTATGAAATTATTGTATGGGAAATTTCAAAAATTATTTTATTTTTATTTTCAGAATCCTACATTACGAAATTCATTTAAACAGTTAAAAGGATACATGTTAATGAACTCAATCATTCACTCTTTCAATCATTGTGCTCATGACAGATTATCCATTTGTTCATTGAAGTAAGTTTCATAGTTTATAGTATTAATTTTGATTGTCTTTTCTATTTTGAAGAACATCCTTTGCCAATGACATTTATTTGTTAACCATCCGCTATATTTTAGACCTTTTTAGATTTTTACATTAAATTTTGAGGTTTAAACTAATCATCAAAACCAGTCCTATTTACTAAACTCTTCCTTATTTAAGATCATTATGATTTTGATTTTGCTGCATACAGAGCCATCCAAAATTATCATTACATTCCTAATATGTAATTCATGAATCATGAAATTATTCTTTTAAGAAAATATATTAATCTGTAATTTGCATCACCGATGATATAAAAATATTATATAGCAATATAAAATCATATACATTTTAAAATGAATAGTTGCTTAATATTATATCAAACATAAGTTTTCTAGTGCTTATGAAAATCTTCCTTTTATTTTTTCATGAATTTTGAAGTTTTAAATCGATGTCTGGGGAACTATGTATATGTATCAACCAGTCAAAAATCGGTTGTGTATGATCAATAAGAAGCAATAGACAAGCAGATCATCATTGAATAGACTTGCAATAAACTTAACAATGTCTTCTTTGGGGCTGTGGTGGCCAAAATTCTTAAGGTGTCATCTTAGCAACCACGAGTTGATCAGTGCCTATTTGAAATAGGCTTAGGCTGATAAAAATTTATGTTGTGGTGGACCCATAGAATACTATAAAATGAATAGAATACCCTAGAATGAATTTTGACTTTTCCACTCTTGCTAGGATAAGTTCGTAATCTGTAGAATAACCTTCCTGTGTGCCAAAAATTGTCAGGTAGGGTAAAGAAGAAGAAAAATTAGCCTTTTTTGTAGGTTGTGTTGGGCAATGGAAATATAGTTTTTAGTAAATACTATTTTAGTCAAATAATTAACTTTTCAAAAACAGAGGTGAAAAAAAATGGAGTCACCCCTTTTTATTTTTAGATGCCATAGATATCCATTGCATTAGAATAGAATAGAATTCAAATGAAAAAAAAAATTGTTTTTCAAGGATCATTTACTTATTTTTTATAAGAATAATTAAAGGATCAAGTAGATGATAAAGGGGATAGATGCATTTTTAGGAAAATTTGAATAAATGCTAATAATATAGAGGTGATGTGATTTAATTTTAAGAATTCAAAATGGATACTTTAATTTTTTAAGAATTTGAGAAAGGTACTTATCCACTTGACCCTTCAGTTATGCTATGATTAGTATATTTAAGAGTGAATTTGAAGAATTTTGTGAGGTTAAGTTATGTCTAAGAAATAAGGATGAAATTATTTATTTTTTAGAAGGGAAAGGGATACACAGGAAAAACATATTGGGACACAGTCCTTAGTTACATCATTGTCAATAGCTTTACTCTCTCCCTCTTGCTTGGTGCCTAGGATTCCTGCAGCATTTAACTATTTATTCCTCATCTTATTCCTAAGCTGAAATAAGAAACCTCTCCCCCCTCCTTCCCTGTTCAATTTCAAATCAACTTTTTGAATTAATTCATTTATTTTCTTGTACCCTTTGGATTGGGACGAGCCCTTCACATTGTGAGGTCTACAGGGGTGTTATTTATACCACTGACAGGTAATCTGGTGTGGTACAGGATATTCTTTACAAACTGAAATGTTACACATATGCTGAAATGTTTTTTATCAAAGTTTTGTTAGTTATATTCTTGTTTAGTCGAGATATTGTAAAATGTGGTCACTTATAGTCGAGATGAGGTGGGTGATGTAGGATTATCAGAAGGTTAAGAACAATGTGTATCTACATGAAATTGAACGATGGAATTGGGTTTGACTTGCTTGACTGGTTCAGAAGATGATAAGGCAGGATGATCAAAGTGCTTACAACAAACAATCCACAGACCATTAGCAAGTAAAGGGTGTTCACCTTGAAACATCATTGAAAAGATATAGCTAAAGAGTTAATCTCTGGCCCTGGGACACAGAAATGAACAATCTCAAATAGGAGATATGTGGCTCCTGACTTTTTGGGAGACAGAAATGCAACTGACTGGTATCTGTCCTTGAGTCTGAATATGAGAAATACTAAGGATAGGATGGGTAAATGAAATAAGAGCTGATGAATGAAAAATGATTTGTGATTGAAATTGTTGACTGAGATGTACTAATCTATGGAGTAGTCAGCTCGGTTGAGATTGAGAAGGAAACTTGATTCAGATGGCCCCACTCTGAATTGTTCATATCGTTATGTGAAATATGAACATTGAGAGCAATTTCTATTATTATCATTATTAGCTTCTATCATTATGTTATATGTTTATTGTAAGGAATAAAAATATATCATGTAATCTTATAAGTAATGTTGGTTTTTAAAAATCTGTCTGTTTATGTTGATATTATTAATTCTTCCTTTGCAATCGAATAGTGTTTATGTATTTTGTTTCTTTATTATTGTTTATTATTATTACAAAAACTACTGTACACTGTTAGTTCAAAAGTAGTTTCCAATAAGTTGAAGCAGTATTTTCTTCTTCATCGAATTCCCAAAGCATAACATGGCATAAGTGATTTTGAGGACAATCCATTTCAATAGAAATTTCAGTACAGAATAACTAATTTTCTCCAACAAAAACATGATAAATAGAAGATTATGTAATACTATAATAAACAATATGCAAACACAATTCACTTATATAAGAGGGGTTAGTAATATCAACATAAACAGACAGGTTTTTAAAAACCAACATTACTTATGGGGTGATGACTAATAAAAATTGATTACTTTTATAATGCAGGCCACTGTGGTTATGCCAGTGCACTATCTGATAATGGGCTTGTGGATCTTTTTTCTTTATTCCCCAACCTGGACAATTATGGCATATGAGGTTTCAGCAGTGGGGTATTGTGCCATTGCTGCTAACAAACCTCTCATTATTTATTATCAAATACAATTATTAGGGAGAAATATTTAGTTGTTGCAACAATAACTATTGGTTTCCTGCAGTGTAGTCTGTGTTTTCGTATGACTCTAAAAATTTCATGTATAAGTTTTTGTTACATTATTTGTTGCACATTCGGTGCTTCACTATCATCCATATTAGTGATAGCTTTTAATAAGTGTTTTTATTTTCCTATCTTAGTTCAAAATTACATAGAAATCTAATATTTGATTATCTTTTCAGATGTATTATTAAAATTGTGAATTTATGCCAGGTGACTTGTATTGACAATCTTGAAAACTGCCAGTATATAGTTCTTAGTAATATTGTTGTGACTTTGCTGGAATCATTAAAACTCTCTATAAAGGTTTGTGAGGTTTTCTTAATATTTTTACTTTTAGTTTAATGGTACTATTACTCATGTATCACAATGCATGTTAGTAAGAAATTATATGAAATCAATTGAATGTTGATTGACCTTTTTCTTCCTACATGGGCATTAGTATACAGGTTTTGCTGAATGACAATTAAATCAGTAAAAATTATTTAATTCATTGATATTACTTTGCTCCATTGAATTTAGTTGTATGTTTTAAGTTTCAATAATAATGAACTATGCTATTGAAATTTAGAAAATAAGTAACTTAAACTTTAAGAAAATGGTGGACCATATTTGATTAACAGTATTGTGATTTTGATTCAGTATATTAAAATATTTTAATTATCTACTTTAAATTACATATCTACCATTATTAATTAATTTTTAAGTAATAGAATCATGTTTCATTAATAAGTGATAGAGTTGTGGTATGACATTCTTTTTACTATTAGAAAAAACAATGAAAAAATAAATCAGTCCCTAATTTTATATAAGTTGGTAATAGTGTTATTTGTGCGTGGGAGATTCAATATGTTAATTTATTAAATAATTTCCTTAAATTTCCTGTATAAAGTTACAAATTAAAATTATTTATATTATTTATGTCATTAAAATTATGTTTTTAATTAATATATAACTTTTTTACAACATGTTTTTTGTAGATATTGAGTTCTTCAAGTAAGTCATGGGAAATTTTAGCAGGTATAAATAATTTATTTTTCATTAACAACTTTCTTTTATTTTTATAAAATAATGTTTAAACTTATTTTACTTTGTAGAAGCTTTATTAATGATATGTTCTAATACTCTGGAAGGAATTAATCTAATGAAAGATGACCAGATCAGACATATACCTGATTTTTCTCTCAGAATGAAAGATCTTATAAGGTTATCTAATAGAAAATAATTTAATTTGTTTAATTTTAATAATTAATCTTTGTTTTAACACAGTGTTATTTTAGTTACATTATGTTCTCTGGTATTATGAATGCAGTGGTTAATATATTCAGAGCTTCAGAGATTGATGAAAAGTTTACCCATACATCGCTTATAATTCCTTGTATCAGTTTTTTTAGTTCTCTTCTTTCAACAAAGTAAGCCAATCATATTCTTTCAAATAATATGCTTAAACCTTAATTAATATATCAACTATTAGTTTTTAAGGAAATTTTTATTCTTTCTTAGGATTATATGTTTTGTTTAATCTATCCCCTGTCTCCCTGTCTAGGATCAGTATGTGCAACATCTTCCCTTGAGTTGGGTAGAACGGGGCTAAAACTTCCTATTTTTAAACAACCTCAAATATTATTTAGAAAATGACCTATTAACAAAATTTATGCTAGTTTATAATTTGTACATATATTCTTATTTACAAACCTGAAATCCTAAACACTTTTAGGTGTATCTTTAAAAATGTTATTATATAAACTTTAGTATACAGGAAAACAAAAAGTAACACTTGGGTTAAGTTGTTAGTAGCTCTATCAGAAACATAGACGATGAAAATAATAAATATTTCAATATATACTCATTTATTTAAAGATTAATCAACAAAATCTTTAGAGTATTTAGTCAAATATGTCTGATAATTTTAACTAAATCATGAAACATAAGAAATAATTCTCCTTTGGTATTTTAACATCTTATAGTAATCACTTATAATTACTCACTCTAACAAATGTAAGTTATATTTTTAGGTTATACATGATCTCACTTTACAATTAACAGGTGGTGTAGCTGATCAGTCTTTATAATTAGGAACATATTACCACTGGCCTGACTAATATGGTAGCTGTCGGTGAGCTGCTTCTTACTATTTCGTGACACACTTCAGACTTAAATTTATCTCTTTTCATTTTTGAGCTATCTCACTCAGAACAACTTATCCCGGTAACTTTTAGCCCCGCTCTTCCCTACTTTTCCTTGTATAATTTTATGTTATGTGAATGTTAGGGACTATGGAAAATGATAAACATGTTGGGGTTTATATATCAATATATCAAGGAACTCTCCTTTCCCCTTTCTAGATTATAGACACATTTATTTTTAATTATGTTTATTTAGATTCCCCTTTTTTATTCTATAAAATATTTTTAACCTTTAAATTGACAACTGAGTTGAATTGATGATTTTGATTTTGAGTTGATATTTGAGAAAACAATATAACTTTAATACTGATAACAGTCTTCTTCATAAATACAATGACAGGCAAAAAATTCCACCCACTTGATTTTTTCATGTTTTCATCTAAAAATATTTCTGCTTTGGATTGGTCTATTGTTTTTAATGAATAAATAGGTAATCTTTTTGTTTGTTTTCAATTAGGAATGTTAATATAGAGGACAATAGCCCTTAATCTTTAATTCAATGAAATGATTCTAGATTCCAATGTTTACTTTCTATGGAATCAAAATGTTTATTCAGTATCATTAGTTCAGTGCCGTTTCTTGCAGCACATTTCTTAGTCTCCGGCTTTTAATTTTTTCAATATTATGTTTAAAAATGCCTCTTAGTATATCTTTGCTGGAGGATAGCCCATTCCTCCAGAAGAGCCCTTTTGAGGTCCTGCAGTGTATCAGGAAGTGTTGCATGTGCTCTTATTCGTCTTCCGAGGTTATCCCATATATGCTCAATGGGGTTCAAATCTGGAGAATGTGCTGGCCAGGCTAAAACCTCAATATTGTTCTGTTGAAGGAACGTCTGCACTATGCGGGCGACATGTGGGCATGCATTATCGTGCATTAGAATAGAACGATCGCCAATTTCGTTGAGGATAGGCAACACATGAGGTTCCAAAATCTCATCTACATAGCGAATGGCCGGCCGTCAAAGACCCTCCACGAACAACAACCAATTCGCCACTCTATTGAAATCCCAGCCCACACCATTAAGGAACCACGTTGGAAAGGTTGGCTCTGGGAAAAATTACAGGCTGCATATCTTTCGTTTCTTCTTCTCCTTACCCTTTCACGCACGTCTGGAGATCGAAGAGTGAATCTTGACTCATCTGTAAAAAGTACAGCACTCCATTCGTCCATAGTCCAATGGCTGTGTTCTCGAGCAAAAGCCAGCCATGTTACTCTGTGACTTCTGGTCAACTCTGGTCCTCTTTCTGGACGAAAAGCCATTAATCCATACTCATTTAATCTTCTCCGAGCGGTACGTTCAGAAATTTGCACACCTCGAACTTCTTCGAGCTGATGAATCACTTGAACAACGGTAAAGTGCCGGTTTCGTAAAATTCTCTAAGTCAAAAACCGGTCATCCCGTGGTTCTGTTACCCTAGGTCGTCCAGAACTGGGCCTTCTATTGTAAGAACCAGTTTCGCGAAAACGCCTGACGGCATCTCTTAAAGTTTCATATGGAACTCCGATGGCATTAACTGCATATCTAATGGAACGTCCATTATCAATAAGTGCCACACCACGCGCAACATCCTAGGCACTAAGAGGCATTTTTAAACTTAATATTGAAAAAATTAAAAGCCGGAGACTAAGAAATTTGCTGCAAGAAACGGCACTGAACTAATGATACTGAATAAACATTTTGATTCCATAGAAAGTAAACATTGGAATCTAGAATCATTTCATTGAATTAAAGATTAAGGGCTATTGTCCTCTATATTAACATTCCTAATTGAAAACAAACAAAAAGATTACCTATTTATTCATTAAAAACAATAGACCAATCCAAAGCAGAAATATTTTTAGATGAAAACATGAAAAAATCAAGTGGGTGGAATTTTTTGCCTGTCAGTTTAATTCACTAACACTGTAAGCAATAACTCTTTCAAATAACTTAACTCTGCCAGCCAGGTAAGGATTAATTAACTCACGGACTTCTTGATAGGACCGGATAATTCCATCTAATCTCATTGGTATCATCTTAACCTTTTGCTATTTATAACATACATGGTGGTTCTTATGATCTTGCTCATCAACCTAAATCATTTCATATTGCCTAGCCAGTGCAAATCGGCCTCTATAATAAATCAGGAACCTACTTCTTCTGGTAAAAAATCATCCAAATCTTAAGGATTCTGAACTTCTAATTTATTTCTGAATCTTTCATGGTTACTGCATCATCTATTTAAAATGTAATGAAATACATTTGCTTTCAGACCTTGAAATCTTATTTTCTAATTTTTGTATTACCTCTACATTAGATAATGGTAAATTTGACTTCCTTATTTAAGTTATTTGTTTTTAACACTTATTAGATAGTGTATTATCGCTTTCAGTGTTACAAATGAGCATCACAAATATGAATCACAAATATGAATATTCATGCTATTAAATTTCTTTGGATGTGAACATGAGTATTTTCATATTCAAGATGTGAATGTGAATATGTTCATGTCTATTAGTACTGTCTGAAATATACTGTATAGGACACAAAGAGATTTCCAAAAACATTCAAATACAACATGATTATTCCAATCCGCAAAAAAGGATGTCAAATGGAGTGTGCTAATTACAGGCCTGCAGTCTCTTGTTCATGTCTTACAAAAAAGTTACGATGAATTGTAGACAAATAGCTGGAAGAGGAACAGAAAGGTTCCTGCACTAGGAGTCAGACTCACAATCATATCTTTGTCCTACGAACTATATTGCAAAAACATGGGACAGAGACAGGAGCACATACCTAGCATTCCTGAACTTTAAGGCGGACTCGGTCCCATGGTAATAAATATGGAATGCTCTGGTTGGTAAAAATGTTTTAAGAGATCTAATTACCACCATAAAATTTGTATATATAAGTTTAAAAGGAGTAGTAAGGATTAATGGAACCAAATCTACTCCTTCATGATTGATAAAGGTGTCAAGCAGAAGGATAGCTTGTGTCCACTCTTATTTACTGAATTTTTAGATGAAATACATAAAATTTTCAAAAGGCGAACAACCCAAACAGACCTTAGTAAGTGTAAATGATAATGACTCTCAGCCAGTCTCTCTTGTATGCAGATGATATTGTCCTCATTTGTGATACAAAAGAGAAACTGCAGTAAGCTTTACTGAAATGGCAGGAGGAACTTAAGCTAAAAGGGATGATCATCAGTGTCTCTTAGAGTAAGGTGCTGGTCCTTCCCAAGATGAAGAGATGATAGAGGAGGTGGACTATAATAGTGAGTTTCTTGAAGTGGTTGATAACTTTTAACTATTTAGGCACCAACATAAATAGACATGGAAGAGTAGATTAGGAAGTCACTAATAGAATTGCTAAAGCCAACCAAATCTATTATAGCATTTGCAGCAGCATTGTTGGCCATCGTGATGTGGTGCAGAATACTAAGCTCTGTATCACAAATCAGTATACCTTCCTAATCTCACAGCATTGAGTTGAGGCCCATCCATGTTAGATATGGCACAAGGAGGAATATAGAGAAGAGAAGAAGTCAGCAAGTACAGATATATCTCTATTATAATTGTGAATAATCATATTCATAATATGAATTCACAGTTATAAATAGGAATATATTTGTATTTATAGGTATGAATATAGTACTATTCAAGGCTTGTAGGGCTATATTCTTATTCATATTTAGATTTTTTAAAAGTGAATATATTCAAAGGTGCCCATCCCCCCCCCTTCTCCTGAAATATTTTATTTCTCTTCTCTTCTTAAAATCAATGCAAGTTAAAGTAAAATTTTAAAAATCATAGGTTATATACAATTACACTTCCAGTGGTCTGTACTATGCTTTTCTCTTGTCTCCTGGTTTGAAACTTTTTAATCCAAAAATTCATAACCCTGTCAAAATGTGGCCTCCTCGAAAAATTTGATGGAGCAACTTGTGCCATGGAACCCCCTTGTAGGCACCTCTGAATATATTTGTATTCACACTTCTGGTTACAGATATGCCCATCTCAGTTCTGCTCTTTTTATAAAAAGCTTTAGTTATAAAAACTTACCTATTACTATCATCGATTAAATCCATTTCCATTTTAAATTAGTCTCTAATTGGTTTACTTCATCTTTTTCATTATTTTAATTTATTTTTCACACTCTAAAGTCATTATTTTTAATGATAATTTTCTGTTTATGATAATATCTGTTTTGTTTCTTAATTCTGTTTTATTGTTACTTGTGTTTTGTCGAATTTTGATCCAATTCATCATTTAGCGATATGATATTTTGATTATTTTCTTCAATTTTTTTTTCTTGTTTATTTTCTTCCAATATTTGTTTTTCAAAAACATGCTTACTTTGAGAATTTGGGTTTTGGTGGAATTCAGGGGATGGAGATTTGTAGACAAAGACTGGGTTAATGTTATCGGTAACAAACATCTTATTTAGTTAAGCCCTTTTTTATTTAATATTTAGTTATTACGTGTGTAATTCATTTATATTTATTGATTTTTTTTTCAGATTTAAGACTGAAGAATTCATGAGTATGTTAAAAACTACAGACCTTTTTGGTACAGTTCCATTTCTATATGAAGGTTTGATGCAGCATCTTACAAAAGATGGATCTCTGCCAGATTACAGTTTACCTATTATAAATATCTTCCTAAAATTTGCAGATCTTGACCTGAAAGCATTTCAGGTATTGAAGATAGATTTAATTAATATTTACCATTAATTACCATTAACACCACAAAAACAAATTTCAATTATAGCATGGATTGATAATCTTTCTAAGGTTAAAATTAACCTTTTGTTTCATCTACTTTTGTAATTTACTGCTATGTGCTTCAAAATGTGTGAAATTAACATTCTTTACAACAATTTTCTGTTTGTTTTTACTCATACAGTTTAAATTTCTATTCATTTCAATTAAATCATTAGTAGCCATACAGAAATATAGTAATTGTATAATTATTTTTTCTGTTGTTATTTTAAATTTGGCACCTAAATTATTTCAATTGATATAAATCATTGTATACTGTTAGGAATTATAGTGATGTGTGAGTATGTATAAATTATGGAGTATTGTATTAGGTAATATCTTGGCATATAGTTCAAACTAAATCATTTTTAAAAATTAATTCTCTGTTTTTTTTTTTTGCTTTTTTTCTTCTTCTTTTTATAAAATTGTTATTTACTTCATTTACTGAAATATTGGGGGATATTTTCATTTACTAATATACTTAGACCAGCTTATTGCCTATCAAGTGATCTATCTGTTAATGTAGCTTTATTTTTAAATGTTTTTATAATATTGAGTCACTTAATGTATGTTAATGTGGATGTAATCTGACTGTTACAATTTATGGATAACAAATATGGTGAAGGTTATATCAGGTAATAAAAACAAAGAATATTCAATCAGTTGCTACTTTAACATTAAGTCAGAGACACATACTAAAAATTACAACAACTATTTAAAAATGTTGCTAATATGGAATAATTCTTGGATTTTATTTGAATAGTCTTTTAGCTTTCTTGTTTGATGTAAATCTTAACAGTGAGTAGAATTTCATTGATCATAAAACATCAACTTGTAATTTATATTTTATGACTACAATTTAAACTATTGCATCCTTTGACTCATAACTGTAAATATATTACTAAAGTAGCAAGCTGGGAGAAATTCGTGGAATAATTTAATGGACAGTTACCTCAGCAATTTATAACAATGGCAAGCTTAAAAGAAAAGGTATTGATTAACTGTTTATATTAAATTCAAAAACATTCATATAACATATTAACAAAACTTTGCATTATGCAAATCCAGTAATATGCTGTATACCATTTCAAATGAACATGTCCAAAATATGAAGCAAGAAAAAAGAACAATTATTGGTGGAACTAATAACTGACTGAGAAAAATAAATATCAATCATAATTCTAAAAAGTGACAATGATTGTCCATTAAAAGGATAATCCTTGATTGTATAAGAGATCTTGATCCAGAAAAAAATCATTTGGGTATGATTTTCAATAGTTTTTAACAGTCTAAGTAATAGTGTTTTTTTTATAAATATTTAAATATCTCACAATATTTATGATGTTTTATCTAAAATAGAATAGAAAAGAAAAACAACTTCTGATACAAAGTCCCTTTAGAATAACAAAGTTGTACAAATAGAAAAGACTACTTCTGGCCTTAAAATTTGAAACAATAAAAAAAATAAATAAATAAAATAAGTTAAGAAAACCTTAAGTAAACAAACTATATACAAAACACTTAAAACTATGAACAAGACTTTTCAAACTATATATAATGGTGAACAGCATAAATATATACTTTTAGAAATGAAGAGTGCAAAAAAGACAAAATAAAATAAATTCTTCTCATAAAAAAGTTTTTACTTAGAAAAATTAAAGTTGCATTAGTCAATATAAACCTAGTTATGTAAATGCTGGATAAAATGTAAATGCATCATAAGAACATCATTATCATCAGTTATGGAAGATATGTGTAGGCGTTTAATTGTATATAAGAGAAAAATATTGATAATTGAATAAAATAAATATTAATAAAAAAATAGATGTACTGAATGGCGTCGAAGGTAGGAAATACATGTACTATCCCTAGCAAAGAACAGTATTCAAATCATAATCATATGATGATATGAAATACATGCAAAATGTCAATAGTTAGTACTGTTCTTGGAACTGTTTGGACTGTTTTTGGAATAGGTTGTTTTTGAATATTGAAACAGAGGGGACTTGCTGAATTTTTAGAGGGAGCGAATTCCAGAACTTGACAGAGTGGGCTACAAAGGAGTTTTGGAATAGGTAGACCTATGAAAAGGGATGTATAGGTTAGAATGCTGAGATCTTGTGGGAAGAGAATGGATTGAGGACATGAATTGGAGGAGGTTATAGGCATAAGAAGGACGATGATTGTTGATGATTTGATAAAGGAATGTGCCCAGGAAATATTTTCTTCTTAAACAAGAGAAGAGCCACCATATTCATTAGTCTTATCAGTCTATCAGGGAGCTCCACCGAGGGGCCATCGTACCACACAGCTGTAGTCAAAGTGGGGGAAGGTGAGAGAGGAAACTAGGAGACTACGGGTATTTTGGGGTAGGAGGTGGCAGAAACAATAGAATAGTTTGAGGGTAGAAATTGCACAATGGGAGATATGAGAAATATATTGATTCCAGGAGAGGGTTTTATCTATGAAAAAGCCTAAATTTTTAACAGAGGGGAAAAAGGTGATGGGATGTTTATTAAGGTAAAGTGAAGGAAAGTTGGTATGGGATCTAAGAAGGGGCTTGGAACCAATGCCAATGGCCTAACTTTTAGCAGCATTTAGCCTTAACCCGTTTGATTTTGCCAAGACTCTGCTTTGATCTAGATCTTCTTGAATTTTGGCAAATGCTACTGTAATAGCTCAGCCGGAGAAAAGGATAGATAGATTTGAGAATCGTTGGCATAAAAGTGCTGGGAACAATGGAGGATTGAATCATGTAGGTTGTTAATATAGGAACTGATAAGAAGAGGAGATATGCTTGAACCCTGGGAAACTCCAGAAGATAAAGAAAGGTAGGCAGATAGTGATTGATTGGGTATGGAAACTGCTTGGGTACGTTTTAAGAGGAAAGATTTAAACCAAGAGATGGAACTATTGGAGAAGGACAATGATTTTAGTTTGTTGAAAAGAACGGAGTGGATGATGGAGTCGAAGGCTTTGGATAAATCAAGAAGTATAAGTATAGTTAGTTTTTTGTCATCCATTGCAGTCTGAATATCACTGGTAATTTTAATCAGAGCAGATTGGGTAGGATCGAGTTGGTTGGATTTTTCAAGGAAGTTGGAAACTTTGGTTTGCACCAACCTTTATAGAAGTTTTGAAAGGATTGATATTGGGCGGAAATATTCGGGAGAGGATGGGTTAGGCCTTTTGTTTAAAGGAAGGACAATGGCTTTTTTTCCAAGAGGTCGGGAATGTTGAATTTTGCAGAGAGAAATTTTATATGAAAAGGAGAGCTGGGAAGATTTACAGGAGACATAATTTTATTAATTTGACAGGAATGCCATCTGGGCCTACAGAATTGGTGCTGGATTTCATTATAGTAGTTATAAGATATGTGGGGGAAATGTCGGAAAAATAAAAGTTATTCTTGTTAAATGGTACCTCTGTATGATAGATATGATTTTAGAAATGGTGTCTTGTATGATTTTTTAAAAATCTATTAAAGGTATTTATAAAACTTAATGCTTTTTAGGATATACTTGGAAGTGAAGGTATAGCTCTTCAATGGAGAGGAATAGCTAGTGGGTTAATGATGTTATGTGTACGAAAAAAATATTTTGGAGAATTACTTCATAGTGTTATAAAAACTGTTGGTTACTTTGCTATAAATAATAAGAAAAATCAGGTAATAATTTTGTTTATTGCATACATATATTTCTTTAGTCTACTACTAAAACTGATCTAGTAATTAATTTTAAAGTTTTATATTAATAGTAATAAGAAGTGTAAGATAAAAATAATTATAGAGTAGTTGCTATTAGACGCTAAAATCAATTTTTTTTTGACATTGCAGACCTTGTAGAGCTTTTTCTGCCTTGACTAGCTTTCTCCATCTATTTTTTCAAATTATCTGCTTGGTTTTTGGCCTTCCACATGGTATTTTGTCTACTATTGAGGCATTCATTGTTGTGTAGAGGCTTTTTAATGGATTGCTCTGAGCTATATGCCCCACCCATCTTAACTTCCTTGCGTTATCTTAACTTATCGTGCGATATTGATTAACCAGTTTCTGTAATAGTTCTTTGTTGAGTTTTCTCCTCCTTTCGTTAGTATTCTGATTCTAGATCGCTCTGGTTATCGGGTGCTGGTTATTGTCCAGGTCTCACAGCCGTATATCAGAACTAGCTTTATCATAACATTCTGCACCCTTAATTTGAGATTTCTAGGGATTTCAATACCTTTAAAAGAGAAAAGAAATCTCTGTTTGTGCTTGTTATACGTCTACTATTTCCAATATATATTTTTATTATCTTCATTAATCATTAATTATCTTATATTTTGTTTTATCTTCATTTGCTTGTGAGCTGATTTGCTCAGCTTTTTTTACCAGAGTCTTAGCGAGTTTATCAATGTCCTCTTGGTTGCTTCTAAGGACAGCCATATTATCTGCATATCCAAGGTTTTTTTTTAAGAAGAAAAATAAATTTTATTCAGGAACTTTTAGTCCCTTAAGAATAATGATAATAATAATAATAATGAACAATATTATATAGCATTGCAATTGTATTATTCCTTCCAACGTGCACTTCTCCATTTTTGTATAATTTTATTAACAACTTCTCTAGTGCTAAGTTGAATATTGGTGAGAGTCTATCTCCCTCCCGTAAGCAAGTTCGAACTTTGAAGGTTTCAGATATTTTTCTTAGTACAACCAACTCTCGATAATTTTAAATCTAAGGGACTACAAGAAAAATTGGAATTATCGAGACTTCAAATTATTAAGAAGTTTAAATTATCAAGAAGATAGGAAAAAAAATTCGAATGATTAAGAGTTTTTATTATATTTTCTCATATATATTTTGAAATATGTATGAGCTTACATAAATTTTATATATACATAGCCTCATGTAAAAAATATTATTAGGAAAATTTCTAATTATAAATAGGGTAAGTGATCGAGTTCGAATTATAAGAGAGAACGTTCTATAATTATAGAAAGTTCTCTCCTCCTCTTGTTATGAAGAGGATTTAGAGTTATCGAGTGTATCAAAATACAACTTTTTTTGATTTGCCAAAGTTAACAGGTGAAGAGTTTGAATTATCGGAAAATTTAAATTATCAAGGTTGGAATTATCGAGTGTCAACTGCTTTAGGAATCAACATTTAGGGTCATTTGTACTCGCCTTCATCAATCTCACCAACTTCTCGGGAATCTCCAGTTCAATCATGATTTTCCAAAGACAGTCCCTATCCTCAGGATCATAGGCTGCTTTGAAATCGACAAATATGGCGTGCAAATCCTAAACAACTTCCCATCGTTTTTCGAGTACTTGTTTTAGGATGAAAATCTGGTCTAGCATGATCTTTCCTCTTCTGAATCCAGTCTTTAGGACAGAGCAGATTAGGCCTGTATTCTGAGGCTCTGTTATCCTTTTTTTGTTCCATATTTTATGGATTAGTTGTACTAACATGGCTCTCAAATCTTCTCTCCCATCTTGAAACATTTCTGATTTAGGTTGTCCATCCTTGGGGCCTTTCTATAAATCAGAATGCCATTTTTTTTCTCCCATTTGCGTATTTCTCACTTTATATCCTACCATTTGTTTCCTAATGTCTGCATAGAGTTTGTGTATATTACCAGTCTGCCAGATGTTCTCAATAGTTTGTGATCTCTCTAAGGCCAACGGTAGTTACTCACCTATGCCACATCAGAAAACAGTATAAACAAATATGGGGAATGTTCTTATATATCCAGATATGTAGTTTATCTGAACAAATAAAATAAATTATTCAATATAAAAGAATGTGGTAGGTATTGGTTTTAAACCTACTAACAAATCTATTTGTGGCAACTGTGAATTGTAGATTAACTTTAATTTTGTGGATTTTGCATTGCTTTACAAACATGTTTTTTATACGTTTGCATTATACTAAAATGATAACAAAAAAATTTCAGACTCTCATTCAATCTGGAAAACATCCTACAGTTTTGCAACAACTGGTCAAGTTACCTTTCCAGTATTTTTGTGATTCTCGACATATGGAGCTGTTGTTTCCCACATTGATCGCTTGTTCATACCAGAATGCCACTAATAGGGCTATTGTGGAAAGTGAATTAAATTATTCTGTAAGTAGTGATTTATTATTAAAATATTAATGTATATTTGGTCCCCTAAAGTAAATAAATCCCTTCAGAATCCCTCTCCTTTGCTTGTAACTCCAAATCCAAGTTGAAAATACTTCGAAAATTATTCCTACTAGAATCCAATAACTTTAGTTCTTTCACAGTCATGCTAGGCAACCTCATTCACTATCTCATATTCTTTGTTGTTAACTCTTGGTCTACAGCCAGTATTGAATATCATAGCTTTAACTTGAAAAACCTATTTGTATCCAAAGCAATGGACAAAGTTGACTATGACATACCCTTACAAAACCACAAAATCTTCCTTTATCCAATAGTATTATGCACTGATTCAAATTTTTACCCTCAAATCAGTCTCATTATGTACCGGTCCCACATCAATCTCTTTTCAAAACACTGTCCCTCTCCTGTGGTATTCCTCAAGGTTTAGCTCTATCCCCATTCTGTCTATTTGCTATTTATAGTAATGATATTCCTCTCTTCATCCGTAAATCTCAATACCATACCTATATTGTTAATTTCCTAATATCTTATCCATCCAATGATATACCTTTCCTACCTTCCTTCTGACCTATTTCCTGCCACCACAAAATAACTCTGAAATAATTTAAATTGAATTTAGTTAAAAGTTTAATAAGCGCAGAACACAAAGGCAATTGTAGCATGTTCCAATCACCTCTTTAAATCTTTTCCTCATATTCCAACTCCTGTGGAGGAAGGAGTAGTGACTCGGGAGAGAGTGCCTGCCCTAGGGACCAGGCTCATATTTAAACTAATAGCCAGCCCTCAGACCTGTTTTCAGGCTAGTGAGAGGCAACACTAGTAACAATTATTTTAATTAGGCCCTGAGATCTCTAAGTCCAAACTCTTTTTATTTTTATTTAATTATAGTTCATGAATACTTATTTTAAAAATATTACAAACATTAGTTATTTGCAAAAGGAGTAATTACAAAAGGAAATAATAAATAGCTTCAAAATGAAATACATAGTTCACTGGGCTACTAACAGGTTAACCAGAATTATTAATCATTATTAGAACAAACAATGACTTGCATTAATGAATGAAGTAGTTCATCAGAACAAAGCCTAGAGGGCGCCACGCGCATCCTCCACAACACTATACCACTAGTTATTTACTATTCAACCTTTGACAGAGAAGGACCTCCCGTCCGTTAGCTCTAATACATTGTACCCTTTAATCTTTATCGCTAGTTAAATGTTATTGTTTTTACAATTTCAAATTAAATCACAATGAAAATTAATAAAAGTTAATAATAAATTGAATTTATAAATATGTTACATATAAATGCGTCTTTTCACATAGTTCACAAATAATAAAAGAACAGAACATGATCATGACTTCTGTTAATAATTACAATTTATAAAGGCCCTAATAAAATATGTTACAATATATATTTTTTGATTTCAATATAATAAATATTGTAAATATTCGAAAAGGGGATTACTTATTTTCCATCTTGGTTATTGAATATTATTTTTATGTGCATGCATTTTCTTTATAGTTACCTATTTTTACCTTGTTTACAGGTCTCTTTTATTTTCTTCATTCTAATATCTTTATTCCCTTCATTTTAATTTTACTCACATTTTCCCACCTTTGAGGAAACTCACCAGGGAAGATTTGTATTTTAATTTTGAAATATCCATGGCCCATATAACAGGTATATTTGGAAATTGTCTGCATAAATGTAATATTGGGAGTGATGGATCAGGAGGGGAAGGTCATTAATATAAGTAGCAAACAGAGTAGATGATAGAGAGGAACCTTGAGGTACTCTACAGGAGAGGTGGAGGCAGTGTTGGATAGAGAAAGATTATGCAATTTAGTAAGAAGGGTGTTATGGTCAACTGTGTCAAACCCTTTGGAAAAACATTTATATGTCATGTTCTTCAACATATTTTAACACAATCTGAATGTTGTTACTGAAAGTATAGGAGATTTCAAAATTCTCGAAAACGGCTCTAACAATTTTGATTAAATTCAATGTATCTGTATAAAATTAAACAGTTTTACACATAATATACGTCTTATTCTCATTGATGTTCTCTAACAGGATAAAAATGCCTAATTTTCATAATTTCTTCCTTTAAAGTACCTTTAATTTTTTGTATTTGAAATAACTAATCTTTTCATATTGGAAAGTGATACCAAAAATGGTATAATGAATGAAGAAAATTGATTGATAACTAAGGGAGAAATGAGGGTTGGAAGCTATATGGAAACAGCCCTAACCACCCCACTTTTGCCGATCGTCTCCTGTTTCAGATAGCCGATACCACTTTGTATACTGTACCTATACGCTTTATAGGGGCTTTCATACTGTTAGTTTAACTTTTATATATTACTTATTCATGATTTTTTAAAATGATTTTCATGTACAATATTGAGGATTTACTAATATAAACCTAATAATATACAATATTTATTAATATTAAGTTATTTTTTCTACGAGTCTCATGGTAAATGTTTCCGAAAAAAAGCAGGATTTTTCCAAAAGATCCATTTTATTCTATTAATATAAACCTAATAATATACAATATTTACTAACATTAAGTTATTTTTTCGACGAGTTTCTTGATAAATTTTTCTGAAAAAAACTGAGAATTTTTCCAAAAGATCCATTTTTGCCACAATCATTAGTAATTTTTGATACTATACACAGTTGTAAAAGGAAATGGAAAGTTTTGCAAATGTATAAATTTAACAGGTTCAATGGGCTAGAAAATCATGGTAATTAATTGTTTTAAATGAAGTTATATCATCGTTTACACTTTGGCTTCCCTATATATAATAATCCCTATCTACTCTAAGATTGGTAAGTGAAAGTTATATGATGCACACATCGCACCAGATTTTTTTAATATATATTTTTAATGTTATTTTAATGCATATGGAATATTCTTTTGTTATTCTACCAAATATTTTCTTATTTTATCATGACTTAGCATTCTAATATTCTTCATGATTGTGCAGGTTTTGGAAACTTTTATTTCATCAGACATTGGTAGAAAAAGTAAACTCATGTTGATTCTTCTTGAAAACCAAAATGGCAGTGTTGAAGTTTCTTAACAGAACTTCTGGTTCATCCATCCATTTTATCTATGTAAGTTATTTGTTTAAGGGGGGGGGGAATGGAAAATAGATCAGTTTTTCTTTTAGGTTTTCATTTTTTTGGAATGTTATTAGATATTTCGGTAATTATACAACTACCATAAAAAATGTTTCTTATTTACATTTTTAACACATTGACTGTGGAGTATAAACTAAAAATATCCACTAACTATTGGATTTTTTTTATCTTTAACCCTTTATATTTATAATCCAATAATTGTCCTAACATTTATCAGAACTTCTCTTCTCTGAAAGTTCTCTAGCTTTCGAAATTCTGAAACAATCTGCTGCTCTCTGTTAGGTGACCAGCATAACATGCCCCTTGTGTTAGTAATTTTCAGTAAACCAATAATAAGCATATAAAAAAAAATTGAGTCTCAGATTTCATAATCTTTCCTAAAATGTTTCAACAAATACATGAAGACATTCACATTCCACTCATCTATGCCATTGTACATTGTGAGATTCCCTTTTATAGAGCCACTTCCAAGTGCCTCCACTGTCCACTGTGAACCCACTCCACATATTCCAGTTGATGTCTCTTCTCTGAAAGACCTCCAACTTTAAATGTGCCTCAATATTTCTTGTCAATCTTAGCTTATTATGCTATTCTGACCACACTGTTTTCAGTCTTTTGGGTATGATTGCAATGACAACTCAACCTGTGCTATTAGTTTGAAGTCTTATTACATTGTTTCTAATATTATCTTTTCTTTTTTTTTTACATCCTTACACCTTTTTTAAGTTCCTCATTTCCATAGCTTCATTATTTTCTCATTCTTGATTTTAAAAACCCACAATTTAGATGATTACATTAATATTTGAAAAAAGATGACTTATGGATATGAACATTTGTGATTTTGGTTAATTCCCTTCTAATGATCTTCCTGCTGCATTTATTCTCTACTCAGTTCTGAATAAATATAGCTGTTTTTATCTGGGTGAGCCTCAAGATATTTGAAGCAGTTCATTTTTTCTAACCTGCCATTGTTAGCTCTTATCCATTCTCATATTTTGTCAGAGTTTCTTCTCAATCCTCATGATCTTTATTTTACCAGTGTTTATAATCATATATATTTTTCTTAATTCCTCCTCTTGGATTCTAATAGTAAGTTGATATCAATGTTTGTAAACTCCATATTTTCAACAAATACAAGCAGATGCAATGTAACTGGGGTCGAATTTCTGTTTCTCAGATGGAATTTTCTCATTCTTTCCCTTGCTAATGCCACCTTTTTATACCTGTTCTCCCAATTTTGATTGGTAAAAAGCAGTTTTGGGCTATAGACCTTCCCTATTTTTTTAATAGAGCTGTATTGAGTTTTAAGATTTAAAAGAAATGTATAACTCAATTCATGTTTATTTATTATTATAAATATGTAATTTAAGCATTTGAGGTCTATAGTAACTAGGGAAAACAAAATTAAAGAGGAAATAAAGGTGGGAAATACTTGCTATTTTTCAGTTCCAGAATTACTTAGCTCACACCTTTTGTCCTGAAACTTAAAAGTTAGAATTTTCAAAACTATTATCATTCTCTCTGTTCTTTATGGATGTGGACACCAACTTTGAAGGAGAACTCTAACGTCTTAAGATCTTAGTAATGTATTGGGTAGAATATTTGGTCCAAGGAAGGATGAGTTTATTGAAGAATTTAGGAGGTTACACAACATGGAATTGTGGAGCATACATCATGTTCATATAATTGAAGTGATAGTGTCACATTGGTAGTAAAGTTGGTTGAACCTAATAATGAGTGAATTTCTAAAATGTTAATAAACCTTGAATCGAGTTTTATATTTCGGAGAAGTAGACCATAATATAGGTTGGAGGATTGTGTTAAGACTGGTCATGTGAATTGGGATGTAGACAGTGGTGTGTAAGCGGATGTAAGTAATCTTGATGTAATGTTATCAGTATTGAATCTTCATGTACACTAAGCGTTTGATCATTATAAAATATATAAATTTATGGACATCATTTGCTTCTACACTTCTGAAGACTGGACGTCTTCATTTAGTTCTAAGAGTTAAACAATGACCACTCCAACGCAGTCAATGTGTTTAGCTGATGTAACTTACAAAAAAGAAATATTTAAGATAAATATATACAGATATAATTGGTTGTTACTTGGAAAATTAATTTAATTGTGTTTATTTTTACAATATTTATTTTGTTGAGATTGAAAATTTCTGATCTTTAGAGTTAGATTGCTCTATTTATAAACATATAAATTATTTTATTTGGTTAAAAATGAATTATATACTCTTCAAACCACTTTCCTTAATTACTTTTGCATTGTAATGAATCTAGTTAACTGTAGCCATGAATGTTATGAAATACATCATTTGATATTATGTTTTATTATTTATTTTAAAATTTAATTATTATTATATTAACATATTTACTTTTAAAAAAAGTTAATTTAATGATATTGTTTATTTAAAACTTAACATAGTCATTGACTCTTGTTTTCTCCTTTCCTGGCTTTAAAATGCACAAGGTGCTAATATTATTATTTTATAATCTTTATTACGTAGGTTTCACTTCCTAAACTAATTTCTTTAATGTGCCAAATAGTTACTGGCCACTTTGTTACCATTATTTACTTATGATTGCTTTGAAACTTTATTTAATATCATATTCAATAATTACATTAACTCAATGTGATAATATAAGACGCTTGTAGTTAGGAGTTTGTACATACTGTTTTAAAGAATTTATTTTTTAATTTTTTAAATATTCTAGGAAAGTATTCTAATGATTAGTTTGTTGAAGCTTTAATATGTATTTACTTACAATATAGTCTAATAATTAATATTTATTATTTTTATATTTTTGTAACAGTTTGATTAGTAATTTAATTTGTAATTGTTAAGATCGAAATATTAATATTGCTGTCTATTGTACATATTTTGATCTCATATTCTTTTTTGTTCAGTTAACTGATTTTTAGTTTTATGGACTTAATAGTTTGTCATGAATGTAAATGAAACTTGATTGAAATTTAAATGAACTTCTTTATGGACAGTAAATAGAAATTAATGTGCTCTACGAATTTTATATTTTGAAAAAATATTTTGTTTTCTTTAAGAATGTTGTTAATAACTCTTAATGATTAACTTAAAAGTATGAAGTACTATATTTTGATTTGGTGAAGAAAAAAAAGTGTATACCCTGAAACAAAATATAGGAGCTAGTTTTAATCTTCCCTAATGGTTGATTGTTTATGTTTTCATTGAAGACAGCTCATTAAATAATTTATATTTTATCTTTTACATTCATTTAGCACTTAATATTATCTATTCCATGTCAAACAAAGTAGTTTTTCTTTTTCTTTCTATCCATTCACAACTTTTATACAGGTCACAGTTTCATTAAAACATTATTATTTATATTTGACTTTTCATCTACATTCATTTTAAGTATGTATTTTTTTTTAATTGTTAAAAAAAATATCAGTTCCATATTATTTGTCTATTATTGGCTTGATGAAAAAGTTGTAAGGGTTTTATTACTTGTTCTAAAATTAAAACTGTTAATCAATTTTTCTTTCTTTCTTTTCATCATTGTGTTACTTGCTTATATTCCCTCACCTTGTCAGTGTTGCTTCTCATATACCTGAACCAACACAACTAATATTATATATCGAATTCAGCCTAAGCCTAGCTCATGCCTGGTTATAGTTTAATTAAAAAGAGAATCGGATAACATGGGATGTGCATGTGCTTAATCTAGCAAGCAGTGCTGTACTGTATACTTTGATAAACAGATCTTTCCAAGCATTTCAAAATGTAATCATTATTAAAATGAACTATAAAATCAAAAAGTAGTACAAGAAATATCTGTGACATGATCTTCTGATTACCATAGGTTGACATCTTTACTTTATAAGATGATCCCAACAGACAGCAACACATAAGAGGATGACATAAAAAAAACCATTCTCATTTTTTTTCTTTACAAAGTTATTAGAAAGTATTAAAACAGCCAATCTTATTACCCTATTGTTCAATCGGCACAACAACCCATAACTGGGTCTCTTCAACAGCTTCCACCAGTATATTGTATACAATTGCTAAAGTGTAACTGTTTTCCAAACCCCGAGTTGGTTACTTCAATTAAATCTTCTTTAACATTATCTACCCATTAAAGCTTCGGGCGACTTCTCAGTTGGATTCAAGGACCATACAGGTTGTCATCAAGTTTTTTTGGGATCATCTAGCCTACTGATTGAGACTATTCTTCCATCAGGCTCATTACACAAGGAGTATATTTCCCTGTTTGTTTTCCTTCTCCATGTAGATCAATATTTCACTGGACCATAGATGGATTTAAGTACTTTTCTCTCAAATGTTAGGAGATACCTTTCATCAGACTTCAAGAAGATCAATGTTTCTGATGTATGTAGGTAAGTACTGGCCTGATCTGTGTCTTATATAATCTTGTTTTTGTAGCTCTTCATGACAATGAGCTTCCTCCCAAAATAGCTCCAGTCCAAAATATCTCTCATTGTCTAATACTATTCGTGTCCTTATCCCAGCCAAAACATCATTACTTCCATTAACTAGCGACCCTAGATACTTAAACTTATCAACCCATTCAAGTAAGCAAGAACCAACCTAAAATAAAATTTTAAATTTCTTTAGCTTGACCTACAATCATATATTTGTTTTACAGGGATTGACAGCAAATCCTAGCTCCTCAGTAGCATCCTCAAGCACCAAGAAGGCTTTTTCTATTACAGCTTTTAATCTCTCAACATTGTCAATGTCATCAGCATATCCCAAAAATTCGCACCATACGATCGAAGATCCATTCTAATAGTCTGGATCATTGATTCTCTGATAGCTTTTTCCAAACTAATATGACAGAGAGAAAGGCAAGGGAATCTCCTGGTCAAATACCACTATCTGGGACTAATCCTTCAGGATGTTCTCAACATGAAGTAGTTATCGTTAGTACAATATATTAGAGAAAATCATCTAGGTGCCCGGTTGTTTTTTTGATTTACCAATGGCCAATGGCTTTGTATAATTCCTCTTTGTCTGAGAACTTGAGTTCATCTTTAGAAGTTCGATTCTGTTTAAATTCTTCCTTTCCCTGATTTCCATTGAAGTAGTTTTTCCATTTTCATAGTAATTGTATTTTCCTGTTTAATTGCAATCCATCTGACTCCTTACAAGCTGAGATTGAGCGATTTGAACTGATTTTACTGTAACTGTAAATTTTCATAAAATTTACTGCAATCATTAGTGCTCCTTAATCTTTTTGTTTCCTCAACATGATTTAATATATATATATATATATATATATATATTTTTTTTTTTTTTTTTTTTCTAGAAAGTCATTACTCTTCTTGGCTTGTTGATCTTTCAGTTCGAACACGGCAGCTGAATAATAAATAGTTTATTATCAATGCTATGGAGATGATAGACCATAATTATGATTTTAGAACGTTTGTCAATATATAAAACTACTATAATAGTAGTTTATTGTATTTGCCCTTTCTTGGGCTCATTACTGCATATGGGGAGCGTCCCACGGGTGGCGGATGTGGGGATGGTCAGTGGAAATTCCTCCCAGCTAAGTCTGATGGACTCGCTGACCAACAATGAGAGGGGCCCTCCAGACTTGCTGAAGGGTGTGTCCTAGGATTGAATGCCCTACTCATTTATCTTTAGTTCACCAAATACCGCAAATAGTCATGGTTCTCCCTAAGGTAAAACGCTCATTATCCGGAGATAAACTAGTCCCCTGTTCGGATCTCCGAGTGGGGACTGCTTTAGGGAAATCATGGTGCAAGCTGCAAATAGTGATTTAGGTATGTGGAACGTAAGGATTTTGAATTCAGCAAGTGGATTAAAATCGGTCGTGAATGAGGTTAATGGGTACAATTTGGATATAGTGGCTCTGCAAGAGGTTCACTGGCCAGAAGATGGCTTAATAAGGGAAGGAAAGTACACTATTTGGTACAGAGAAAGCAGAAATCATTGTTAAGGGACCAGGTTTCTAATTAGGAATAGATTGCTATCCCCTTTGAGGGAAGTGCAATTCTTTAGTGATAGGATTTCGTTAGCCATATTTCAGGGACATTGGTTTAAAATCGTGTTAATAAACATGCATTGTCCGACCAAAGACAGTGACAATGAAGTCAAATGTGAACTTTACGATATACCTGAATGGGTTTATGATATACTACCGTGAAACTGCATGAAAATAATTTTAGGTGACGCAAACACAAAAGTGGGCAGGGATGAAGTTTATTTTCTGACAATTGGCAAAGAAAGTTTGCACAAATTTAGTAATGATAATAGGACCCGTCTGTAAACTTTGCCATCTTGAAAAACCTGATAGTTAAAAGTACTACGTTTAAACATAAGGATATTCATAAATATACCTGGACATCACCGGATTCACAAACACGAAATCAAATCGATCATGTCTTGATACAACATAGCTGACAAAACAGTACAATTAATGTGCGGTCTTATCGCGAGCGGGTACTGAATTAGTAATTGTGAAACTTTGACGAAAACTTAATTTAAAAAAGAGAAAAGAAACCCGTTTCGATTTCGAGAATTTTAATTTGGAAATATTAAAAAATCCATCAATTTGAACTCAATTCGAGCTAGATGTTAAGAATAGGTTTGAAGCTTTAGAACCTTCTGACGAGGACCGTGATAATATAGACAAGTTATGGGTAAAGATCAGGGATAATATTAAAGCGGTTAGTAGCTTGGGTTTTGGAAAAAAGGAAAATAAGAATAACAAACCGTGGTTTAATGAAGATTCCTTAAAAATGTGCGAAAAAAGAGAAGCTGCTAAATCAAAAGCTCTAAATAATCCTAGCGAAGACAATCTCAAATACTTCCGAACTTTGAAGAATGAAACGACAAAATTGCTCAAAAATAAAAAAAGGTAGTATCTTAAAAATAAAATAATAGAAACAAAAATAATTTGAGAGACATGTAAAAAAGTATAAACAGATCATGTAAATGTTTAGGGCCTTTCAAGTCTGGAATTAGGGATGAAAATAACAATATTCTGACTGATTTGGTAGACATTGAATAAGTTTGGGAGCCATTTTGACAATATTTTAAATACAGGAAATTATGATCTGTGTCCTTCAGAGTTTCAGAGTGATGAACCATTAATAGGAGAACCGAGTAAAGAGGAAGTTAAAGTAGCTATCAGAAAATGAAAATCTTATAAAGCAGCGGGAACCGATAATATTCCTAGTGAACTAATTAAGGCATGCTGGGAAGCCGGAGTTTCTAAAATACATTTGTTAGTTAAAAAGATCTGGGAGAAAGAGAAATTACCTGAAGAATGGAATGAATCTATTCTTATTCCGATTCACAAAAAGGGTCCGAGGACAGAATGTAATAACTAACGAGGAATTTTACTCCTTTTGGTAGGTTCTAAAATATTCATTTTAATCTTAACTAGTCAAATCACGGAATACGCCTAGGAAATTATTGGAGACTACCAATGCGGATTTAGACGGAACCATTTAACTATTGTTCAATTATTTTCTTTAAGCAAATATTGGAGAAAAAATGGTGTTGTTCACCAGTTGTACATCCAATTCAAAAAGGCTTTCCGATTGTATTGATCGCCAGAAACTGTATAATATTCTAATCGAGCAGGGGATTCCAAAAAAATTAGTAAATCTAATCAGAATGTGTTTGACGGAAACACTCAATAAAGTTAAAATCGGCAATAATCCATCCCAAAAATTTGAAGTTCGTTCGGCTTTAAAACTGGGTGATTCCCTTTTGTCTGTCCTGTTCAATTTGGCATTAGAACATGCCATTAAGGAGATAATGCTTACCGAAAAAGGATCTGGGTGGGACAACACCCATGCTTGGCTATGCGGATGATCTGGTCCTGTTAAGTGAAGACACGGTAACTATAAAACTTAATACGACAACATTAATGAAAGCCAGTAAAGAACTAATGCTCGAAATAAACATGGATAAGACAAAACATATGGTTAGCTGCAAAAATGGCAATATTGCCACTGATGTACATATAGAAGGTAATATGTTTGAATACTGAAGCGAATGTGGGAAGATTGCATTAAAGCCGATCTGAAGGGACTGGGTTTGGATGGCGAACGGTGGAGGGAGGTGTGTAATAAGCGATTGGTGGTGTTGGCATCAAAATTTCGGGTTCACTAAGCCTTTAATTATTATTATTATTGTGTTTGCCAACGTTTCGATCTACGTTGTAGTTCTTCATTGGGGCAATTCATTTGGCAATGCTGGAAAAAGTTAGGAGACTGTTTGTCGTTGGTAAAAACAATAAAATACTATTGTAATATATAGTATTATATATTGACTGCACTCCCTGATGATCACCTTCTTCTCAAATTTATTATCAAATATTACAAAGAATTTTCCTTCCATCCTGATAAGAATCATTCAGGAGCTTATAGGCTCTTTCTTTCTTCCCTATAACAAATCAAATTCCAAAGTGTTGTCTTTCATTAGTCACAACTTGAATATATGGCGTTTCTCAATAGATTCCTGTTCTGTTGAT